AAAACACTGACTCTTCAACTTGTTCTGATACATCGAATGGGTTGTCATTCGCTTCCATTTTGAAGACCTGATCTCCTTCCCAGAACATTAATTGTTGGTGCAAGGTTGATGGCACACATCGAGAGGCATGAATCCAGTCTCTTCCCAGCAAGAGAGAATATGTAGTATCTGCGTCCACAATAAAAAAAACAGTGGAGATCTTCTTTGGTCCGACTTCAATTGTGGCAACCATCATGCCTTCAGGCTTGGTCGGCTGCCCTGTAAAACTTGTCATTTCGAATTCCACAGGAGATAGATTATGTATTCCTTTTCCTAACTTCTTGAGAGTCTTCAATGGCATAACATTAAAAACTGCTCCATTATCCACGAAAACCTTTGTGATTGGTTTCCCACAAATATGAGCATTAACATACAGAGGCTTCAAATGGGAGATCGCACCCTCTGGAATAGGAGGAAACACAATCGAAGGTGGCTCCGGTTGAGGCTCAGAGTCTGAGGTCTTTGCCCCCTCTGTCTCCTCTAATTCACCATCTGCCAAGAAAGCCCATAAAGGTTCGTCCATAGTTTCATCTACCAGACTCGCCCACGTCGGTTCATCACTCATCTGATTAATCTCTGTCATTCGACAAGGGATTCGTGGTCCCAGACGAGATTTAACAGATCTTGAACTTTCCCCTGTAGTTACTACTTCTTCCTTTGTCTTATCCCGAGATCGAGATTGAACCGTCAAAGATTCGATACGGAATTCTTCAAGAGATGGATTGATGTTGATTCGTTCACAATGTTGGCATCTAAAACCTTTAATTATTTCATCTGCCACACCTTTACCTTTCCCCAGTCCCGACGAACTTCTTTTGGTATGGTCGGAAGCGCCTAATCCGTCATTCGGTTGCTTTCCTGACCAGACCCGACTGGACCGACCAACTGGAGACTGAATGGTTACTCCCTGCTCGTTGGTCGTTTGTTCTGTAAAGATCCGAATGGACTGATCTCCTGCCAAGTGGTCGGCTGCTTTTTGTTCGTCGGTTAGTTGTTTTGCTGAAGGACCTCTTTTCCCATACTTTGCAGCATACCTGCGTTTGGCATTGCGAATCTGTGTACGATTCATACCCGGGAAACGAGGGTCTATATCAACTGGTAAAGGCTTTTTATTTCGAGCCCAATTGCTCCCGACCGACCCTGTTTTTCTGGTCGGGTGATCACGTATCAAAACCTTTTCTTTCACCTCCACATTAAAAGAACCATCTGGATGGTCCCACTTTTCAGCAACTGGCTTCTCACAAATTTTGAGTCGTTCTTCCGGTCGGCTGCTGTTTGGCCGACTTCCTTTTTTTGTTTCGGGGCTTGGCTGGTTTCGTTCCCCTTTTTGTCCATCGTTGGCCGAACTTTTCCTTGTTTCCGAACTTGGTTGGATGTCAACCATTGCCGTTGTTACATTCGGAAACGGTTGCTGGTCTACACCTAGAGTGATGTATTTGAGCCGACCTGTCTTGATGGCCTTTTGAATTTCCTTCCTAAAATGAGTACACTGACTTGTAGTGTGTGTGAAAGAATTATGCCACTTACAATATGGTCTCCCTTTGATTTCTTCTTTAGTGGCAAGTCTTTGGCCCTTTGGAATACGGATCTGCCCATCAGTCAGTAGGATATCAAAGATTTCATCAGCTTTCGAACTATCAAAGGTCGGTTGCTCCTTTCCTTCAGATCCTGGTACTGGCTTCAATTTAGGACATACATACGGTTTTCCAGAAAGGATTTCGGCTGCCATCTCTTCTGACTGATTAAAATCAAAGTCGCATGTTTCTGATCCCATACTCGCCATATGTTGGCCTCTATTACGCCTGTTATGCTGATCTTCCTCTCTGAACAAAGACTCTAGACGTCCTGCCTTGGATGCAAGACTTGCCAAATCCTCAACATCCAGGGCAGTGAGTGCCTTTCTTAAACGATTATGCATATTCCGGACCACTAAATTGGTCATCTCTTTCTCACTGATTACCGTAGGACATCGTCCCTTCATCAATCGCACCCTTTCTATAAACTGTGAAGCAGTTTCTTCTGGATACTGTCTCAATTCAAGTAAATCAGTTAAAGAAACAACTGGTAAAGGATTAAAGAATCTAGCGTGAAATGCCATCTCCAGTCCTTCCCATGTCTGAATTTGTCCTGGAGGCAAACTTACAAACCACGAAAACGCCGTTCTAGTAAGAGATAAACCAAACAGCTGTAACTTATAAAAAGGGTTATTGCCAACTTCTCCTAATTGTGCTGTGAACCGACCAACATGTTCTATGGTGGAAGATCCGTCCTCCCCTGAGAATGCATGAAAGTCGGGTGGTCGAAAATTCCTTGGGAGAGGGTGTTCATTAATGATCCTTTCTGGGAAAGGTCTCTGATATGCAGGGCGGTTAGCCATCTGAGGAGTTAATCCATACTGATCCCTTAATATATGTGCAATCTCGTCAGGATCTACATGAAAGCGTTGATGATCAGGAACATGGAACGGATCCTACACAGGAATATGAATAGGATCATGTATATATCCTTCAGGCCTGTCCTCCCTTGTATTGCTCGGCTGCGGATTGGTAACCCTTGGTCCCAGTGGAACATTGTTGGGAAAAGTCAAAGGAGATTTTCCCCTATCCATTCGGTTGGGATTTGTGGCACTTGGGAATGTACTATCCACGAATGATGGCCCTGCGAAATTTGCCTGTGGTCTGGACGGTGACACTCCTGGTGGCGTTTGAGTGGGTTGAAGACTAACCCTTGACAGTGCTTGATCTATCATGTTCTGCAACTGACTCTGTTGCTCACGCAACATGTTCGTTTGTTGCTCACGCAACATATTCTGCATAACCAAGGTATGCTGGTTGTTCATTTGTTGAACATAAGACCACCAATCAGTTGGTGGTTGTGGGATTTCCCCGGCATTTGGCACAATGGGTGGTGGAACGGATTCTCCCACCGGTGTCGAAGATGCTTGCGGTTGTGAACCTGCCATAACCCTTCCGATGATTCGGCCGGATCTAAGACGTATGAAATTATCGCCGGAATTGGAATGAGCAATTTTGTCTTGCTCCCACTGTGGTCACCAATTTGTTGATGTATTTTTTCAACAAAAATAAAGTAAAATTCAAAGATATAGAAAATATCCTTAAACTTGATTAATTAGTGCCTGAGATTAGGAATCTCTAAACACTGTACGGTACAGAAACTAAACTGGAAAATAAAAGACTGAAATTTAAAGTGGTGATCCCCAAATCTGACTTTGCTTTGTTGAAGTTGATTGAAGATATCTTGCCAAATGATGATCCAAACCTTTAAATATTCTCTGGGGAACCGTACTTAAAACCGTCACCCGAACGGTTACAACGTCTCCTTTCCAACCGTCTTCCAACCCTTTTCATGCTGACACGTGTCCTCAGCAGACCAACATTATCCTTATATTTCACTCTTTGAGCCGACCTCAGACCTTCCGCTCTTTTGGCCCGACTTCGTCCTTCACCCGACCTGCTTCTTCGCCCGACCTCACTTGGGCCGAACTCCGCATCAGCCGCCCTCCGTCTTTGATCGAAGACCTCTGCATCTGTCCGTACCTCTTCCTTGCCCGACCTTCCTCTTAACAGACCTCTGCGTCTGCCCGACTTCGGTCTGGATTTGGATCAATTCTTGAGATCTTACCTTTCTTCCTTTTCCCGACCTGAAAGCCTCCTGACCTGCGGACTTCCCGTCCTGATGACTTTCCGTCTTGAGGCCCTACCGACCTGAAGACCTTCCGTCCTGATGACTTTCCGTCTTGAGGACCTCCCGACCTGAAGACCTTCCAACCTGAGGTCTTTCCATCTTGAGGACCTCCCGACCTGAAAACCTTCCGACTTGAGGTCTTTCCGTCTTGAGGCCCTACCGACCTGAAGACCTTCCGTCCTGATGACTTTCCGTCTTGAGGACCTCCCGACCTGAAGACCTTCCGACCTGAGGTCTTTCCATCTTGAGGACCTCCCGACCTGAAGACCTTCCGACCTGAGGTCTTTCCATCTTGAGGACCTCCCGACCTGAAGACCTTCCGACTTGAGGTCTTTCCGTCTTGAGGACCTCCCGACCTGAAGACCTTCCGACCTGAGGTCTTTCCGTCTTGAGGACCTCCCGACCTGAAGACCTTCCGACCTGAGGTCTTTCCATCTTGAGGACCTCCCGACCTGAAGACCTTCCGACTTGAGGTCTTTCCGTCTTGAGGACCTACCGACCTGAGATCCTTCCGACCTGAGGACCTTCCGTCTTGAGGACCTTCCGTCTTGAGGACCTTCCGCCTTGTATTTTCCTTAGAAATAAATCTATTTTCCTTGATTTTCTCACGGTGTCCTTCAGCCAGTTCAATCAACCCCATTGTTAGGCCCATTCTTCTTTTTACCTTGGGCTTTTAACCTAATTCTAAATTTCGTACGTAACAATAATAATACTGCAATTTAATATAATACTAATATTAACAAATTTAGATGCAAAAAACAAACGTCATCCTCTCCATAGGGACAGGGAGAGTATTGATTTTTTTTAAAATGATAAAATATAATATATTATATTTATTAAAAATCATCGAAAAAAGAAACGAATGAAAAACGCACAAATTATGTATGTATATTGATTAAAATATATATTTTATGTCTCATAATAAATTATATTTTTTATTAAAAATAAAATAATGTTATTTAATTAATTAATAATAATAAATTATGATATTATTATTATTATTATTTTTATGTAAAAGATATAATTAATAATTTTAAAATAAAATAAAATATGTATTTAAAAATTAATATTTTAATAAAAATATTTACAATTATAAATGGATCCTTACATACATTATATGTTAAATTAATATTATTTGTTATCAGAAGAAAAGAATTTGTATATCAATTTTGTGTGAGGAATGGGAAAGAAAGGGGCTGAGATCCGTGCCCTAATGTGCGCTTTGTGCCCTGTCCCATGTTATTCGGATTGAAGACGCAGTATTCACTGTATAATTTGGGGCTGCCTGCTCTTCTCCACTCTTCTAGACCCTTCTTAGGCAACTCTACCCTCTTCCCCTCGCCCCCCGCACGCCATAAATGAATGCAATCCAAGTCGTAGCCTTTCCTTTCCTGTAGAACCGTCCAGAGACCTTTACATACCCTCATTCTCCGCCTCCGCCTCCCCCTCCCCCTCCCGTACACTCGCAAGGCCAAGACCCCTCATACTCCTATCGTCGCAGTCACAGTTCCACAATGGCGAAAATGGGTGAAGGCGACAAGCGCTGGATCGTGGAAGACCGCCCCGATGGAACCAACGTCCACAATTGGCACTGGGCAGAAACTGATTGCCTCGATTGGTCTAGGAATTTCTTGAGCGACCGTCTCTGCAACAAGACCCTTCTCTCCGGGGAAGGGAATCTCTACATCAAGATCAAGAAAATTGAGAAGCTCGAGGGAGAAGCATACGTCAACATTCGTAAGGGCAAAATAATACCCGGCTATGAGTTGAATCTAGTTATTTCTTATGAAGCCGAGGCTAAAGATTCTGATGGGAGCTCGGTGCTTTTGAGCACTGAGGGATCTGTGGAAGTTCCCTATATTTCCGATGAGAATGCTGGAGAGGATCCCGAAATTCGGATTACAATAAAAGATGATGGGGGGATCGGTAAAAGGCTGAAAGACGCGTTCATCGCCAAGGGGAAGCCGTTTGTGTTTGAGAAAATTAGGGAGTATGTTGATGCAATGGCAAAAGGTGGACCTGCCAAGGACGATTTGGAAAGTAAGAAAGTCACGGCCAAGAATCCAGTTTCGGGTTCTGCTGCTGCGAGTAACAGTGCTGCCGCTAATAATAGTGCCTCTAATGCGAAGGAGATTAAGAAGAAAGAGGAGAAGAGAAGGGAGGGGTTTAAGACGATAACTATGAGTGAGAAGTTTAGTTGTCGAGCCAGGGATCTATATGAGATATTAATGGACGAAAATAGGTGGAAGGGCTTCTCACAGAGCAATGCAAGGATAAGCAAGGAGGTAGGAGGGGAGATTAGCATTTTTGATGGGTCAGTGACGGGGAGGAACCTGGAACTGCAGGAGGGCAAGTTGATTGTTCAGCAGTGGAGGTTTGGGAGCTGGCCAGATGGCATTGTGTCCACGGTATAGTCACTATATACTCAACTTCAACTCTTGACATGGTTTTAGGTTTTGGTAGAGTTGTGGATGTCTCTTTACCTGATGTGTGTGCTTGCATGATTGTTGCATGATAATGCTTTATGTTGCTAATCCTAGTGTTGTTTGGGTTGGGAAAGCAGTGATAACGTGTGATGCTTTGCAATTAGACCTGTGCTTGCATATGTGTTTGGTTGTGTAAATTTAACCTGTTAGGTTAGATCAGTGTTTCCTTGTGGTATATTGAGAACGTGTATTTGAGTTATGCTTATTGAGGATTATGAATTGATATAGAAGAGTTCTATGCGTGTATGCAATTTAGAGCTTTCATTTGTGTGCATCAGCTGACTTAAAATGGAATGCATTGTGGAATATCAATTATGTTCATGTGTGCATGAGCTGACTGAGTTTGTCATAGATGTTATTACGCACTATATTTTATGTTACGTGGAATGTGCGAAGTATCAGTGGCTTGCATATGTATTAATTTGTTGGACAGTTCCTTTTTTCTGGTGCATTCATCTAGCGAATCCGAACCTGTTGTGGTGTTGATAGCATGCTTTTATGATGTTAGTTTTATACTTTAGGCATTCAATGGCACTAGACTAGAAGTTGGTGGCCTAATTCAATGATTTGATAATGAGTTATTAATTGTCTAGGTTCGCCTTACTTTTGATGAACCGGAATCTGGAGTGACAATAGTCAAGCTAACACATGCCGATGTGCCAGAGGAAGACAGGTCAGTTTCTATTAGGGGGTTCTTTCTCCATCTTTCTTGCCATGGCGATTTGGAGTATAACTATTTTGGATTGATTTTAATCATGTAATTGTGGTGACAATGCAGGTATGGTAATGCCACTGTGGTAGAAAACACTGAGAGGGGATGGCGCGATCTTATATTCCAAAAAATCCGGGCAGTTTTTGGGTTTGGAATTTGAAATTTATATCAGTCGATTATAGAACTTTGTCATTGTTTCAGTGTTGCACCAATCATGGACACATTTCATGAAGTTTGTCGTGTACTTTTATTCTCTCGGTATTTCTTTTGCCTGCTGAATTGATATGGCTGTGAAATTGAGAACAAGACTCCCGTGTTTGTAACATGGGACTGAACCATATGCTTGCTACGGTGTTCTTATCTGCCTCTGATGGGGTTTGCTGCATGTTTACTTTGCCTTTTTATCATATGGTACTGTTTCTTGTGATGCATTTCATTCATGCTTAGATGTAGGGTGAGATTTCTTCTGCCTAATGTCTTATTATTTTTTTGTTTTGGACATGATGCATAGTTTGCGGCCGTTTGGTTAGTTGATGGGCAGTGCCTTTCCTCTCTAGCGGTTGGTTGTTCCATGAAACATGTTAAAACATACAATCAGTCAGTTGTAGATAGATTGAGAAAAGAGAGATGAATTGCCTTGCATTCTTGTGTCGTCTTGCATATTTGTTTACATGTAGTAGATCAAGGTAAAGAAAAAAAAAGAAAAAAAAGAAGAAGGTACATTCATCACACAAATGGCTGAATCATTTGCCGGACTTCCTCAACCACGAGCCACGCCTTGTGCCCTCCGATCACTTCTGCCTTGCTTTCGCCATCTTTCCATATCTGCAGGCATTGTTCATTCATTCATGTGCATTTCTATACATCTTCTAACCTCATCTCCTGTGAGTTCAAACCAAACGCTACCTGAATTGTCGGCATTTTCTTCATTCCATTCCCAGACCAGCCAGCGCCCGCAGCCATCACAAGCACAAGCAGCAAACATCATCAGTGAGTGCAGTGCGGGCTCTGTTAGCTTTGCTTGCTCATAATGTGTGCATAGATGATGCCACACTATACTATACCATACTATACTTAAGACATTAAATTGAAACCTGACATTTATTTATATGTAATTGTCACGTACTGATATGTTGCCGCGCTTCACCAATGCCTGCGGCACGTTGTTGACGTCCACGCAGTAGAATTTTATCCTGTCCTCAATTAGAAAAGCCAGACCAATTAGTTAATATCTATTCATCCCTCCATCGTGCACGCTCCATGCTCCATGTATGTATAAATAATATATACATGATATATCCCAGTCCTATCCAACCTCAAAACAAGTTCATTCTCATGGCCTAAGATGCAACTCACTCACTTTCTGTCATACTCCGCAGCCAATTTCTCCAACTTGGGTTTCAGATATATGCATTTTCTGCACCACGAAGCCATCCTGTCCGACATTTCAAACCGCAGGGATTAATCCGACAGGGGAACCAATTAAGCAAGCAAAAATATCAGGCTCTAATTAAGGCCCTAACGAACTAAATGCCACACAAATAAATAAATACATATAATAATTATTAGTATTACAAGTTTCCACATCCTTCACATCTCTTTTGATCTTTTTTTAAACCGTTCTCCCAGTTAACGTCCAAATAATGGAGTTCGGGGGTTGGATTAGCTATAGCTAGCTAGGTTTACCCAAGCAAGAACCACCTCCATGTATATAAAATCGAAATCCTTCATACTAACTAAGCTAAGCAAGCAAAAGTTGAAGTGACAATTCCAGAATAGACAGGCAGACGGCTGAGGAGTGAGTGGCTGTGGCGTACCAATCAATAAGAATAGGCTGAGACAGCTCTTGAGCTCGTTCCAAAATCCGATCAAACTGCTCGCAATCTTGAATAGGCTCCATCTCCAGAGAATCAGGCTTGAATAACTCTGGCCAGAATGACGACGAACATGCCCTTACATCCCTCTTACTTACTCTTTTTTTCTCCCAACAGCCATACTCACCATATCTGCGGCTGGTGCTGAAGCGAAGGAATCCGATAAACCAGATTGAATAGTTGCCCAAATTAGAAACCGCGGTTGCGGAGGCGGAGGAAGGGAAGCAGATATGGCTGAAGGGCTCCTTATGCTGCAGGAACAGAATGTGCGGATTTGGCGAGGATAATATGGATGAGCACGACATGCTTATGATCCGATCCGGGTGGGGGAAGAACCGAAGAAGGAAAATTGTGGGCTGTGTCCGCTGGGTGCGGGGTGGGGTAGCGTGTGTTGGGTGTATCAAAATAAAGCGGAGATATTTTAGCATCAGCGCTTTGAAAATTCACAAATACTATTCCCTCCGTTTTGGATAAAATTATGTACGATACTATAGATAATGAAATTTGGAACGGTCAGGATGTTCAATTGAAAAAATGTGCACCGTCCACAATATATACACAAATAATACATAGATATTTGTGTTATTAGTTCAATGTCTTGTACATGCGGAAATTAGAATTGAATATATATATTTAAAAAAATAAAGTAAGACATACCAAAATTAGAGAAAAAAAAAAAAAAAACGTGAAATTGAGGGAGTAGCAGTTACTTCAACTGTAGTGTTTGTATAGGTTTTTTTTTAACTTTTTTTTTTTTTTTTTATGAATTTTTTATACATGGATACCGTATATAGTAACTTCAACACAGTGGAAAGCCAGTAGGTACATGTATGTATGTATAATATAATTAGGTTTTAATGACTGTTGGAAACCACGACCGTTATCCGAAAATGTATACCGGTTAAACCTCCGGCGAAACTTAATACATTGCAAATAAAATACTCCATCGTCATTTAATTGTATACGAATTTTAAAAAAAAAATAGATAAAAATATAAATTTTTATTTTCTTGGATAAAGAAAAAAATAAAAAAAAATAGTATTTTTTACTAAAAAAATAAATAAAAATAAATTTAAATGACAAAAAAATAAATAAATAAATAAATTTGAATGATGAATGAGTAATTAGTTTTGAAATAACATGCACATGCCAAATTAATCATTCTCATTTTTGTGTATCGACTTTTTGGATTGCTTCATTAATGGAGGATGGCTGGGGCTGGGGCTGGGGCTGGGGCTGGGGCTGGGGCATTTATTTATGTATTTATTATTTTGATTGGACTTGAGGCCATTTATTTATTATTAAGTGAGAATTGGTGGTTGTTGATAAATCTAATGATCTGTAAATTATTAGTCATATATATCAACTTCCCTAGCTCTTTCAATTCCTTGGATTAATGTACCATTTTAATTATGATAGAGGACGACGATCACGACTTGTGTGGCCACTTGTTTGGGTTGGTTGTTCGTTCTTAGTAAATTAATGTAAGTAGAGCATATGAGATTGTACTGACTACTTTCAACTGTTGATATATATAGTGTATATATATTTTATATATTGATATATATATCCTACCTAATATATCTCTTGTATAAATATAATATTGTATTCTAGTTGCGATTTAACGAAAATAGAGTTTATTCCATAAATCGTAACATGGTATCAGAGCCATGCTTTTTTCCGACCAAATCGAAACAACCCACGAATTCCAGATAGCATATTTCCGACCACTTCCGACCGTCATCGCCACCACCATCGTCTTCGCCGTCACGAGACCGGCCGGACACCGGAACAGTTCGGCGAACGGCGGCGCGTGAGCCTCACACGCGCCCGACGTGTTTTCCGGCCGGACGCCTCGCCGGCGCGTGGAGGCGCGTGCGGCGGCCGTTGGCGGCGATCTTTGCACCGTCATGTTCGAAATTTGATTTCCTCCGCGATGGTATCTTCACTTTTTCCGTTTGAGCAGTTTTTTGTATCCGGTTGACTTTTTGTGTTTCGGGTTTGATTCGGTTTCTGTCGTTTCGGCTTTCGGCTTGAGGTTTGAGATATTGTTTTCTCTTGATTTTCTATGGAAAATATGGATGTACATATTCCGATCAATGTTGTTATGTCCGGAGATAATTACAGTTTGTGGGCACAATCGATGAAAAGTTTTTTGATAGGTCGGAAATTGTGGCGAATTGTTACGGGAGATATAGTTGCCCCCATTGCTCCGGTTTCTATAGGAGAAGTTACGCCTACCGCCACAGTTGTTGAATCTTATATTGAAAAATTGGAGGAATGGGATAGTAAAAACCATCAAATTCTCACTTGGTTGCGCAATACTTCCACTCCGGCGATCCATGTTCAGCTTGCCCAATTTGACACTGCCAAGGCAGCGTGGGATTTCTTGGCAGTCCGCTTCCGTGCTACTGGTTTGGTACACTATTATCAGTTATGAAGCACTCTCCACGATCTAAAACAGGAATCAGGACAATCTATCAATGACTTCCTTGCCCAAGTGCAACCCCTTTGGCATCGGTTGGATCAAGCAGAGATCAGTCCTGATCATCATCGCCTCATTCAGGTCTTGATGGCTTTGCGTCCAGAGTATGAGGCAGTTCGTGCCTCTTTGTTACATCGGCATCCACTTCCTACCTTGGATGCAGCTATTCAGGAGATTCTGTTTGAGGAAACTCGTCTCCACCTAGCTAAGGCTCCTCAGCTTGATTCTGCTCTTGCGGTCACTGCCCGAACTCCTACTCAGAGTCGTTCTCATCGTTGCAAAAGATGTCAGTCCTCTGATCATGACTTCGGTCATTGCCCAAAGGTGGAGTGTCACTACTGTCATGTTTTAGGCCATACTATACAGTATTGCCCCACTAGGCCGTCTCGCTCTGGCAGTAGTCACTACAAGCCTCGGCATTCTCGTGGACCTCAGTCTGGTACCTCCTCTGTCACAGCCTCTGCTGCGCCTGCGCCTGCGCCTCCTACGATTCAGGACCTGGAAGCTCTTCTTAAACAGGTTCTATCTTCCAATACCGTCATGTCTACCACATCAGGTAACTCTCCTTGGTATTTTGATTCTGCTTGCAGTAATCATATGACCTCTGATATACGCCTTATGACCTCCACATCCACCGCACCATCCTTACCTCCTATCCTTACTGCCAATGGTACCCATATGCGCATCACCCATACCGGACATACATCCACCTCATCCTTATCCCTCCCCGACACATACTGTATCCCTCAATTAACCTTAAATATGATTTCCGTTGGTCAATTAGTTGATCAAGGTCTCACCGTGATATTTTCTTCTACTGGTGTGCAGGTTCAGGACGCGCAAACCGGGCGGACTCTTGGGAAGGGCCGGAAGACGGGCCGCTTATTTGAACTTACGTCACTCCAGGTCCCTCGTCCCTCTATCTCAGCTGCCACCACCTCTACACCATCCTGCCTTCAGTGGCATCATCGTCTCAGTCATGCGTCTTCCAATAAAGTCAGGTATTTGATTAGTCAGGGTAGTTTGGGTTCTGTTAAGTTTGAAACTTTTCATTGTGTGGATTGTTCGTTGGGAAAACAACCTGCTGTGTCATTTCCTCATAATACTTCCATTGCGGATACTCCGTTTTCCTTAGTTCACTCGGATATTTGGGGACCTTCGCCAGCTGTGTCTATGAATGGTTCTCGTTATTTTGTGATTTTTATTGATGACTATTCTCATTTTACATGGATTTACTTTCTGCGGCATCGTTCTGAACTTCCATCTATTTATATGACCTTTGCTAAAATTATACATACCCAATTTTCCTTTACCATAAAATCTCTCCGCACAGATAATGCTCTTGAGTATACTGATTCATCATTTCTTAGTTTCTTATCTGATCAAGGTACTGCTGTCCAACGCTCTTGCCCATACACCTCTCCATAAAATGGTCGCGCCGAACGTAAACACCGACATATCCTCGATACAGTCCGCACTCTTCTCTTATCTGCCTCTTGTCCAGATCGCTTTTGGGGGGAAGCCGCACTCACCGCTGTCCACACTATAAATCGTGTCCCTTCCTCTGTCCTGGGTAATGTCAGTCCTTTTGAAAGACTATTTAATCGTACCCCTGATTATAGTCTTCTCCGCCCTTTCGGTTGTGTCAGTTTTGTCCTCCTCCCTCCTCATGAGCGCATTAAGTTAGAACCTCGCGCGCGTCTGTGTTGCTTCCTGGGCTACGGGTTAGAACATAAGGGTTATCGTTGTTGGGATCCCATTTCCAATAGGCTACGTATTTCTCGTCATGTCACATTTTGGGAGGATACCAAATTCTCTTCCTTGTCCCACTTCCGAGTCCCCTTTGATTATTCGTCTCCGTTCTTTGCCTTGTCCTCTCCACCCCTATTCCCTTCCAGTGACACGGCTCCGTCTCCGTCTCCCGCTCCTGACGCTGTCCCGGTTGCGCCTCCTGAACCGCTGCTGATCCCCGAGCCTACTCCTACTCTCGACTCCGATACATCACCACCACCAGAGCCTGACACGACTTCGATCTCAGCCCCTGATCCTGGCCCTCGTCGTTCCACTCAGGTTAGTCACCTTCCTACTCACTTACTTGATTATCACTGCTTCTCTGCCACCTTGTCCCATCATGAGCCCAGGTTCTTTCGTGATGCGTATGCGGATCCGTTGTGGCGGCAGGCTATGTCTGAGGAGTTGCAGGCTTTGGAGAAAACCCATACGTGGGATATGGTTGATCTTCCCCCTGGCAAGAAACCTATTGGCTGCAAGTGGGTATTCAGAATCAAAACTCACTCTGATGGATCTATCGAGCGCTACAAAGCGCGTTTGGTAGCCAAAGGCTACACCCAGCAGTATGGTATCGACTATGAGGAGACATTTGCCCCGGTTGCTCGTCTCACCTCTGTCCGTTGTCTTATCGCCATCGCTGCCGCTCGTCGGTGGCCCCTGCATCAGCTTGATGTCAAGAATGCGTTCTTACATGGTGATTTATCCGAGGATATCTACATGTCTCCTCCTCCTGGTTTTCCTACCTCTTCCAAGGTATGCAAACTTCGCCGTGCCCTATATGGTTTGAAACAGGCACCTCGAGCTTGGTTTTCGAAATTTAGCTCTGCTCTACTCCAGCTTGGCTTTACTTCTAGTGATCATGATTCGGCTCTTTTCCTTCGACGTGGGTCAGCTGGAATTACTATTTTATTGCTTTATGTGGATGACATGATCATTACGGGAGATGATGCATCAGGTATCTCCGAGTTGCAGGCTCATCTACACCGCCACTTCGAGATGAAGAGTTTAGGGCCTCTTCGGTACTTCCTAGGACTTGAGATCTCTGACACCTCCGACGGATATTATCTCTCTCAAGCCAAGTATGCCTCCGACCTCCTATCTAGTGCCGGTCTCACTGACTCCAAGACTGCTCCTACACCTCTTGATGCTAACTGTGTCGTCTTACTCCGATGGACGGCGTTCCCCTTGATGATCCGACTTTGTATCGTCAGCTAGTGGGAAGTCTCATCTACCTGACTGTCACTCGACCGGATATTGCTTATGCCGTCCATATCGTCAGTCAGTTTATGTCTGCTCCTCGGACGACTCATCATTCTGCTGTCCTACGGATTCTCCGGTACGTCAAAGGTACTCTTCTTCATGGGCTTCATTATTCCGCTCGTTCCTCCTTAGTTTTGACCGGGTATTCTGACGCTGATTGGGCGGGAGATCCCTCTGATCGCCGCTCGACCACCGGGTTTTGCTTCTTCCTTGGCGACTCGCTTATTTCATGGCGCAGCAAGAAACAGACGGTTGTCTCCCGGTCCAGTGCAGAGTCTGAATATAGAGCCCTTGCCGATACCGCTGCCGAGCTTCTATGGCTTCGCTGGCTTCTGGCTGATCTTGGAGTGCCTCAGCCCTCTGCCACTATTATCCATTGCGACAGTCAGAGCGCCATGAAGATTTCGACAAATGATGTCTTCCACGAGCGTACGAAGCACATTGAGATCGACTGTCACCTTGTACGTCATCACGTTGCTCATGGAAGCATCTCCTTGTCTCCTATTTCCTCTGCTGATCAGACGGCCGACGGATTCACCAAACCTCACCTTCCCGGCCGTTTTCAGTCATTTTTGAGCAAACTCAAGTTGGGTTCCACCGTTCCACCTTGAGTTTGAGGGGGGATGTTGATATATATAGTGTATATATATTTTATATATTGATATATATATCCTACCTAATATATCTCTTGTATAAATATAATATTGTACCCTAGTTGCGATTTAACGAAAATAGAGTATTGTATATAATAGTGTATATATATTTTATATATTGATATATATATCCTACCTAATATATCTCTTGTATAAATATAATATTGTACCATAGTTGCGATTTAACGAAAATAGAGTTTATTCCATAAATCGTAGCATCAACTATCAGAAGTAGATTGAAACAGTAGTTAACTAATAATATCTTTTACAATAATACTAGAGCATAGACCATAGAGTAAATTTTATTGGCTTCGCCAAAATACTCAAAGTAGAACAAGACAGGCTGGTGCGGTGCAATCGAGGTCCTTCCCAACGCCCGGATGATCCATTCTCCCCAATTTTATTTTATTTTTGTTCTCTCACTGATTGAACGGAGAACTTCCTCGCTGATGGGGAGGGAGAGGTACGGTGTGGTGTGTGTTGTCAAATTTCTGATATGGGGAAGAAAAGTTGTTGTTGCCATTGCCATCGAATTTTTGGGATGGGGAGGTAGAGCTACTGTTCGTCAAAATTTTGGCGTAGAGAAGAACATATGTCGTCGCTTCGAGTTTCTAGGATAAATATATATATATATATAATTTCTAGTGTTGGGAGAAGGTTGCATTAAAATTTCTAGTGTTGAAAGAGAAAATACTCTTCTTTTTAATTTTATTTTATTTTCTCTTAAATAAATAAATAATAATATATGTGGAGAATTTAATAATTAATTTAGCCTGAAGTATTGGCTCCGTTTAGATAGCCTCGTTTGCCTTCGGTCTCATTGTTACATTTGGACACTGTGAGACGTTCACTTCCTAAGTTATAAGATCTCATTAATGAGAGGTGGGCTTCACTCAAATAATTGGTTCCATCATTAATGATATTATACTATTATATAAAATGTAATCATATAAATATATATTATAATATCCTATTTTGTTTTGAATTATTTTATATTAATAATAAAGTAATATTTTTTACTATTATATTTTATATTATGTAAAATTTTTATTTTCTATAAAATAATATAAATATTTTCTATAGTTTTATTAATACATTTATAAAACCAAATTTAATATTTTTTCTATCAAATATATTAAATCAATATTTTGTTTCCATATAATCAATTATACTATTTATTGTACTATAATATTACAATAAAAAAATTTATTCAAAATATCTTCAATTTTTTATTTAAACACATTTTAATTCAAATACAACTTTTTTTTTTTTTCAATTCAAAAAATTTCAATTTTATTTTTTATTTTTTCAAAATTTCAAAACTTGAAATCTCTCTATCTAAATAGGGTCATTGGCTTTGACATATCAAAAAATAGATACAATTTATTTATGTGATGACCATTGTGCTCTTAGTCCGCCCTATTTGGAATATGCACGGTCCACGGCAGCATGTCCATTATATTGGCTACATGGTAACTATTTTAGCTAAGAGTAAAGAAAACTCCTCAATTTGCTGATTGTTCAGGTACTTGAACTCACATAGGCAAATTTTCATCAAAATGCATCCAATAGCTTTTTAATATTTTATTTTGTTTTTCGTCAAAAAAAAAATAAATTTTTTTGGTTGTCTAACTCTGCAGTAGTTTCATAAATTTTATGTCTAACTCTCTTGTTAGTTATTAGCTTTTTAATGATATTTGACCTACACATGCCCAAACAATAAATTTAAGAATTTTTATTTCTAAATCTTTAAAATTACAAATATATCCATTTATTCTATCTTTAGTCTAAAATATAGTTAGAAAAATTCTTAAAATCGGAAAAAAATAATTATATTTTAATATATTTACTGTTATTTGATATTAAATGTAAGAATAATAAGTATATTTCTAATTTTCAAAAATTTAGAATTAAAAATTTTGAAACTTATTCGCAATTTAGACGTCAAATACTGTTAAATAAGAATGACTGAGGGTGTTGAGACTTTCATATAAAAAATGAAATTGATAAACAAATTTTTTTGATAGAACGCCGTTCTAAACGACTATTCCAATTCAATTATCTTTTTTTTTTGCGCAGGTCAATATGCTTGCTTCTTCCAAGAGTAATTGATTCCAAACAGAATCACACAATCAACAAGAGTAGTTAGAGGTCGACTTTATGTAACTACGACGAGGTTTTCACACAAATTTAAAAATATAAAAAAATTTGGCCTAATTTCATGAAATTGCAAATCAATTTTGTGCACTTTAAACAGCCATTGATACAATACTGATGCATTTTCTCTTATGTCTGATGCCTAATGAAAGTTTAATTAATGACGACGATGAGCTAAGAAATATTAGATTTTATGTAATTTTGTAGTTGTTTTTTTTTCATATTTAATATTGTCTATTTTATTTTGTCCTTCTGAATTTTACAGCTAGTTCCCTTTAGTTCGGGATAACTTTAACTAATTACTTAATTAATTTTCTAGATAACTCTCCATGGATGAATGTACGTACATATCTAGTTTCTTCTGTGTTTGTTTTGTTAAAAATGTTCTAAGATATTTTTTCAAAAAATAACATATTATATATATTTATTATTTATAGAATTTTTTATATCTTACATAATTTTTTTAAAAAAAACAAAAATACAAAACAAACAAATCTTAACTCTGAACTGAAATGAGAGATAAACCAAAAAAGAAGAAAAAGAGAAGAAGAGGTGCACTTGGGCAGAGGGAGAAACTAGTTCAAGTCATAAGTTCCATGTAAAGCAATAAATTGTGGGTGAAGATCCATCTACCCAAAAAAGGAACACAATAATACTTTGCTAATTATGATGCACAATAACAATAACGACTACAGTTTGTACAGTAAATAAATAAATAAATGTGGGTTTGGGTGCAGGCGGCCAGCAGAGCAGTGGTGTTGAGAGAGAGAGAGAGAGAGAGAGAGAGAGAGAGAGAGAGAGAGAGAGAGAGAGAGAGAGAGAGCGCCAGCGCGTACACGCGGAATCACGTCAGTGGTCGGGCCCATGGTTGACGGTGGTGGCAATTCCGCTATTACTCCCACTTTGAAGTTTCCAAATGCCAAATGCCGCTGTGGCCGCTGGCTTTCTCGGAATGAAAGAAAAAGGAGAGAGAGATTGAGGAATTATTATTATTATTTCTTTTTGATCGGATTATTTTATTTATTATTATTATTAGTACGGACGACGACGGAAGGCAAAAGGGACCAGAGAAGGAGAAGGAAAGGGATTTAATTTCCTTCAACAGAATTCCCCGCAGTAAAATATCGATGTACTCTCTCTCTCTCTCTCTCTCTCTCTCCAACCCAACCCAACCCAACGCGACCAGGTAGATATATACACTACCCCTTCTGCTCCGTTCTCGTTGCTCTTTCCAACACAATCTCCTTCCTTTCTTCCTGTTTCTCCCCCTCCTCCAGCCTTCATCATCTCCCTCTCTATGTTTCTGGGAACCGCATAACAGTTTCACCCTCTGACTGATATGGCAGGTGGCGTCACCAAGTACGCACCCATCAATGGCGGCACTTTGATCTCAGACTTCAAATCCCACTTCTCCATCCTCCGCCCTCGCCCCAAGAGGACTGTCACTCTTGCCTATGCCTTCGTCTCCCTTTTCATTGCCTTCACTCTCTTTCTTGCCTTCACTCCTTCCAACTCTTCCTCTCCTTGGTTTACAAACGTCTTTACCCTACCCTCTCCCACGCCATCTCCATCTCCAACTTCTACTTCTACTTCTTATAGATCTCAATTCTCTTCTATCTTCAATTATTTTTTCCCCAATTCCTCTTCCTCCTCCTCCACCGACAATGCTGGATCTCAGGACGCTGCCTTTTCCTCTCCCAATTTGAACGAGGAGCCTCCTTCTGTGCAAACTCAGACCAAAACTGAAGCTTTGCCTCATAAAGTTAAGGCTCTGCAGCCAGATCATGCTGCCGACTCGAGTTCGCCTCCCAAGTCTCCTGTAAGCACGCCTGTAAATAAGAATAGTAATAGTATTACAAACACACCGACACCTTCTCCTGAGTTGAACCGAGGCAGTATAGGTGTAAAAAATCAGACATCCGATGGTAAAGGTGGAGTCTTGAAGATAAATCAGACTCGGAGCCAAGCTCATCGAGATCAAGTTGAAGTTTTGAAGGCCAATCAAAGCACAATTGGGGCCACAAAGTCTAACAAACCTCCGAATTCGAACGTAGACAAGGCAATTACAGAAAAGAGAGCGGGCAGCAACCTGACTTCATCTCTGATGAAGAAACAGGGTAATGGCACGAATTCTGGTGCGGCTAAAAAAGGAATGGATGATTTGGTAAAGACTCTGATGAATTGCGATGTCTTCGATGGAAATTGGGTGAAGGATGATTCTTATCCACTTTACAAACCTGGTTCCTGTTCTCTAATCGACGAGCAATTCAACTGTTTCCTCAATGGTAGGCCGGATAGTGGATTTCACAAATTGAAATGGAAGCCAAAAGGTTGCACTCTACCGAGGTAAGGCTGATTGAGGTGTTTTGGTTTCGGTAATTAATGGGGCTGCTTTGATCGATTAAATTATACAGTTTTTTTTTTTTTAAAAAAAGAGAAGAATTAAAAAACAAATAAATATTTAAAAGTTGAATATTGCCTGTATCTATTTCTGAGGGTACATTTGAACTGATCTATATATTTGTACTCCTTCAGTTATACGGAGTCATTTACCTCGTTACTTATGATCAATCCGATGACAAGGATGAATAACAGTTTTATCAGTTTGCAGCTGTAGATACACTGGCTGCGTCTCAAATTTAAATGCAATGAAGTTTTATGCAAATTTCTTTCTACAAGGACCAGGTTAGGAATTGATTTTATTGCTGTTGAATGTCAGGTTGAATGGAAGCCAAATGCTGGAATTGCTAAGAGGAAAGCGGTTAGTGTTCGTAGGTGATTCTCTCAATCGGAATATGTGGGAATCCCTGATTTGCATCCTGAGGAACTCTGTAAAAGATAAGAAGAAAGTCTATGAAGAGTTCGGGAGGCACCATTTCCGATCAGAAGCCTCTTATTCGTTTGTCTTCGAAGTAAGTTTATGTTCATCTCCTTGAGAGTTGTGTTCTTTTGGGTCAGCATCTGATCATATATATATATATACATATATTGGCGTTTGTTTATAGGATTACAAGTGCACAGTGGAGTTCTTTGTTACTCCCTTCCTGGTTCAAGAGTGGGAAGTAACTGGTAAGAACGGGACGAAGAAGGAGACACTTCGACTTGATCTGATCAGCAGGTCTGCTGATAAATATAAAAACGCAGACATCATCGTGTTCAATACTGGACACTGGTGGACGCATGAGAAGACATCATTGGGGTAACTTACATACATACTCATTATAACATGTCCTATTGTAGTTGGGTCCATGTAAGTAAGATTATCATATGGCTGCTTTCAGGAAGGACTATTATCAAGAAGGCAGCCATGTGTATAGCGACTTGAATGTCCTTGAGGCTTTTAGGAAAGCTATAACAACATGGGGGAGGTGGGTTGATGCCAATGTGAACCCCAAAAAGTCGCTAGTGTTCTTCAGAGGCTATTCAGCATCTCATTTCAGGTACTACATATAACAATACAGCCTCTTGCATTTTGTTGTCTGAGATTTGGGAGTTGTTTGCTTCACACATATTTGCTTGTCATTGAGTGTAAAAATGTTATAGGAAAGAAGGATTGTGTAAAATGTGCATATTTGTTTTGTTTGCCATTGGCGCATTCTTTATTTCTGTTTCGCCGATTTATAAGGGGGGCTGGGTTTCATTCGCATGGTATTGAGATTACGTATGTGTTGTGTTGGGTGCATGCAGCGGTGGGCAGTGGAACTCAGGTGGGCAGTGTGACCATGAAACAGAGCCAATAAAGAATGACACATACTTGACGCCATATCCGGACAAGATGATTGTGTTGGAGAAGGTTTTCAGGGGAATGAAAACGCGTGTGAACTACCTGAATGTAACGAGGATGACAGACTATCGCAAGGATGGGCATCCATCAATATATCGTAAGCAGCAGATGTCAGAGGAAGAGAGGAGGTCGCCCTTGAAATTTCAAGACTGTAGCCATTGGTGCCTCCCGGGTGTGCCTGATGCTTGGAACGAAGTCCTGTATGCAGAGCTCTTGGTGAAGCTGTACCAGCAGCAGCAGCAGAGGCAAGAGCAGAATAGGTAAAAGAAAATGAAAGCTCCTCTGGTGATGGGGGGGTGTGTATTGATCACCAACAACACAACACCATGAACAGATGAAATGATAGGGTGGAGAGAAGAAAGGAGCCCCTGAAGTCGGATGAAGAAGAGTAATTCTTTTATTTTGGAAAACGCGTATATACATACATACATACATACATACATACACACACACATAGAGAGAGGGAATGAATGAATGAGTGAATATGCGGCCGATCAGGAGGGGATACAAGCCAGGGAGAAAGAAAGGATAGCCAGGTGTGTTGATATATCTATTACTATTATATAAGTTTTAAAACAGGAAATATGAAACAAGAGAGGATGGGAAAGGGAAAGGATTGATAATTAGTTGGAAAGATGAGGGCTTGTTTCTTTCCTTGTGAAGAAGAACAATAATGTAATGTTCCCCTATAAACATAATATATTTTTATTGCTTTAATATGGCCGCATACTAATGGTTTTTATTGGATGGAAAGTTGAATTGAACCAAGTGAAGTCCCTCTCCAGTAGTCTAGTCCCTGTTGCGGTACGAACGGCGGTCCTTTTGGGTGAATATGTTTATTTAACACTCGATCCGCCCGATTAATATGGTTGACTGCTTTGCTTTGGTTTGCACTGTTTGGATATGGTATGGTTGGTGTAATGTTGACGATTTTCAACACATTCACATGGCTTCCTTTGAAAATTAGAGGTGGTTGCCCTTATGGCTGAACCACTGTCTCACTGACTATTTTTTAAATAATAATAATAATAATCTCTCTCCCAACCCCACCCCACCCCTCTCTCTCTCTCTCTCGGCTTTAATTTCTTTTCCTTTTGTCTTTTGTCTTTATGGACGGTGCAGTGTAGTGTGGTTAGATTAGGTGATTGACTAAGAGCATATACAACTGAGTGGGTACATTTAAATGGCAAGCTATTCTGTGAGAGACTTTTTATTTAAAAAGAACATGACACAATGACATGATTTTAGAGAGTAAAAGGTGTGACAGCAGAAGAAAATATTTTACTACCGTTGTGTATATATTCTTTCATTGATGTTCAGATTTGATTTGACGAGATCGATACGTCAGCAGATGAAGGCTCTTTTTTTTTTGTATTCAGACTAATGCAGGACTTTAGAGAGGCAGGTGCGTGGCATGGCGATGGCGGGCGAGCGGCCCCTGCCCCTCCCCTGGCTTGGTTTCTCATTAATGTTGTAGGCAGGTAGTATCATTATCGGCATTCATGCTGATACTGATGATGATGTTACATCACACTACACACACACAATTAACATGTACATGCATGATTAAGCACGGGCACGCCTCCCTCCTCCATCTTCAATCATTTCTCTTAATTCCAGAGAAGAAGAGATGTAAGCTTTATCCTTCTCTCTCTCTCTCTCTCTCTCTCTCATTGGAATTGGAAAACCACCCCACCCCACCCCTTTCTTGTACAAATTACATAATCAATGTTCTTTTAGGAGATGAAGCTTTAAGAAATACTTGGAACGGAATGAACATTAGGAAAGTCCCTGGCACGGCCGCTTATTGCGGCGCTTTATTGCCTGCTTGCTTGCTTGCTATTCATCATCTGCACTTTCTCTAGCTCCTGCCGGCATACATGTAATAATTAACTACTTGCCTGCCTCTCTCAGCAGCGAATATGCATGTATGTCTGTATGTAGTATTATCATTTGGTCTTTCTTTTTTTTGGCCGTGCCGTGAAGTGAAATTGTATCGTATGTTAGTTAGAGAGGTTGGCGAACGTCTCGATCCTCCTCCAATTATATGGGCATGGCATGGCATGCTCGATGAACATGATTTTGGAACAAGCTTAATTGTGAAGGCACACTGGCAGTAGTTGCTGGCGGGTGGATCCATCCGGTAGGCTTCCTTCATACAGGCAACACAGGAATGTGTCTGTGGTTGAACTTTTGATAATAACAATGCATCGGTTCGGATCGATAAGGCTGAATCACGCACTCAGCTAGCCTCCACATCCAGAAACAGAGAGTTGAGGCTTGAGTGGAAGTACTCAAGAGTGACCGTATTAATTATTCGAGCCAGATATGAAATATATGTATATATATATAACTGCATGCATTCATGCATATATACGTTGGAATGTTCGTCGTATTGTTGGAGTTCTTGTCCGTGAAGGTGCAAGCAGATTTCCAGATCTCAACGGTTAGAAGCATGTCAGAAGTTTCATCCATAAAGGACGCCTTGAGTTCATCTGGAAAACAGGGGAAACGTGGCTCAGTCGTAGGGAGTCTTTATCCAAAACAGAAATTTCTAACGTTCTCAGAGAAATTGCACACGGACAGAGATCCACATGCGGAAAGCAAGCAAGCAGGTAAAAGACTTCTTACATTGTCTTTTTTAGTTGTCTGGTCCTGGTCCTTGAATGGCGTCCCACCGTTAATTGCTGCATTCAACATGTCGTTCTTGCTCGTTTTTCCCATGTCCTCCCGAGCATGAGAGCCAGTGGGTGCAAAACTCATGTGCCTCCTCCTCGGAGCAACTTCACGTTTTTCAACCACCGGTACTGTCCAGTACTTATTGTTTCCTGTTTGCTTGGACTCTTGATGATAGTCGTTACAAGCCTGCTGCTGTGTGCAGCTGGCCTCATTTCTCTCATGCTCGGTCTCAATAGACCTAGCAATTTCTATGGAAAAGCATGCATCGCTGAAATGACAACTTGGCAATGAGAAGTTATCAGACATGGTCAGGCCGATCATCGAGTGGTCTGCAGATTGAGGCTGCGGGTCCTCATCATCATCAAGATTTCCATTTCTCACATTCTGCTCTTGGATCCTTCCCTTCACTCCTTCTGAAAGCAGCTCCATAAGTTCACGTTCGCGTTCATTAATCAGGTATGGCTCGTGATCTCGTACCCAAGTGACATGCGGACCCAAGCTATTCGTATTATCAGGATAGGGTGATGGAATTTCTGTACTAGGAGGAGCAACAGCACATTGAACATGTGCATCAAAATCGCAGGTGGTACAGTGATAAACCCATCCATTATATTTATAGGTGCTGCTAGAGCTAGAGCTAGCTCTGTGGCGGCATAACTGGCAGCGGAAATCGTAGGCAGGTTTGAAGTCTAGTTTGAGGGTGTGAGGGTGAGCGGATGGGATTCGAACTGAAAGAAGAGGCATTGCCATGCACAACATGTGAAAGTTACAGCTGGAGCATTTGGGTAATTTGGAGTCGGATTTGGTGCAGCTGTAGCGGAAGCCAGCAGCAGCAGCAGGATTACTGTTGGTTCCACAGGCGTCGCACACAGGCACAGATGATTGGTAGATATGGTGGGAGTCGTCGTGTGAAAGGGTGGTGGTGAGATAGAGAGGATGGTTTGGGTGCATCGCCATTCTCGGCATGCTGAAGCAGACCTTGTGGAGAGAGAGCCGGCAAACTTTGCATCGGTGGAAGAAGAGTTTGTTGGGAGCAATAGATGATATAATGATGTAGTCTAGTGGATGATGGTGATGGTGATGGTGATGGTGATGATGATGTTTCAAGTCGTCCTCGTCGTTGTCTTCTTCTTCTTCTCCTTCTTACAGCATTCTGTTGTCGGCGTCATTTGTCACACTACATGCCGGAACCCGGACGGACAGAGACAGGCAGGCTCAGACGACAGAAACCAAACCAGACATTCTCATGGCATTGTGTGGAGGGAGGGAATGGGAATGGGAGTGGGAGTGGGAATGAATAAATGAAGGATGTCGTCAATTCCAAGTTCAAACCAAGCTAAGCTAGCCGGCTGGTATCCAATGCTATATGCGATGATATCCACAATAGGGATTCCGTTCCATATAAATATATATATATATGGAAAGAATGGATACACTGGTACACACACAACATTTTAAATTGTGTGTGTATCGTATCATGTATGGGACCATGGCCTGCCAAGCTGCAAGGAAGGAACCATAGCATGCATGGCTTTTTGTTCCAATACCAATACCAATACCAATACCATTTACTCTAAACCCCAATTTGCAAAAACACAGCGGCAGATTCTTTTGCGTAAGGCGGGCGGCAGCTTGGCTGCTGGACTGGTTACGTTACTTATTATGGATATTTTTATTTTGAGGGGACAAGAGAATATTATATACAACAGATTATTTCTCTTCCTTCTTGCAAAGTCAATGCCAATTATTATTTGAATATATATTTATATACATTCAGTACAATTTGCATTATAAATAACGAAAGCTAGCCAATTAGTCTGCTAGTTAATTTGTCCTTACTCATCTTCACCAAACTCCCTCGCCCTCCCCCTTTTTTTTTTTTTTTTTTTTTTTTTTAAAAAAAAGAATTCCTCCCACTTGCAGTTAGCTAGCTAGCAAGCTGTCTTGACTTATTGCTGGGTCTTCCCACTTGCCAAAAGGAGAAGAAAAAAAAAAAAAAAAAAAAAAAAGAAACGGAGGAAGACTAATAAGATGAAATTGAATAGTAATCAATCATCACGAATTAAATACTAGTACTACTTACAGAACATGATATGCATAACAGTACACCTTAATTGATCGAGACTCCATCAATCAATCAGTCAATTATGGAGTACAAGCATTTCAGCCACGAGCACAACCTGTCGCTGTACAGAGTGGTGGAGGTGGAGGCAGTCGGGGCAGGGCAGCGGTGCCACGGGTGCCAGCAGCCGCTCCGGGATTCCTGTAACTCGTCGTCCGTACTGGGCTGCCGGAAGTGTAACTTCTTCCTGCACGAGCACTGCGGGAATGCGAACCGATACGTGAAGCACCCGTCGCACAGGCTGCACCCTCTCATCCTCCTGCCCACCCCAACCTACTGCAGCGGCTCCTTCTCCTGCGATGCCTGTGGCGCTCCCGGCAGCACCTTCTCCTACTGCTGTGCGCTCTGCGAGCTCGACCTCCACCTGCATTGTGCCTTCCTGCCCCCCAGTGTCACCCACAACGCCCACCCGCACGACCTGTCCCTCACTTTCCAGGGCACACGCACAGGCACAGATCCTCAGCGATGCAGTGTTTGCACGAGGCTGCTGAGCTCCAGGAACTGGTCTTACGTCTGCAACAGACCTGAGCCTCATTGTCGGCATTTTCAGGCCCACACCTTCTGTGCCACTGCACAAGTGAAGCCAGGACTGTATCAGGATGACGACGCAGCAGCAGCAGCAGAATTAGAACAGGTCCAGAACCGTCCGCAACATTGTTCCAATTCCAATGATACGATACCCGTGTATCCTCCACCACCAGAGCCACAGGCATCGTCCCCCGTCCCAGCTGAGGCGGTTCTTGCTGAGATGTTTCACCAACAGCTGCTCCTGCAAATGGCTCAGAATCTCAAGCACGGAACCAGATAGACACATACATAATCAAATTTCGTCCTCTGCTCGGATCAATAGAGTAAGAATCCGTGCGTTGCAGTTGCGCTCATATATATACACATGTTATTTATTAATGTCTAAGTCCTTTCTAAGATTGAACGCTTGTGCTTTTTCTACAATTTTCAATATTGGCTACCAATTTCCATGACATATAATGTGAAACCTTTTTCTCGGGATGGATGAAGAACATTTCCTACCACGACTATCTATCTATCTATCCATTACCATTATGATTAACAATGACCAAAAGATATTTATGGATTATAACGATGTACCTATTTGCCAAATTGAAAGAATAATTTTGTTAAGATATATTGTTTTTTTTATTTATTATTATTATATGCTTATATTATTATTAGATTGTTATTATTTGAATGTTGATATATATATAGTATATATATATTTTATATATTGATATATATATTCTACCTAATATATCTCTTGTATAAATATAATATTGTACCCTAATTGTGTTCAATGAAAATAGAGTTTATTCCATAAATCGTAACATGGTATCAGAGCCATGCTTTTTCCCGACTAAATCGAAACAACCCACGAATTCCAGATAGCATATTTCCGATCACTTCCGACCGTCACCGCCACCACCATCGCCTTCGCCGTCACGAGACCGGCCGGACGCCGGAACAGTTCGGCGAACGGCGGCGCGTGAGAGTCACACGCGCCCGACGTGTTTTTCCGGCCGGACGCCTCGCCGGCGCGTGGGGGCGCGTGCGGCGGCCGTTGGCGGCGATCTTTGCACCGTCGTGTTCGGAATTTGATTTCCTCCGCGATGGTATCTTCACTTCCTCGGTTTGAGCAGTTTTTTGTATCCGGTTGACTTTTTGTGTTTCGGGTTTTGATTCGGTTTCTTTCGTTTCGGCTTTCGGCTTGAGGTTTGAGATTCTGTTTTCTCTTGAGTTTCTATGGAAAAGATGGATGTACATATTCCGATCAATGTTGTTTTGTCTGGAGATAATTACAGTTTGTGGGCACAATCGATGAAAAGTTTTTTGATAGGTCGAAAATTGTGGCGAATTGTTACGGGAGATATAGTTGCCCCCATTGCTCCAGTCTCTATAGGAGAAGTTACGCCTACCGCCACAGTTGTTGAATCTTATATTGAAAAATTGGAAGATTGGGATAGTAAAAACCATCAAATTCTCACTTGGTTGCGCAATACTTCCACTCCGGCGATCCATGTTCAGCTTGCCCAATTTGACACTGCCAAGGCAGCGTGGGATTTCTTGGCAGTCCGCTTCCGTGCTACTGGTTTGGCACATTATTATCAGTTATGGAGCACTCTCCACGATCTAAAACAGGAACCAGGACAATCTATCAACGACTTCCTTGCCCAAGTGCAACCCCTTTGGCATCGGTTGGATCAAGCAGAGATCAGTCCTGATCATCTTCGCCTCATTCAGGTCTTAATGGCTTTGCGTCCAGAGTATGAGGCAGTTCGTGCCTCTTTGTTACATCGGCATCCACTTCCTACCTTGGATGCAGCTATTCAGGAGATTCTGTTTGAGGAAACTCGTCTCCACCTAGCTAAGGCTCCTCAGCTTGACTCTGCTCTTGCGGTCACTGCCCGAACTCCTACTCAGAATCGTTCTCATCGTTGCAAAAGATGTCAGTCCTCTGATCATGACTTCGGTCATTGCCCAAAGGTGGAGTGTCACTACTGTCATGTTTTAGGCCATACTATACAGTATTGCCCCACTAGACCACCTCGCTCTGGAAGTAGTAACTACAAGCCTCGGAATTCTCGTGGACCTCAGTCTGGTACCTCCTCTGTCACAGCCTCTGCTGCACCTGCGCCTGCGCCTCCTACGATTCAGGACCTGGAAGCTCTTCTTAAACAGGTTCTATCTTCCAATACCGCCATGTCTACCACATCAGGTAACTCTCCTTGGTATTTTGATTCTGCTTGCAGTAATCATATGACCTCTGATATACGCCTTATGACCTCCACATCCACCGCACCATCCTTACCCCCTATCCTTACTGCCGATGGTACCCATATGCGCATCACCCATACCGGACATACATCCACCTCATCCTTATCCCTCCCTGACACATATTGTATCCCTCAATTAACCTTAAATCTGATTTCCGTTGGTCAATTGGTTGATCAAGGTCTCACCGTGTTATTTTCTTCTACTGGTGTGCAGGTTCAGGACGCGCAAACCGGGCGGATTCTTGGGAAGGGCCGGAAGACGGGCCGCTTATTTGAACTTACGTCACTCCAGGTCCCTCGTCCCTCTATCTCAGCTGCCACCACCTCTACACCATCCTGCCTTCAGTGGCATCGTCGTCTCAGTCATGCGTCTTCCAATAAAGTCAGGTCCTTGATTAGTCAGGGTAGTTTGGGTTCTGTTAAGTTTGAGTCTTTTAATTGTGTAGATTGTTCGTTGGGAAAACAACCTGCTCTGTCGTTTCCTCATAGTACTTCCATTGCGGATACTCCATTTTCTTTAGTTCACTCGGATATTTGGGGACCTTCGCCCACTGTGTCTATGAATGGTTCTCGTTATTTTGTGATTTTTATTGATGACTATTCTCGTTTTACATGGATTTACTTTCTGCGGCATCGTTCTGAACTTCCATCTATTTATATGACCTTTGCTAAAATGATACATACCCAATTTTCCTCTACTATAAAAACTCTCCGCACAGATAATGCTCTTGAGTATACTGATACATCATTTCTTAGTTTCTTATCTGATCAAGGTACTGTTGTCCAACGCTCCTGCCCATACACCTCTCCACAAAATGGTCGCGCCGAACGCAAACACCGACATATCCTCGATACAGTCCGCACCCTTCTCTTATCAGCCTCTTGTCCAGATCGTTTTTGGGGAGAAGCCGCACTCACCGCTGTCCACACTATAAATCGTGTCCCTTCCTCTGTCCTAGGTAATGTCAGTCCTTTTGAAAGACTATTTAATCGTACCCCTGATTATAGTCTTCTCCGCCCTTTCGGTTGTGTCAGTTTTGTCCTCCTCCCTCCTCATGAGCGCACTAAGTTAGAACCTCGCGCTCGTCTGTGTTGCTTCCTGGGCTATGGGTTAGAACATAAGGGTTATCGTTGTTGGGATCCTATTTCCAATAGGCTACGTATTTCTCGTCATGTCACATTTTGGGAGGATACCAAATTCTCTTCCTTGTCTCACTTCCGAGTCCCCTTTGATCGTTCGTCTCCGTTCTTTACCTTGTCCTCTCCACCCCTATTCCCTTCCAATGACACGGCTCCGTCTCCATCTCCCGCTCCTGACGCTGTCTCGGTTGCGCCTCCTGAACCGCAGCTGATCCCCGAGCCTACTCTTGCTCTCGACTCCGATACATCACCACCACCAGAGCCTGACACGACTTCGATCTCAGCCCCTGATCCTGGCCCTCGTCGCTCCACTCGGGTTAGTCACCTTCCTACTCACTTACTTGATTATCACTGCTTCTCTGCCACCTTGTCCCATCATGAGCCCAGGACCTTTCGTGAGGCGTATGCGGATCCTTTGTGGCGGCAGGCTATGTCTGAGGAGTTGCAGGCTTTGGAGAAAACACATACGTGGGATATGGTTGATCTTCCCCCTGGCAAGAAACCTATTGGCTGCAAGTGGGTATTCAGAATCAAAACTAACTCTGATGGATCTATCGAGCGCTACAAGGCACGTTTGGTAGCCAAAGGCTACACCCAGCAGTATGGTATCGACTATGAGGAGACATTTGCCCCGGTTGCTCGTCTCACCTCTGTCCGCTGTCTTATCGCCATCGCTGCCGCTCGTCGGTGGCCCCTACATCAGCTTGATGTCAAGAATGCGTTCTTGCATGGTGATTTATCTGAGGATATCTACATGTCTCCTCCTCCTGGTTTTCCTACCTCTTCCAAGGTATGCAAACTTCGCCGTGCCCTATATGGTTTGAAACAGGCACCTCGAGCTTGGTTTTCGAAATTTAGCTCTGCTCTACTCCAGCTTGGCTTTACTTCTAGTGATCATGATTCGGCTCTCTTCCTTCGACGTGGGTCAGCTGGAATTACTATTTTATTGCTTTATGTGGATGACATGATTATTACGGGAGATGATGCATCAGGTATCTCCGAGTTGCAAGCTCATCTAAACCGCCACTTCGAGATGAAGAGTTTAGGGCCTCTTCGGTACTTCCTGGGACTTGAGATCTCCGACACCTCCGACGGATATTATCTCTCTCAAGCCAAGTATGCCTCCGACCTCCTATCTATTGCCGGCCTCACTGACTCCAAGACTGCTCCTACACCTCTTGATTCTGACTGTCGTCTTACTCCGATGGACGGCGTTCCCCTTGATGATCCGACTTTGTATCGTCAGCTAGTGGGAAGTCTCATCTACCTGACTGTCACTCGACCGGATATTGCTTATGCCGTCCATATCGTCAGTCAGTTTATGTCTGCTCCTCGGACGACTCATCATTCTGCTGTCCTACGGATTCTCCGGTACGTCAAAGGTACCCTGCTTCATGGACTTCATTATTCCGCTCGATCCTCCTTAGTTTTGACCGGGTATTCTGACGCTGATTGGGCGGGAGATCCCTCTGATCGCCGCTCGACCACCGGGTTTTGCTTCTTCCTTGGCGACTCGCTTATTTCATGGCGCAGCAAGAAACAGACGGTTGTCTCCCGGTCCAGTGCAGAGTCTGAATATAGAGCCCTTGCGGATACCGTTGCTGAGCTTCTATGGCTTCGCTGGCTTTTGGCTGATCTTGGAGTGCCTCAGCCCTCTGCCACTATTATCCATTGCGACAGTCAGAGCGCCATGAAGATTTCGACAAATGATGTCTTCCACGAGCGTACGAAGCATATTGAGATCGACTGTCACCTTGTACGTCATCACGTTGCTCATGGAAGCATCTCCTTGTCTCCTATTTCCTCTGCTGATCAGACGGCCGACGGATTCACCAAACCTCACCTTCCCGGCCGTTTTCAGTCATTTTTGAACAAACTCAAGTTGGGCTCCACCGTTCCACCTTGAGTTTGAGGGGGGATGTTGATATATATATAGTATATATATATTTTATATATTGATATATATATTCTACCTAATATATCTCTTGTATAAATATAATATTGTACCCTAATTGTGTTCAATGAAAATAGAGTTTATTCCATAAATCGTAACATTGAATATATCGAATTCATATTATGTTCACATTACAAATTTTATTATTAATAATATATAGATTTTACTTAAATTTAATATATTATTATTATTATTATTATTATTATTTTAAATTCATTCTAAAATTTAGATTTCTTCTTTCTTCTATAGGTGTATGATGTTATTATGTCATATTTCTATATGATTTCTTATCATTTATATAGATATATTTTTTGTTACATTCAGAATTTTCTCAAGTATACATTTAAAACTTAAAATTCTTAAGTTCGATCTAAACAATCACCAATAAAAGGACAGTGTAAATATATGCTGCTTAAGACATGTTAAGATCATGTAGCAATAAGCAAATAGTCATTTGCGTTACAAATTAAATTTCATTACAAACCAGTGTAAGGGATTGCCTCTTTACACAATTTCTAAAACATAGAGTTTTTTACAAAAACTTTCAAGATTTATTTTATTTTATTTTTAAATATCTTTGATTTTGGCCAATTTTTGTGTGTATTTAATTAATTAGACAAACACCACCTTCAGCGAATTAAAGCAATGGAAGGGGAAAACATATATGGTACATAGGTTTCCGCCGTATAAGATTGTAAAGCAAGGCAACTACTTAATTGGTATAAAGGAAAACAAGGTTAACATATTTATTATAATGTCCCTAGCGAATTAGTTAGTTAGATGTCATTAATTCATAATTATTTACATTCTAAAAAAAGAATGGGAGTCACAACTAATTGGAGAGTCAATTAAGTCTTGGAGAAATAATTAAGTACAGAGACTCATGCTTAAATATTTATATTTGTGTATATAAAATAATTAAAATTGACTTGGAAAATTAGATATAAATCAATGATTCGATTGTAATGATTTTTGAAATTCAATCGAAGAACTAAAGGTGTAAAATAGTGAATTCGGAAAGAATTGCATCATAGACACACACACACATATCTATATATATATATATATATATATCTATTGAAAAAGAGGGACTAAACAAGTTCTAAGAACTTGGTATACTTGTAATTTTTTTTGTTTGTCATTAGAAAAAATGCCCATATGAGCATACTCTATTTGTTAAGAATGGAGTTTGATCTTCTCACAATTTATTTGCATGTGGAGGACTTGATGTTCACCAGAAATAATGCAACTAAGATTGCTGATTTTAAAAAGTCCATGATGAATGGGTTTGAAATGTCTAATCTTGAACTTATGCATTATTATCTCTGCATCAAAGTACTTGGATAAGATGATGGGACATTTCTTCATCAAAGAAAATGTGGGAGAAATTCTGGATAAATAGAATGTAATTCTGTTAGTACTTCCACGGAGGGTGGCATGAAATTGCACAGAGATATTGATGGGAAAAAGGTAGACAACTTGTGGGGAGTTTAATATATATGTATATATATGTATTACAGTAACAAGAAAGACAAGATATAATGAATGTATGCAGTAAGTCTAGTCGACAGATATTTGGAATATCCCACATAGATGAATCTATTGGCTGCAAAACAAATTCTTGGCTTTGGATTACACTTTAAGAAAGGGGAGCAAATCTCTACTGAATTGATGGGATTCACTCACTGATAGTGATTATGCTAGAGATGCAGATGAGTGAAAGAGCACTTTTGATTATGTCTTCATTCTCGGCACTTTGTGGACATGAAAGAAATAGCCAATTGTCACCTTAATTATCTAGCACACAAGTTGAGAGTTTGTTGCTTTGCTGCTACTATATGTGCTTGTCAAGTTATTTGTGGTTAAGAAGAATGGTTGAGGAGGGAGGGGCATATATGCATATCAAGCAATCTAATTAAATCTAGAGCAATAAAAATTATGTGTGGCAATAACTCCACTATCACGTTATCAAAGAATCCATTATATTAGAGCAATACATTGTCGATTTGGTGCATTGTAGGAGTGAACACTAGCTAGATTACTAGTATATGAAGCATTCATGAAGCTTAGTGAACTCGATTTGAACTGATGATGTTGGAAACTATTGGTTTAGGCGAATGATTGATTGTTAGAAGAGTGGATACATTCATTCATTCTAATCCGATCCCAGCTAGTTACGCAAGTTTGGTGTTTAGTGCAGGCTCTTATCAACCCGATCACTGGAATCCCAGCTAATTAATTTTCATGTAATTAAAGAAAATGAAAGAATAGGACCCAATTAAAGGGTAAGGGTTCACATAATAAATTGAATTATTTCAATTATGCTGCGATGTAACACATCAATTGTGGATATATAGTTGTGGACACGATCATCCATCATTACATCACAGGAGTAGCTAGCTAGGGGGAACGTGCTCATGTGTGTTTGTATAAATTAATTACTTCATAACAATCCAAGCGCATTAAGACATACATATATAAAATATAATTATTATACACAAAAATCAAGTGTTCTTTAGAAGGTGAAAATTGCAAAAATAAAAATTATTATTACTACACGAGGAAAGGAAAGGGAAGGATAGGGTAGGATAGGATATGATAGAATAGGATAGGATAGATAGACGACGGATCGGTCCAAATTGACAACACTAGAATTAAGTGAATGAAGGTTACTTTAACCGATTTTTTCATTCAACCAAACAACCGGTTTTAGAAATTGATTGTAAACTGTGCTTCCAACTCATGATCATGTCACCCACAATGCAACAATCAATTCCATCCGTTCCATCAATCTCTCATAAATACTCAATTTCATCCAAACAAAAGGATCTTCAATTACACACAAGTTCAATTCTCTGTACTAATTTTTTGTTTTTTTTTCAACTATATAATAATTTAGATTTTTATTTTTTTTCTCCAACAATAAAAATCAAATTCAAACTATTTGCTCAAAATTTTCTATTTTATTTTAAATTTATAGTTCAACAGTAATAATATAATATATTTAATATACATAAACCATTATTTTTAATTAATTCTAGGGGCGGTGCCTTGAAAGACCTCCAAATGGAGCCTAGCTAGCGAACTAGCTAAATCGAATCATGACAAGAACGTTGTGCCGTTTGATATATATACACTCCCTCAATCCCCTAAAATAATTATGTTACTAATTTTTATTTTTATTTTAATTGTAGGTTAAACTTATGTCTAATTTATTTATAATAAACTTTTGTCCATTTCAAATTTTATTACAGTTAATTTAATAAATTGATCTCTATTTTTTTTTTATTCCATATTTTTATCAATTTTTTAAAAATAAATTTTCAATAATACATCACATTAATTAGGTTGTACTTACCTAGATTAGTATCTGTGCACAAATAAATTTACATAATTTTACTAGATGACTGGAATATATATCTATAGGGGATCAAATTAAAGGACATCAATTAATTAAGTTAATATATATTTTTAATTACATGTCGAAAACATTAATTTGAAATCCAAAAGCATTGACATATATCTCCGATCGATCACGTACGCACAACAAAGTGACGAGGTAGCTGCAAGTTAGTTAATTAATTAAGGAGGAGGATCATGAACATGGTCATGATCGATATATCCTACCCAGCCCAACAAATTAAAACTACCCAAACCCTTATAATGAATTAATTAATTAAGAAGAAAAACAATGATAATAATTGAATTAATTAATTAATTAAAATGAGAATGGGATTAGAATTGAGGAAGAATTAGGCAATAAATTAAATAATAAATAAATTAATTAAGCAAGGTGTGGGCAGGCATCATCCAGTCCGGCCGCCCTGTCCATGTGAAGAGGAAGAGGAAGAGGAAGAGGATGCACAAATGCGGACGCAGATGCAGATGGTGATGGTGCAGTACTACAATTCGTAATTGTGGGTTCCTGCAGATCTAGCACATGATATGGGAAGTAGTATTGATTGTAGTTGTTCATGATGTTGTTGTTGTTGTTGTTGTGCAGCAGCAGCAGCTGATCATCGTGCTGGTTGTGGTGCATGAACAATCCTCCCTTGTCTCCCTCCCCGCAGTAAGAATATTCAAACTCTTCCAGGAAACCCCCGGCGCCTCCCCCCCAATTAGTCGCGCTGGCACTGCCACCGCTACTCCAGATCTCTTCTGATTCGTCGTCTTCACCTTTTATGATCCAGCTCCCCCTCTCCCTCTCCCTCTCCCTCCTCCTCGTCCTCCTCCTCAGCTTCCTCCTCCGGTCGTCGTCGGCATCGGTGGCGGATGGCTTCCCAGTCAGCCGCTGCACCAGCTCCCTGAAATTCGCTGCATCCGTCTTTATGATCTCCGGCGCGAATATGTGAATGATGCGAATTTTGGGCTTCGCTGCAGCTGCAGCTGCACCTTTGGATATGCCGGCGTGCGACGACGACTTCTTGTGCAAAGCCACATGAGCAACACCTGCTGCGGCGGCGGCGTTTGGGCCGCGGATCATTCCTTGTTTCTTCCTCATCACCCCTTGTGTTTCTATGCCGCCTTCCATTACGTACTGCTTTTAATTATTTTACCTTCTGGATTAAGCAGCTGTAAGCGTGAGCGAGAGAGGGAGAGGGAGAGGGAGAGGAAGCCGGACGGAATTTGATATATATATGTAGAGTTGGTGGGTGGGTGCAGTTGTTACTTACTGCAAATATATACTCTCCCCCTCTATATATACCTACAGGCTACATCTATGCGCATAAGGTTATAAGCCTGAGGGCTTAATTTGTTTAATCATTGGGCAACACGGAATATATTTAGCAATTATATATATAAAGATATATGTGTGTGCGCCTGCCTGTCCGCCTGTCTGTCTGATTGGAGGCACGGAATGGATGAACCCTAGCATGACATATTGAAGATCTACAGATGATGGAGTCAATAAAGTAGTATATCTGCGGATCAAACAAACTAAATTAATGGCCCCCGCCAACTCCCTTTAATCGATCTGGAATCATATAATATATTTTGTATCTTCTGTACAATCCCATCCATGCGTCTCTCTCTCTCTCTCTCTCTCTCTCTCTCTATATATATATATATATATACACATTCATACATACATACATACATACATATCATCGTCGTCATTTTCAATTAATTTACTATATAATAATATAGACGTGGGGCCGGCCATCAATTTTTAATATGTCCACTTAGATACACAATTAATATTACTACTACTGTTATATATATAGATATTGGATTGGGGTGAACCCTTTTGGTGCACAAGCATATATTAGTTGCCAACTTGCCCGATTAATGATTACATACATTAAATATTTTATGTTAGTACTACATACTACTGTTGTACAAGTCATCCAATACAATATAATAAAATACAATGCAATACAATACAATGTGCGTGTATGTATGTATGTATGTATGTATTTGTTGCTAGCTAGCTTTCGTTTTCTTGATTTGGGGAAGACAGTTTTTCTGTTTAAATCATTGGTGCAGGATATCTTCCATCTAGATCGATCCAACTCAAATTGGGGACCTGAGTTTTATTGTTATTATTTATTTATCCTTTTGATTTTAAATATAAAGGGGAGTTCAGAGTTGAGTTAAACCACTATAAATACTACTACTCCTCCTCCTACATGTTTGTACTGAAATCTATGACACCCATTCATTATAATTATTGATTCTGAAAGGTACTGATTTTCAGAGCCTGTCATATGTCAGGAAAATAACACCTAATTTGATTTGCTTCACATGCACACGGACATGGCAATCGTATAATCTTATTTTAACTATTACAATTCTCATTCATTGATCAATTCGTGCAGATAATTATGCATTTTTAACTTAACTTGTATTGTTATGTTTTAATTATGCTATATATATCTTCATAGATGGCTAAGTAAATTAAAGCTTGGTTGATTGTGTGTTTCATTTATATATATTATATTTATGATTTATTAATTTTGTATTGAGACCAAATGATATTGTTACAATTTGAAAAAATTGTGAAAATTGTATAATATTAATCATTAAAATAAGGAGAAACAGACTCAAATTTAAATAATTTAATTTAGAGATAAATCAAATCTAAATTTATTAAATCTAAAATTGAATATTTAAAATATGTCAACAAATACTGTATCTATCCCAAATACACCCGTATCTCCTTAGTATCTTCAAAAGAAAAAAATAAAAATAAAAATTCAACAATGTTGAAGTATCAGAAGTTGAATACCAAGCTATCGTGTAGACTAATACAGAAATTACTTGGATACAAAGCCTATTTAGAGATCTAGGTTTTAATCATAATAATGTTATTGATGTCTTTTGGATAACACCGTCATTTTTCAAATTTTAGCTAATTTTTTTTACAAACAAACGGAACATATTGAAACTGATTGTCACATAATAAGATACTAAATTATAAAAGGGATAGTTGCTACTAAGGGTGTGTTCGTTTGTAGGACTTACACAAAATTCTACTATTCATCCAAAAATTTCCCTCCAAAAACATCAAATCAAACACCTATTTTTTATTTTTTATATTATATTAAAAATCAATTTTACATTCAAAACATCACATCAACACCTATTTATATCACATCATACAACTATTCAAATTCAAAATTTTTATTATTCAAATCTCAACTCAAAATCCAAACCCCCAAACAAACACACCCTAAATATATGTTCTCTTGAAAGACGAAGTGCAAAATTTAGATAGTAAATCGATAACTCACTTATGCAAACTTAATAATTTGTTTGATGTTTTTCAGGTTGATCCTTGAAATAAAAATGTGTGAAATTTGAGAATACTTATACTATTAGGGTCTTAGTGCAGGTTCTTCACTACTCATTGGGCTTGGTCTTTGGGCCCATCCCAAGTATATATATTATGCATATATATATATATGTTGATACACATACATTTGACTCATCTATCTCTACTTACGCACGCTGCCCCAGTCGACACTATGATCAATTTTGCGTTCATTTTATTGGATTATTCTATCATTTCTAGTCTTTTATATATGATGATATTTTTGGCAAATTAGGTCTGACAATATTTTGTTATACTAAGCGTTCCTTAAAAGACGGCGCCCTTTTATGGGTGTAGCTATTTGTACCATTGTGATCTAAGGAACTGCTACCTCCGTCCCGTAACGATGTCATGGTTATCGTAGATATTAGAATTTAGGATAAGTATAATAAACAGATAATTAAGAATGTATTAGTGAAAATAATTATTTTATAATATAAATAATTATAAATTAAGTTTTAATTAAAATTAAAAAATTTGAAAAAAGATTAAAATGTAAAGGAAAGTGATTATAGTAAAAGGCAGTGTGGACATGGTATTATTTAAAACCCTTTGTTATACTCCATGCCATTTGAAAAATGTTTCAACGGAATATATATTTGCGTCACTCCTTAAAATTGTGCTTTTAGTATGTTGTGTGTTGATTTCCAACAATAATATATATATATATATATATTCTCCCATTACCAAGGAATGAATATTTATTCATATTCTCGTATCTGTTGGCGTGCGGGTGTACTTCTTCATATTCATCATTCTCATATATATATATATATACACACAGCAGTCCGAATTAATTAATTTGCATATAGTCAGTCGTAACGAACGAACGAACGAACTAAAGGCGGTTGTTGTACCAGAAGACGCCGGCGCCCCCCTCCTCCTCCGCCGCCTCCACGTAGATGCACTCCCTGGCCTCCCTCCACACCGCCTTGTACACGGGCGTCCCGTCGAACCGGTAGTACTCCCCCAGCACCGGCTTGATCGCCTCCGTCGCCTCCCTGGCGTGGTAGTGCGGCATCGTCGAGAACAGGTGGTGCGCCACGTGGCTGTCCGTGATGTGGTGGAACACCCCGTTCAGCACCCCGTAGTCCCTGTCCACCGTCGCCATCGCCCCCCGCAGCCACTCCCACTCCGACGAGTCGTAGTGCGGCAGCGACGGGTGGGTGTGCTGCAGGTACGTGATCAGCACCAGGAAACCGTTCACCACCACCAGCGGGCCCCCGTACACGCGCGCCACCCACCCCACCCCCCTCGAGACCGCAGCCCGGTAGAGGCCGTACCCCACCGCCGCCACCCCGGCATCCGACGCCAGGATCTGGAGGCGCTCCCGGTCGGAGAAGATGGGGCTGCCGGGGTGGTAGTGGCTGGCGAACCGGCCGTAGGGCCTGCCGGAGGCATTGAAGGCCAGGTAGAGAGGCCAGCCTAGGGCGAGCTGGAGGAGGAGCGTCGCCATCCTCCCCGCGGCGTTGTTCATGTACTTGGCGTGCCACCGGAGGCTGGACTTCACCCTGGGCACGAACACCTCGTCGCGGTCCAGCGAGCCGGCGTTGGAATGGTGGCGGCGGTGGCTGTACTTCCAGGAGAAGTAGGGCACGAGGAGAGCGGAGTGCAGGATGAGGCCGACGGCGTCGTCCACCCAGGGGTAGTCGCTGAAGGCATGGTGGCCGCACTCGTGCGCGATCACCCAGACGCCGGTGAGCACGCAGCCCTGGCAGATCCAGTAGAGCGGCCAGGCCAGGAGATGGAACCGAGTGGTGGTGGTGGCCGCATAGTACAAGGCAGAGGCCACGGCGAGGTCGCACGCCACGTAGGAGAATGAGCGGCGCAGGGACCGCTGGAAGCAGTGGGGTGGGATGGCCTTCTTCACCTCGCCCAGCGTGAACGGAGGCTTTGAGTGAGGAACCCGCGGCGGCCGGGCTGCTTTCTTGCCGCCGGCCACGACTGATATTCGGCCTCCGGCACCCATCGTGATTGTCCGGCGAGGCAAACCCTGCAACTCAATCTCCAAGTTGCCCAAGTAAATTAAAACGATTGATTTACAACTTGAAGGAAAAAAACAAATAAAAATAAACACTTTTGCAAGTTGCCTAGGAAAACAGTATGAAAATACTACCACTATACACACACTAGTAGTAGCAGTAGTCAGGCAAATGAATAATTAACAGAGGCAGAGGCCCGTAAGAGCTGAGCATGGAATCCTTGGTTGGATTATTATTAGCAGCAACATACGTTGATCATTAATTATTTAAATAATAAAAGCGTAGAAGAAATTAAGCAGAAGGGTCGGTGTGAACACATTTTCACGAAGCAAATTGATTAAAACGTACAACACACAGACAGCAGACGCCAAGGAATTAGGAGCCGATCTTGCATGCATGCGTTCAATCGGAACTAAGAATAAAATGAAATGATGTAGAAATTGACCTGATCTGAGGTATAAACAGCCGCGGCGGGAGGGAGGGGAGAATTGCAAAGGGCGTGCAGCGGAGGGATGGCCACAGCCGCAGCAGCGAAATGCCGCTGCCTGCCTGTAGGATCTCGCCTAATTTGCGGGGGGGTGCAGAGTGAATGAATGAGCGAAACGTAGTTGCGGGGGTGGTGTTATTTATTATGCTTTTTTCTTTCAAGATGATACGACACGATACACCCTCTTCCCTCTGAAGGGGCCAGTGTCATACTTATGTCATTGTTATTGTTCCTATTGTAATTCTCTCTTGTCAGCTAGCTTTAACCAACCCTACACGACCGTTAAGTACGCATGTATTCTTTTATACTACTACTACTATAGTATGTCTCATCCTGCACACCGCACTATCGAGTTGTCCATCCAGGTTCACTTCCTTAAACCAATAGCAATATAATGGCCTTGTGTTTTTAATGGAGGCTTTCTTTAATTAGATAGTAAAAAATAAAATTACACACTGACTTTATTGTTGTGGGTGAAAAATAGCAAGATTTGACAACACCTTGTGCAGGTGAGACCGTGCTTATGCTGTCTCACATTATTAACTTTTGTTTTAAATCACTGCATGTTTATTTGTAATAATTTGAAAAAATTAACAAATAAGCACCTAGTCAGCGGACTAGGCCATTTTTTTTACCTTTGCTGTTGCAGTTGGTCTTAGTTACTAGTACAAATGTATGGAAGTTCCATCATCAGCTATATGTGAAAAAGAAAAAGCTCAATCACCCTGCGGTGGTGTAAGATTAGACGTGAGGGGGGGGGGGGGGGAGAGAGAGAGCGAGAGGGAGGGCCTAGATAATAATACATGACTCGATCAATCCTTATCTTCTGCACTGTACGTAGGTTATCGCTTCGATGTATATAGTAGTATTATTATTATTGACCGGATGGGGATGGGGATGGGGATGGGGATGGGGGTGGGGGACGAGAAAGCATCCATCATCGTCAGCAGCAACGGTGGTTGGCAACCGACACCTGTTGGACACTTGTCAATGTGTACTACTATTCCATTGCCACCTGTCCCTGCAGCCCATGCCTATTTATAGCCTTGCCTCTCTACCCCCACCCCGACCACCATCCAAGCAATTGCTGCAATCTATCCGTGTATTGTATTGTGTGTACCTCCGACGACGACAGGAAAGGAGGAAGAAGGAAGGAAATTGAGCAGTAGTATATCCACAAGACAAGACAAACGAGTTTGAATACTGCAGGCGGATCGGATCGGATCAGGATGCAGTCGGCGAAGGAAACAGCAGCCAACACGGCGGCTTCAGCCAAGGCTGGAATGGAGAAAACCAAGGCCGCAATGCAGGAGAAGGTTGGTTGATATGTTGTACTGGATCTAATTAATTAGAGAGAGACACACACAGACAGACTATAATGGAATTGAATTGAATGCAGGCCGAGAGGATGACGACTCGAGACCCCCTGCAGAAGGAAATGGCGACGGAGAAGAAGGAAGCCAGGATTGAGGAGGCAGAGCGGCAGAAACAGGAAGCACGCATGCACAACACCGCCGCTAGGCAGGCTGGAACTGGAACTGGAACTGGACCAGGACCCACCCTCGGCCAAGAATACACCGGCGGCGGCGATTATACTGGTACTGGAACTGGAATGGGCACGGGAACGGGGCTCCATCCATCATCAACTGGACCAACTGGTCTACACCAGACGGGGGACATTGGGGGCCGCCGCAAACCGGATCATCATCAGGACCCTCATGGCCGTACTGGAGTTCGGGGTGGCTACGGGGCAAGCGACACTTTCTAGACACAACACAGGACAGGACAGGACAGAGAGACAAGAGTCATGTCCATGTTTATCTAGTTTACTCTCTTGCAAGTTGCAACCCACCTACCCAGCTAACATCAATAAAACAGTAGCAGCAGTAATAAAAACAGAGATTGTTGAGGAGATTAGTAAGTAGCTAGCTAGGGATGTCATGTCCCGATCTAGGTCTCTGATCAGCTGGCTTCTCAATTCAGTTCTCATGTGTGGTTTCTGTAATGTCCGTCTCCCCTTGCCTTGTCTGTGTTGTGTTTGCACTACTGCTTAGTGCAGTGCAGGCACCGACCATCGTCTCATGTAATGAATGCAACTGTGTTTTGTTTGTCGTTCTCTAGCTCTCAAATTTCGATGTGCTACTATGCTAGAACCTGACATATGCATGAAGAAGAACAAGAAGAAGAAGAAGAAGAAGGAAGGAAGTCGTCTGCATCCTTTGCGATGCGTGGGTGGGTTCGGTTGTAAGGAGGCGGGGGGCAACGGAGTGAGATAGCATCAAAAAACCTGCTTCTGTTTTTTTCTTTGCTTTATGCACACATCAATCAATCAATCAAACAAACAAACAAATGCAATGCCGCTGCCTTTAATTTGGTGCATATTCTTGTATCAGAACGCGCCATTGGTGCCATTGCAGGCAAGCAAACAAACACTCGAGACAAATCTTATAGACAAGCACGCACAGGCACACTAATAGTGCATGCACGTGTGTTGCATAAAGACAATCTGCAACGACAGAGAGAGAACGAATACAAGGCCACTGGCACTGCCATCCCCCACCCGAAACTGCAAAACATCACCATCACCATCACCCATCATGTTGGGGAGTATTTTATACATCCCCATTTGCATGTAAGAAACATACACGACCAATGATAACACGTTTATCCAGTGTCATAATAATAATAATAATAATAATTATTATTATTATAATAAATATATAGCGAGTGCACTAAACACCAATCAACATCAACAGCAACAGCGGCTACTACAAGCAACTCCTATCCCAAATCCCCCAAAATTCTTGTTTCACTTGTACTTCCTTCCCTCACATCACGTCACCTCATGTCATATCATATCATATCATATCCCTGCTGCTGCTTTCCGAAGCTCACCTAATCCATGAGCAAAATGGCACTTGTCCCCAAACGTGCACGATCCCTTGGAGAAGTTCTCACAAAGCTTGGTCTTGAAGTTGCTCCCGGGGGCATGGCCCTTTGTCGCCCCAGCCCCTCCTCCTAATGCTGCTGCTGCTTTCCCGGTAACACCACCACCACCACCACTTGCCGATCCAATACTCACTATCAGCTCCCGCACCATTGCGCTCGCTTGCTTAATTTGCTCAAAGCTACCCTCAAGTTCAATGTTTCTGAGATTCGGATCTGTCTCATGCTCTCGGATGCCTAGCTTTGCACCCGTTTGCCAGCTTATCTGCTTAGAATTCACTCCGCCCTTGCCGATAATAGCACCAACTAGAGAAGCATCAACACTGATCTTGGCGGTGGCTGAGGCGCCAAAAGTGGCAGCGAGTCCCGGCACTACTGGCTCCGCTCGAGTGCCAAAGCGACCAGGATGGGCTCCAAGGACACGAGGTTCCTCTTGAGATTGTATGATGGGTTTGCCAAGCTCCCACTCTCCATGAGCAAAGTGGCATTTATCATTGAATTTGCAACCTTCTGCAGTGCCATATTTGTTGCATAGCTTTGTTTTGAAGCCAACTGCAGCTGCACCATTTTGGACAGGCAATGGCCCTGGCCCTGCTGGTGTCCTGGCAGCTGGGGCTGGAGGGAGATTCATCAGCTGGGCTACAGCATTGTAGCCACCAGGGTAATAGTGAAGAAAGTGACAATTCTCACCAAATGGGCACCCAGCCATGCTGCAGAAATGGACAAAAATTGAATCATAAAATCCCATGCATATGTTCATATTGCACATATCCAATCATGGACAGACTTTGCATTGGCCAGAAGTTCACTCAACACATCCCAATGATGCAACACACAAACATGACAAAGGGACTTTTCTTAGGTGTACAGACAAGAGGAAGGTTTAGAGCAAGAAAAAAATAATAATGAGGAAATAAAACCCGCAACGTGAGCGAATGTGCAAGCCAAGTGAGGTGTACAACTAAAATTTCAATCTGAAAAATATTCATTCTTTATAAATTTAATTGTCTTCAAAAAAACTCATCATTTATATGGTAATGCCCAAAGTTATATCTCAAAAATAGTAAAAAAATGACAATAGTATGGAAAAAAAAAAAGAGAACCGGTAGCTTAAAATGCTTGATCAAAAACTAAAGACACTACTTCATATGGTGCCCTCAGCCTTCACCAGCTTAAAATGAACATGACCATCTAATGACATTTTCAAATTTAAGTAAAGAATGATATCCATTTAACTCAATGAGATTTATCCCATTATACTTCAGTTGTAGTGTTCATCAAGCGGAAGTTACGGAGACATTCTAATTTCCCAACTCACTCTCATCAAATTTGCACAAAGGCAAATTATATATGTTTCCCCTAGAAACAAAATTCCACATTACATCATAAATACTAGCATATATAGACATGGGAAGGTGATATATTTCATATGCACAAGAGACACTCTCAACCCCTTTGATAAAAGTGCCTTTACTTGGGTAAGATTTACTGTACATATATATTTTATTGCATGTTGAATAATTAGGTTCTTTACGGAACAATGGGTTTTTTAGAAATGTTTAAAATCAAAATTGGTCTAATCAATTATCCCATATGCATTTTACAATTTTTTAAGAGTATTATACCATACTTAGTTGTGTCAAAAAAGAAATTGTTGCTTAAATAACTGCACTATCAACAGTGAATGATTTGAAGTTATTTAATAACAATCAGTACTCGTGGATGATAAATTATACGAATCTCCTCGTAAAATAATCTAACACATTGAATGATAAAGTTATGGTGTTTGTAAAATAATTTAATGGGCAGAAGGCAACAGAAGAGCTTCCTCAATGCCATATATCCAAAAATGTATTCGTAACTTTATTCTATTAATAGAAGAGTTTCAGAGTTCAAGATAAACTAAAGTTTTCAACGAATACGAACAAAACTTTCATTGTTGGGCATTGCAAATATACTGCTACCTCTGCCATCCAATTGTTTGCTAATTTGACCGCATTTGAACAAAAATACGTAAAAATAAAAATGTTTATTTTTTTTAGGTAAAGAAAAAGTAGAAAAATTTATATTTTTTTAGAAAAAAAAAAATTGGATGACAAAAAAAATTGTGAAAATAAATTTGAACGACGAAGAGAGCAGTTCACAAAAACAAAAACAAAATGAAACTTATAGGTGATTAGCCCTGGTAAATATCATAAACATTAAAATTTTAAATCTTATATTAGGTAGGTTGAGATTTGAACCTGAAAAACTTCGTGCAAGGCTTCAATTTGCTTCCTATACCACTTGATAACGAGTCCATTTCTGTTGCAAAGCATTTAATTACTCGTTTTCAGTTGAGTTCTCCATTGATTTTAACCATTACTAATATAAATGTCTGGAAGATGTCATGTTTATTTACCAATGCATCAAGCATTTTCTACTACGAAACTTAATACATGCTACAGGATAAATCTTACCACCAATCTCATGCGTTTATAAGAGAAGAATAGCCAAAATATTTTCACCCTTAACCAAATCAGTAACAAAACAAAGAAAGATCACTCTTCTCTGTGTGTGTGTGTTTAGTTATTGCACACTTTTGGGTAATTGCTCCAATAATTAACACTTGAATGTCCGCTTCAACATAATCTTTTAGGAAAACGCTTGACTTAAATAATAGTTGTTTCTGCGTTTTAAGGAAAAACTAAATCATGGGTCTATAACGCACATACACTGTATGTGACGCAGGCAGAAACACGAACTTGAGATCAATCTTATATGTAATTATGCAAGCGATGAAAAAAAAAAAAAAAGTACAGATTAGTAGCTCTAACGAATCTACACATCCAACTATGTAAACGGAAAGAAGAATAATCGAACACCTGGCTTAGATTTCTTGAAACCGCCATTAACATTAAGATTAAATTCGCCTCTGGCTCTCTTGCGCGCGTCCATTGCCTCTAAGCTCACAGATCGAAGTTGATACAAATAAACAAGATCCAACCAAATAATCAAATTTGAAGTTCAGAGAAAAGGGGAAAAGTAGCAGATTCAATTCGAGAACGGAAATGAAGAAGTAATCCGAAAATCTACGATAGACGGAGCTTCCTTATTTTGCCAGCTCCTTGGGAAAAATAGCCAATTAGGGTTTTGTCACAAGGGCAAAAGGCGAAGTCGGCTCGGCCCTATTGGCTTTCGATATACTACCAGGAAAGGATGGAAAGCAAAGCAGATTGAATATGGTTAGTCAGTCTTACCGGGTTGGGTTGGGTTGGGTTGGGTTGGGTTAGGGATCGGATATTTCTCGAGCATTAAATGCAGTTAAGAAATCGGGTTGGATTCCGCGCGAATTCTTCTGGTAAGCAGCCACGTGCTCGTCATGACCCTGACCCTGACCATAACTGAGATCTACAAATCACGTCGTCACGTGCACGGCCTGCTATGGGCCTTACAGATAGATATAGCCCCTCTAAAATGTCCTTTCCATTTATTTTGGGCCTGAGCCGACTTAATTATCTAAAAGCCCATTACCATGACATGACATAAGAGAGGGAGGGGAGGGAGAGACAGAGAGACAGAGACAGATAAGGTCGTAGTCAGTCAGTTGTATTGCGGATGCGATGGGATGAAATGAGATACTCCTAGTTGACAAAAGAGTCTCTCTGTCCTGTCCTGTTGCAGAAAAAAAGAAGAAGAAGAAGAAGAAATGAAAAACAACAGCGTACACTGCAGAGCAATGAGGCAGCGGCACAAATCAGTCCCATTGGTCAAGTTTCTGGTGGCATTGCTGTTGGTGTTGCTGATGATAATGTCCTACGACCACATCAAAAAGCATCACAGCGGCGGGGAGGGAGATCAATATTGGAGCAATAGTCTTGTAATTACTACTGCTTGTACTCCTCCTCGGCTAATAATTAGAAGAAGAAAGCTGTTGCTGGTCTCGCCTGCAGGATGGGTAGTGGTGAAGCTGAAGCAGCAGATGAATAGTCTGGGGAAGGTGAAGGTAATTATTGGCGGGGAGCAGCCTCAGCCTCAGCCTTGGGGCAAGACAGCCGTGGAGCAAAGCTTGGGGAAAAGGCCGCTCAGCATTCCCAACCCTACCCACAATTGATCCATTCATCCATCCATCATCGCCTAATTCATTCTCTTCCTGCTGCTCCTGCTCTGCTTATGGAATCTGGACGTGTGTAGATACAAACAAACACACACATATAAAAACTTCTTCCAAACTAAATGATCAATCAATGTAGTTAGCATTCATTGAATATTATTACTTGCGCTGGCTGGCTAGCTGCTTGAGAGATTTCTGAATGTTTATAACTAATTATGGATTAATAACATCGATTACATAGATGATCGAGATATGTTGATACAAGGCTGTATGAACATATACGATCACATGAATGAAGAAAGATCACAATGTATGTAGTGTGTTTCATTCGTTCAGTCAGTCACTTTTTACCTTGGTATTTCTTCTCTGGTTTGAATTAATTGAGGAGTTTGCAAATAAACATATAGCAGTAGTATTACAGTTGTAATATAAGCTAACTAATCTAAAACTAAGGAAGGAAAGCACACTTAAATCGTCCTTATCCAAAACACAATTATTAAGGATGGAAATTATTAAGTTGTAAGTACGTAATTGGTAGTATTAATTAATTAGCTGCAGTATCCCAAAGAGAGTGGAGATTAGCGACGGATCATGCATGCACATATGTATATCTATATTTTATAGTTTGTGTTTGGAAGGAAACAACAATGGTTGTCTTTGACTCTTTTGTCTTATCCCTTTAATGATCCATTATTGCGAAATGGGTCTGCTGGCCAACTGCTACACGTGAGGGCAAAAGCTAATCTACCACCACCACCGCCACCATCACCATCACCATCACCACACGAATATTTATTTGTGAAAACTACTGATTGACTACGTACTCAAGATACTTGTAGTAGCAGTAGTCTCTGTAGTCTGTACAGACACAGAGGGAGAAAGAAAGAAAGAAAGAAAGCGTGTTATTGAGAACGCGCGTTTGAAATTTTAGCTTAGCATAACTAAGAGAAGAAGAATCTGAATCTGAATCAAAATCAGAATCAGATGCTTAGTATTTTTATTCTCTTGTTGGTGATGGATAGACAGATAGATAGATACAGTGATATGGCGTGTATATATATATATACATATATATAGTAGGTAGCTTCACTTTCACTGATGTTTCCTTGTCGTCATCCATCCACCCATGAAACAAGATCTCAACTTTAAATCTGGGTGGGTTGACAGCTTTTTTATGTATCAGTCAGTAAGTCAGTCGAGAGTGTGTGTGAATCAGTGTCATCCGCCATGTGTGTATGTATGTACGTACTAGCAATAGCATTAGTACCACACTGCACAGGGGGAGGAGCGGAGGAAGAATTCAACAATGGAAGGAAGAATTAATAATGAAATTTTGCAGTAATAGGATTATTTACAGCATTAATCAGTAGTAGCCTAGTAGGGATAGCAGAGCAGGGTTAGAGACGGACACACATACATACATACATGATATTGATACCGGACTGTCAAGACTAATGACTAATAAAGACGCACACAATATATTGTGAACACACACACACACGGACACAGATCAAGAGAGTTTGAGGTGACAGACAGGAAGAGAGAGAGACTGAGAGGCCGGCAGCGCAGACGACCCACCCTGACCCGGTCCCCAACTTTCATTTCATTTCAGGATAACTAACTAACGAACCCACCCTACTCTGCAACATTGATTTCCAGCCAGCGAGAGAGCTTCACATGACATGATGAACTCAACTGACTGACTCAGTCCACAGATATACTACAAATTAAGCATGCATGTATCTCTCATTAACTGACATAACTACTTTTAAATTTTGCTGGAGAAGTTGGAAAGAAGCAGTAACACAAAAACCACAATTAGCTTAGCTTAGCTAAGAAGTTGTAAAACAGTCGTGGGATGGGTGGATATTGGATTATATACAAACGGGTCCCAATATGAATCCCATTCCAAACTCCAAACACCGCACCACCACCACCCCCTCCCCCACCCAACTCAACTACTAAAAATGTAGGACTAATTATTATCATACGTGGAAGCTAGAAACAAAAAACCTTCATCCATCATCATCCATTTCCGATCGAGGAGGACCAGCAGTTAGTTAGTTACTTAATTACTTGCACACCAACGTATTTATTATATATGATGTATTATAATGATCCCCAAATATATACTGCCATTAATTAATTAATTAGCTGGGATTTGAATTTGAGTTGGCTAACTAGTTACTGGGGAAACCACCACCACCCCCATTACACAGAAAAGAGAAACAACCAATCCACCAAAGAGAAATCAAAACGAATTAAGGAGGCTAACAGCTAACTAACTTAATTGCTACTAATTATATATATATATGTGTGTGTGTGTGTGTGTGTGTGGGTGAGAGAGAGAGAGAGAGAGAGAGAGAGAGAGAGAGAAAGAGAGGAGAGGAGAGGTGAATGATCCGTTAGACACTTCTAGCCATCATTTCTTGAAACATCCTGTAAGACTCCTGCTTCTCCAACCTGAACTTCTCATGGCAATCAGCAATGAACAAATCAGCCAATCTATCAATCTCATTGCTGCAGGAATCCCTCTCCTCCTCATGGCTGCAGCCTCTTCCCCTTTCCTCCAGCCACTGCAAGTACCTGGAGAGCTCGGCTGCTGCTGCAGTCGAAGAATCCGAGTATTCTTCGTACCCGGGAAACCTCTTGGGCGACACGACATAATTACGATGGTGAGAAGCAGCAGTAGTAGTATCAGTATTCCAGGGGTCATGAAGAAGATGGTGATGATGATGATTGTCATAAAAGTAGTGGAGCTGGGTGGAATTCGCAGTGGCGGAGGAGGAGTAGGCGTAGGGTTGAGAAGAGCACCAGTTGTAGTAGAGCCTGAAGGAGCCGAAGAAGATGTTGTGGGGCTGCTTGCGCTTCTTGGCCTTGGTGATGGTCCCCAGGAAGGCAGCTGCATTAATGCCGCCGATGTCCTTGAAGAGGTGGAGGAGGAGCTCCTTGGCCTTGTGGAGGGCGCGTGCAATGCGGTACATGTGGGACAAGAAGAGCGTCTGGAGGAGCCCTTTCAGCTTCATGGAGGACGAGGAGGCCGGATAATTATTACTATTATTATTACTGTTGTTCTTTGAGGGGGTGGGAGCAGCTGCTTTAGCAATGGAGGAGTTGAGACTACTTTTGGGAGAGAAAGAGGAAGAGGGAAAAGGAGATGAAGAGGCACAACTAGAAGCTGCTGCAGGAGACGAATAATTAGAGGAGGGGGAACCTGCAGCAGCAGCAGCCATTATTTTTGGTGTGGTGTGGGGTGGGGATGGAGGAGATTAGTTAGCGGGGGGGGATGGATGGAATGTGCTTTTGCCGATATGGGAATTTAATTTATAGCAGCAGCAGCAGCAGCAGCAGCAAGAGGAGTGGATGATGATAAATTGATATTGATAATGATAATGATGTCTCTGTTAATTAGCTAGTTTGTGGAAGTGGAACCTCAACTCAAACAAAGGCTTCCATGGACATGGCCACCACCACCGGCCACTTGCCCAAATACATATCATCACTTATAGAGAAAGAATTCTTTGACATGAAAAAAACTACCCACTTTAACACACACAACTGCTCACTACTGCTGCTCGCTTGAAATATTACCTCCCTTGATTAATTAATTAATCAATTTCGATTCATTTCCATCGAATATGTATCATCCATCCTCGTCATGCATATACTCAGCAGGACAATAGTTTCGTTTTCACCACAAATTAATGTGGAGTGGTCCAGTCTACTAATATAATAATATAATATTTATCACCTTGTGTGTAGTTTTGTATGATGTTACGTATACATATTAGTTTGTAATTATATATATAGCATAATTTGGCAAGAAAGTAGTACTGTATTAATTCCAAGTCTTGCGGCTGGGCTTTAGGAAAAGTATGAGGAATTCGAAGAGATAAACAAGCCCGATTCTTCGCTGATATTACAAAACCAATGTCCTGCCTGCCTGCCTGCTACCTCCATTTTATTATAATTATATTACTACTACTACTACTATTTTTTATTTAATCTGCATGTCACTAATTAAATATACACACCTCTCTCTCTCTCTCTCTCTCTCTCTCTCTCTCTCTCTATATATATATATATATATATATACACATTATACACAAACACAAATCTTCATATGATCAGACAACTGCTAAAGAACGACACCCCTTTTACAATTTTATGCTTTTCAAAACTGGATATATATATATATGTATATATTCATGTCACATCTATCTCTCTCTCACACGCACATTTCTTGCACATTTAATTTCTCCCAAAATGTTTTGTTGCTTAAACCAATTATAATCAAGTGGGGTCTTATGGGATTATTATCATATATGTACATATCTTTGAAAATGGTATGTATGGCTCTGCTACCCATAGCAAATCTAGCTCTCCCTCCCTCTCTCTCTCTCTCTCTCTCTCTCTCTCTCTCTCTCTCTCTCTCTCTCTCTCTCTCTCTCTCTCTCTCTACATACATATTATATATATATATATATCAGGCTAGTAATTAATTTGTTGCATGTAGAAGCAAACGCCATTCCGATCCAGTGATATGATGCTGTGATGATTTGCTGGAAACTTAATTGGACTAAAGGATTGTATGCATGCATGTAGAAATTAATATTAATATATATATACACACCACCGGAGAGTGGGCTCAATTATTCAATTATATTAATTAATACTACTGTAATTACTTACAGACAAATCAAAACGCCGTAGAACACAATTCAAGCTGACATATCAAGTTTTAATTTGGAGTCTTATATCACTCTCCAAGAACTATTGTGCGTATATATATATATATATATATGAGTTGCCAGCAAGATTCTCCCCTCGTGATCCATCCAATTAGATACAACTCAAATCATCAGATCATGTATATATAGCTCTTTATGAATAATTAATTTAATCCTGATCACTAACTCTAGCTAGGGCATGCAAGCCACACAGAATATCAAGAACTAATTTTGATCATATATATCTTAAATAATTTAAATATGTAGCCAAGTGAAGAGCCATGACACAACACTGTTTGAATAAAGCCCATTAATTAGGACAGGGAAAGTGGGGGGAAAAAAAGTGTTGTGTTTGAAGGAATTGCACTTTAGATGGTAATATTTTCTGTGGTACAAAGTGATGAGTGCAAATATGAAATGTGGAACCACTAGCTAAACTTACCTTTAGTTTAATTACTTTCCTCCTTTATCGTTTAAATGTGTGCACATACATATATTATTATATTCTTATTCCATGGAATCCTTTTTTGGAAAGTTGGAAAAGTGTTGGAAATCTTGGTCTAGCAAGGCTGCTTTTCTCTACTTGTCCTTTATTTTGAAAATACCAATTAACCTGAGATTGGTAGTTTACTTTAATCAAATTACAAGAGATTTTGAGAGTTTCAAGATGACTTACAACACTATACATACAATACAACACAATGTGGAAAGCCCAAAACCAAACTATATTTTTTATACTATATATAAGGACTGTTGCAGTTGCAGTCCCATATATGCACCCAGCAGCTTATTCCCCTCTCCTCTCAAGAAACAGCTAGCCAGCCCAATAACAACCCCATCCATCCACCCATATAATTGTTCATCCATCTCAATTAATTAAGATCCATTTGCATGCATGTTTGATTAATAATAAGATAAACGAGGTTGTCCTTCATTTTGCATCTAGCGTGTCTAATCTCTCAACTGTATTGTATTGTATTTGTTGATATACCTTGAATTTAGGGATATGATTTGGATATTATGTATTATATCCTAGAGATATGATTTGGATATTAGATATTATATCATAGATTTAGATATATGATTTAGATATTATTGGCATAAATAGACATGTATTTCTATTGTAACAGGTTGCCATAAGGCCATGCCATACGGCCAAGCCATAAGGCCAGCCATGCGGCCTGAGCGGCTCAAATCCTATAATAAAATCCGCTCTCCCTTTTTATCCGTGGAGGTAGCCATGAACCACGTAAACCTATGTCTTCTTTACGTTTTCTTATTGTTATTCGATCATCAATCATAATCCGTCGTAACAGTGTTGTATACTGCATGTGAAAATTATTAAAATATATCATTATTGTTAGTATATATTATATAGCCCATTGCCCAAGTTCAATCCATCTAGTTCGCTGTGTTAAGGAAACTTTTTTTTGCATGTCCTTCATTTTGCATCACTCTCTATTGCTTCGTCCTGGCGGATTTCTTCATGTCCCAGCGCAGCAAAAACCAAGCGCTTGTATTTCGTTCCAGCTCTGAGTCAGAATAGCATGCATTTGTTGACTCTATTTCTAAGCTACTTTTGATTCGTTGATTTCTTTGTGATCTTGGGGCTCTTCGGTCATCTTTCGCTTTTCTCTATTGTGAGTGAGAGTGAAATCAAGATATCAAATAAGGAAGTAGAATTTGACTGGCAGAGGATACATGCATCGTCTTATAAGCTTCATTTGAGAAGTCTTGTAGACAAGATTTCATGCTTCACACGAGGAAACCTTATTGCACATAACTTGAAGTAGGCTTGGTTGAGCAAATAATCATGTGTTTTTTACTTATTTTTCAAACACTTGATTTCAACTTCAATGCTGAATGCTAGCTATTCAGTTATCACGTGTTTCTAGTCTGTCATTTGCGCATCTCCCAGTGTTTAATTAATTCAGCTCTGTAGATTGGGTTGCCAGTTAATTTAGTTGTTACTGTTTCGGTGAATGTTATTCACAGATAGTCCAATCAACAAATAAACTCTAATGGACAGACAAGATCTGATTTGACTCGAGTTCAATCAAACAAAAGGAAAACCGAAATGTTGATCTGATCTAGCTTGACTGATGACTTGCTAGCCGTGCAAGGTGAATAATCTTTTAGTTGATCCTCAAATATAACAAAATCGATCGGTTACAACAAACTAGTGAAATGAGTGAGATTTCATTTCTTTATGGAGAAAGTATGTTTGATAGAATGTAGTGGAGTGGCTGTTGAACCGTCGATGGAGTTGAGATAAGTGAGGTGAAAAATATAGTTGAGAATTTAGAAAGGGTGTGGATGCATGGTGAGAGGCTAGGAAATCTTGGTAGATTGTAGGAGATTTTCAAGGGCAAAAAATTTATGATTTACAACTTTGTAAATTTGATCTAAATCTGAATGAGTTGATGAGCCTGGGTTGGAACTCTTCGGATCGGATGTAGATCATTGGTGATGAAATTTGGAACTCTTCGGATCGGATGTAGATCATTGGTGATGAAATGACTTATTAATTTAGTGTGTTTTATTTTTCTGCGTTAAATTAAATTTATCTGAAAATATTTTGGCATTATTTTGTTGTTAGTGTTTGATTTTGAACGAATTTGGGGCCATGCGATCGCTTGCTAACCAGATTCCTTATTGATGTCGATCTTGGTGAATAATCTTGGACCATCATTATTTCTTTGTTGATTGTGATGAACAATTTTTTTCTTTCTGATTTTTGAATTACTCTCTCTCTCTCTCTCCTTAGCTTTGTGCAGGCCTGTTGGATTGACCAACTGACTCACTGGTAGACATGACATCGAAGTATTCACTGCAGTTGAGCCCATCAAGCCCAAATGCAAGCCGGGGTATCGCCATCGCCATCGCCATCGCCATCGCATCGAGCCGGTGAGCGTGTGGGTTCCACGGTCTCAGCTGCCTGGATGTGTAGGTCCCATGTCGGATTCATTTAGGGTTGGAAAGCAAACAAGCTTCCACCATCTTCAGTAAGAACCAACACAATCATGGTTAATTATGCACGACTCAAAAGTCCATTAGCAGCTACTGACCAATTTTACTCAAATTCCAAGCAATAGCGATACCAAACTGTGTTTCCGTAATTTTCGAATATTCTTTTGCCTTTCACAGGCCTGTTTAATTTCGTAGTTTAATTAATAGTAGTAACCGCGCAGCACAACAGTCCTCTTCCCTGCCACCATTTCTTTCCTTTCTCCCCTCTTGCTGTCTTTGCGTCCCCCATCGAAAATTTAATTTCGATCTTTAACTATCTCAGTTCCACATCCTAAGCCTTTCTCACACCGCCTGTTGTTTCTTTGATCCGGGCCTTCATTTTATTTTTATTTTTTGAATCAGATCATCATTCTCGCTCGTAATTTGATCAAGACTCCCTCTTTTTGCTTCCGCTGCTATCGAAATTCGAACCATTCGTGCAAGCAGACACTCATCTAATTGCCGATTATTCGTTTCTTTCTCGATTGTAAAGTTTTTATTCTTCGTATGATTGAGGATATGCTGGTGGTGGTGGCTGTGGTTTCATCTAAGTCTGCTTCATATGGTATGTATGTTCATTTCCACAATATCGCAGGCATCTATCTTGTATTTATACCGATCATTGATTTGTTGTCGGGTTTGCCGGAAATCTGCTGTTGGGTTTATGGTTGGTTTGTATCGTTCTCTGGAAAATCTGCTGCGTTTCTGGGTATTGTTGATTTTCACATATCTGGGACTTTTTCGTGTGTTTGTTGTTTGCAATGTCATTCACTAATCAGAGCTCTGATTTATTAGTCTCTTTAGTTGGATTTGTACTAATGAAATCTTTAGTGGATATTATTGAATGAGCATAGCATAGCACAACATTACATTTTCCTCATCTTCAGCCAGCCAGCCAGCCACAAGGCTTGGAATTTTCGTTTCTCTCGATTTATTGATGTGTTGTTCGATTATCTGGCCCTGGCCTGGCCTACGCTGTACAGATAGATACATTCTCGTTGGCTTGGGTTGGGTTCTTGAAGCTAACTTTGTTAGCTGAAACTGAAGCTCTACAGGGAATTAAAAAAACTCCCTTTCAATTGTTGTTTGTGGCTGTCGGTGTTTGTTGCTGTGGAGAATACAATTGGGCAGTCCGAATAATTGAGTGAGTTGAAAAATGGGTAGAGTGAGAGGAAAAGGGAAGAGGCAGCCACCTGTAGCAGTAGTAGCCATTGCTGCTGATGATGACACTGACAGTGCTGTAAATGTAATGGGCGAGGATGAGAAGCGAATGGCGAAGAGACGAGGGAGGCCGCAGAAGCCGTGTAAGGATGATGGTGATGAAGAAGGAGAAGGAGAAGATGAAGTTGCAAAGACTAAAGAGAAGAAGGAATCCGAGGAGGAGATTGGAAGCAAAAGTGGCAAGAGCCAGGGTGGCGCAGAGAATGGGAGGAAGAGGAAGAGGCAGAGGCAGTCCCAGGTAAAGGAAAATGTTGATCCTGAGGAGGAGGAGATTGAGACTGGTGTGGAAACAAGAAATGAGTCTGTAGAGTTGATGACGAGCGTTGGGTACAGACAAAATGGAAGCAGAAGAAAAAATAAGCCAAGACGAGCTGCGGAAGTTGGCGTCGAGTGCAAGTGAGTAATAAGGTGAGAGAGAGAGAGAGAGAGAGAGAGTGATTGTTGCTGTCTGCCTGTCTGTCTTTCCTTCCTTCCTTGGCATGGTTTTGGAAATAAAACTCTCATCTCATGTTATGTATTGTGATTGGGGATCGTTGAAGATGTTTGTTTGTTTGCTAAACAGTGTGTGGTTTAGATAGATAGATCATTCGTTGATGCATGCGTAGGCGTAGCTCACACAGTTCCAATTCCACTTCCAACTGTGTTCCCTCAAAAAGATTAGAGGGGGCAGGACTTATGATAGAGATAGATAGATAGATAGATGCAACGTCTAGTTTAGTGACAGATGAGAAAATACATTATTGATTTTCTGTTTTTTGTTTTTCCTTTTTTCCTCTTTCAATTCAAAAATTACTCTAAATTACTTTATTCACTAATAATACAGTATTCATATCTATAATAGATCAGACAGACGCATGTTACATATCCAACTAACAAGAATGATAGGGATGGGATAGCTAGGTTGTAAATTAGTGTTGCTTCAAATGGATGGATGGATGGGACAGAGTATAAGTTTTTTAATAAATCACAATTACCTAAAACGATTGATGACAATATAATAAAATCATCAACAAACACACACATGTTTTCAAATATAAAACATTATGTACAAAATGAGTATTTGTTAAATTACCTATTCTACTCATTTTTTTAGTATGATATATTCAATATTTGTTCTTGTCTACTAATATTTTATTAATTTGAAGAAATTAAATTATAGTCCACCTATCTCTTCAAAATATGTTGTTGTTTTCGTTCATCTTTTAACAATATGTTTATTTTCTTATTTAGTAAGAAAGTACATAATTTTTTATTTTATACTATAAAAAGAGAAAAAAAAAAAAAAAATACACGTACATTTAAAATTCGTGCCCAAATGTATAAAACATATTTTATTTGGAGATAATGGAAGTAGTATTTTAATAGTATTGTTGAGCTAAACATACATGTTATTGTTGTTGTAACATAAAAACAATTAAATAATTTTGGCATATTCAAGATTTTATATTTAAATCATTTTTAATAATTATCTTAATTTATTAGATATATACATATATATATATATATTCATATGAATGTAGAGGCAACAAGGAAGAATTTATTCATTGATCATGTTTTATGTATTTTCCATATATATTTGTTATCATCTGCCTAAAGGCTGAAGCGGACGAATCACTTTAAATGTCTGGAAATGTTGGCCCAAATAATAAACAAGAAAGCTATTTTGAATAATTTAATTTCGAGATGGCCACGAAATCCAAAAAATTCACAAAATTATCAAAGACACCTAAAAAGAATAGACTTTTTAGGTCAAGAAGTCAATTTAAACTAGTAGTATCACTCAAATCGGATTAGAAGCTCAAAAGTTAAAATCGAAGAGGTGAGAAGAAGCCCAAATGAGAAATAGTGGGAAAAAAAAAAAAACCAAAAAGAAGCCTAAAAAAGTCTTGAGGCTTCTTTACTTAGGGAATGATTTGAGAAGAATTGATAGATAGGCTTGGTTGATGTGATTTGATGGAGGTGATTTTATAAAGATAATTCATGAGAAGTTGATTGATAAAAGTCTTTATAATGAGAAATAATGTAGTGTTACATTATATTGGCAACTAAAAGGGTTGTTAATTCATGTAGTATATAATTAATAGCCTTCTTAATGGTGAATGTCATATGAAATTAATTATGACGAGGCTAATTAAAATTGACATAGTCATACATAGAAGAATTAATAGGAGGGTGATTTGCAATTGCAAGGAAGAAAAATGGCGTCCACAACTTCAAGGAATAGTTATTAATATGTGGGGTGGGGTGGGGTGGGGGTCAAAGTGAAGTCCGATCGAGTTGGGTGGCAAGAAATGAATGAATGAATGAAACGCACCCACCCACCCACCCCCAAATACTATACATCTCAAAAATGGCCTCCATCGATCGATCATGCACCCACCCTCTACTAAACAAATTAAGAAACTCTTGTGCAAAGTACAAACAAACACTACAAAACACAGCACTGAAATGCACCTCGCACTTTGGAAATGCATGCATGCGTATAACAATACAGTGATAAAGCTAGAGATATATATAATATATCTACACTCAATTATGAAAGAAATAAATTATAAAGATTCGAAAATTACATTATTATTCATAGAGACTTATAAATAGACATTATATACAAACTCGATACACTTAAAACTAATGGATAAAATCAAAATATAAAACAACTAAATCTAATATAAAACTAAATAACTAGAATATCTTAACAATTTATATATTGGGTTGGATTGGATTAGATTTCTAAACAAAGGGGATGGTAATCCGCACCAATTTTTCATATCAGCACTGCAAGCATCACACATTAATATTACACACAACACATGCTATGCATAACAAAGATATGTACTGTTTTTTAATAATAACAAATGTGCTGTATGTCATGTGCTAAAATCAACTGTTGTGTGTGTTATATGAGACTATAGCATGTGTTTCTAGTTCATGTGTTGTATTTGTATTATATTGACATATATAATGTATTGTCTGTAGTAATACGGTGTGTTGTCTGTAGTAATATTGTGTGCTGTTGAAACTATAACATGTATATTTTATTTATGTGCGGTAATTGTATTATATTATATTAATTTGATTGGATTGATTAAAAACAAATGAAATCAATTGAATTGAATAATGGTGATGGGAAAATACGAATTGGAGTTTTGTGTCCACACACATGGATGCTTGCTAGCTATCAACTAAGCTGCTGCTGCTGCTTTATAATGAGAAAGACGCACACACAGACAGACAGACAGACAGACATTGACGTATAGACAGACAGACAGACAGGCCCACCACCACTCTCCCGGCCCTCAATATTAATTAGTTGTGGAAATAAGTAAGATATAACAACAAACAAACAATGATTCGATTAAGTTATTATATGTTTAATAATTACTCGATCGATCGATCGAGGTAAATGAAAATTTTAAAGAAATGTAAGTAGTGATGCATGCCTAAGAAATTAAAGAGTAGTATTATACATTATTACTTACCAAAGTAGGAGTATTTATTATTATTATTATTATTATTGGCTAGTCGTGTCTCTCTCAGTACTGTCTCTCACCAATTTTATGATGAGTGAGTGTGAGTATGCATGCAACAGAAATGAAATTAAGTTTTGTTTGTTTAACGTTGGGAGCCATTTATTGGCCATGCATGGTAACGGTAGTATAACTCTAAATAAATCAATTAATTTTCACTCACCTTTAATACTTAGCATAATATAATATATAGTATAGCACTTAATATTATTGGGTTCCTTCGATTCTTCACTCCCAATAAAGTAGTAAAATAATTCCACAGCATATGCTTTAGGGTTTCGGAGCCGCACAATTTATTTATTATTCGACTCAATGACATTTTAATTCATTTGCCCCCATTCTTTATGATTGAACAGAGATTTACCAACAAAAACAAACAATACTAGTTTATAGTTTAACAAATTATGCCACTCTACATTTAGTTTTGTACATACATCTCCTCTCAGTTATTGACACACATTATGTATTTAATTTTTTTACTAAATATAGGATTTCATCGTTACATTGAAAAGCACAAACTTTAAAAATAAAAATAAAAATAAAAATTCCCAATTCTGTCTGAAGACGAGACGAGAGGCGGCAGTAGTGACCGTACAGGGCAAAAACACAAACCACAATTAGGGAGATTCACAATCATTGGTGATTATGCGAATATTGTTGCTGATTTGAATTCTTTCCTCACTTGCCATGTTTATAATAATAATTTTAAATAAAAAGAGGAAAGCTGTGGCAGGCAGGCAGGCAGGCATCTCTTTGATGCTCTCTCTCTCTCTCTCTCTCTCGCACGCAGTCTCCTCTCCTGAAAGGTAAATCCCAAGCTGGCTGGCAATATGATATGACCCGTTGTCAGGTCCTGCACTACACTTTAGACCTATTCACTCACACTCACACTCAGACTCAGACTCACACTCACCATCTCTGTAAGCGCGCACACAGTTGTTGTGGGGTGTGGGGTTATACGACGATTCACTGCAAACTCACTTTTCCTTTTAGTGCTTGTTTTTTTGCTTTTGCCACATATTCCAAATCTTGAAGAAAAGTTTTGAAATTGACACTCCTTTGATGAATTATTTCTCACCTTTTGCGCTTTGAGTTGAGTGCTGCTGCTGCCCTGCCCTGCCCTGTCAATAGGAGTTGGGTTTCAATGGTGGGTCCGCTCCGTTGTTGAGAGGAGGAGGAGGAGGATAATTATAATACCGTTGAAAGAACCATCTTTATCAACCTTACTTATTATACTGTCCGAATGTATGTAGTCGGTGCGCATATATTATACTCGTACCTCTATGGAGTGTTAATCAGTACCCACCCTAGTCACTGTCTGTGTTTAATATCCATATCCGCACAGGCATACCATAAACTTTGTTGTATATATACTAGTAATATCTATAGACAGTACTATTATTATACACTTCGAAAGAAAGAAAGAAAGAAATGGAGCTAGCTAGCCAGCCAGCCTTTTGTTTTATTGAAAAGTAAAAAACAGATTATACAAAATAGAAATTGGGTTGCAACAGCAGCAGTCTTGGTTCGCTTATTTCCCTTTTTATTCCTTTTGTGTCTCTAAAAGTGACTGTGGCTTCTTCCTGACTGACTCAGACTAACAGCAATGGATGGGCTCTGCTAGATAATCGGGAATGGAAAAGGGTTCATCCTCCTCCTCCTCCTCCTCCTCCTCTTCTTCTTCATCGGCTCCCGCCGGCGGGGCAGACTCTCTCAATGGATTGAAGTTTGGCCAGAAAGTCTACTTCGAGGGCGTCCTTTCTGGATTGCAGCCGCCCAAAACTGGCTCGCCTCCCAAGGCGGAGGCGGCGGCGGCGGCGGCGGCGGCGGCGGCTCCTCCGCCCTCTCCTGCCAAGAAAGGTCGAACAGGGTTGGTGCAAGCTGGGCACCCGCCCAGGTGTCAGGTGGAGGGCTGCAATGTAGATCTGAGCGATGCCAAGACTTACTATTCCAGGCACAAAGTTTGTGGTATGCACTCCAAGTCTCCAAAGGTCATTGTTGCCGGTCTCGAGCAAAGGTTTTGCCAGCAGTGCAGCAGGTCAGTCTGTATTCTCTTCTCAGTTTTCAGGAGCAAAATAACCAACCAAAAGCCTCTTCACTTCTTGCAAACACCAAACTAACACTAGTAGTAGCTAGCTGAGTGCTTTATTGGTATTGGATTTGGGCTGACTTTATTCTTTTGGTTATTTTGTGGTTGATGTCTGGTTGCTCACTTTAGGTGTTGTGCTCCAATTATATGTATATCAAGTGCCTGCCTTTGCCTTACCCTTGAGTTCTGCCGTCATTGGAGTTGTCTTGTCTGGATTCTTTAAGTAATTCATCCTGTTGGTTGGTTGGTTGGTTGGTTATTCTATTCTGATGCTGGGGAACTAGCACTTCCTTCCTTATTTATTAATTTATTTTTTTGAGATAATGAACGGCACCATCTTCTTGATAAGATGGCTTCTATTCAGTATGTTGCATTTTGGGGGTTCATGAGTTGGGCTATACAAATTTAATTAAGCCACTAAAAAAGTTGATTAAGGCCCTGCTTAAGGTATTATTCTGCATATACATATATATATATATATATTTAGATTATAAGAGGTTGAGAATGTTGTGTTGTCAATTTATATGTATTCAAGATAATCACGTTATCAAGTGAGTGATGCATTTTTATCGATTTAGATGGTGGGGTTTAAACACTACATAAAGTTTGGAAAAATGAAAGATTGTTTTTGGTGGATTGGGTTTGAGCGATTGATTAATTCCTTTGAGAAACTTGGTTATGATGATGGGTTCGGTCGGAACAAGAACAACTGCATAGGTCGAACATCTGTTCAATATAACATTCATAAAACATGCTTCTTTGTAGTGAGATGCATCTTATAAAGATGGTGAAATTTGTTACCACTTATGTATGTATACGTGCTTGCTAGCCTCTACAGACATTCTTGTTACAGTAGTTCTTGTTCCATGTTGTAATAATGGCTTCTAGATTAGCCTTCATCCAGGTTTCATCAACTGCCTGAATTTGACCAAGGAAAAAGGAGTTGCCGCAGACGCCTTGCTGGCCACAATGAGCGAAGGAGGAAGCCACCCCCGGGATCACTGTTACCACCTTACTGTGGTGGAAATATTTGTCCGCCCCTGTTCGGTTAGATTACAGAGGCTCCTACTCTTTTCCATGCTTTCAGGGGACTGACTTGACTCTCTTCACATCATTTACACTGAAAAACTGAGATCAGAATATGACATCTGTGGTTGCAGATAGCCATAGCAAAGGCAGGGGAAGCTTCATGATGGACTTCAGCGCTTACCCAACTCTTGGGGGAAGGGACTCATGGCCAAATACGGCAATATCTGGACGAGGCTTGGAGAACAAAAGTGCAATGTCGGGGAAGCCTCTGCTTGCCTGGCAGAGCGGCAGCTCACAAAACCATCTTATTCTGGACATTCATCATCAAGGTACGACAAGTAGGCCTCCTTACCCTGGCCCTGCCATGGTGGTACCTTCAGAAGAATGTTTCAGTGGAGTCTCGGACTCTGGCAGTGCTCTCTCTCTTCTGTCAAATCAGCAGCCCTGGGCTGCAAGAAGCCGCCCTCCCTCAGGTCTCGGGGGAAACCATTTCCCTTGCGGCAGCACCGGCGGCATGGCCTTTGCTCAAGCGTCCGGAGATGGCGCCGGCCACTTGGGCTACCCGTGGTGGGGCTCTAAGGGCAATCAAGCTGGCAACACTATGCACGAAGAAATCCCTTCTGAAATGGGGCTGGCGCAGTTTTCTCACCCCGGCAACGACCAATGCGCTGGGGAGCTGGGATTGGCTCAGCCGAGCGAGACAGTGCAATTCCATGAATTTGATCATTCGAGGGGCTACGATCCTTCCATCCACCAGCATCAGCATATGCACTGGTCTCATTGAGCTGACTACTATTCTCTGTTTGGGTGGATGCGTATGCCCGTCTGTCTTTGGTCTGTCTGTCCTAATGAGCTTATGAAGACCCGTGTGTGATTTCTTATTATCAATCATTTGACAATTGTGTGATTGTGGTTTGTACTCTTTGCGTGCGTGTCTTGAAACCTATTATCTGTCTGACGTTGGTCCTTGGTGAGTTAATTCTCTCATCTTCGTCTTCGTCTCTAATGCTGCTACTTGTGTTATGAATAACAAGCATGTATGCAGATTATCAATAGGTAGAGCTTGCATTGCATCGGTGCTATCAATGGATATGTAGTAGTAGTTAAGCTACAGGTAATTGGGAGGGGCATATATGGAATTATAAATTAATGCCCATTACTTGGAGGGTAAACCGGTGAGAATAGCAACTACTACATAACCGCTCATGCACAGGAGGAGTTCTTCTTCGTCTTCCCAGGCTCAAAACCACCTCTCTCCCTTTCTCTCTCTCTCTCTCTCTCTCTCTCCCTCCCTCTTCCGCAGTCACTCTTGAAGGTCATCAAACCCTGAATCGTCTCCCGTCGCTCAATATACTGAAGAGTAGTATGTAGGTGGTACGTAGACTCTCTACTGTTTGCCTGCCTGCGGGATCATCGGTTTCTTGAATGAGATTACTTTTTGTTCAGTGTTATTTTTTGTTTTTGCTGTCGAGCACGTTACTGTTTTGTACTCTTTATCTTATAACTAAACTCGTTGTGCAATCAGTGGGCATGTAGATGTATGATGTCGAATAGTTTTTCCTTCATTTGCACGGTCATCCATCGCGGCCGCCTTGAATGATCAATTTACAATGCTTTCGGTTAAAAATAAAGGGAAGTTTTGTTTTGTGATTGATTCGAATGAATGCTCTCATGTTATTATTATATTTGACTACTCGAGATCCAAGTATGTTGGAAATACTTTTCTTGATTTTCACATCTTTCAATATGCCAAGCTTCATCCAGTCCAACACTGTAGGATTAGCTTTTGCTTTGCTTACTCGAGATGTTTCTGTATTGTTTGCATGTCAAGGGGAGCATTGATCGTACGTTTGCTTCTTCACGAATCAAAGGAATATGGCTAAGCATTGGCATTGTTTCTATCCGATTGCGATTCTCCTCTGGGCTATCATGGGATTTCATGGTCTGGCAATCACTGTTGAATCAGATGGTAATAGGTTATATAGTCTCTATCCCACCTTCATTTCAAGACAGTTTTTATTGCGATTCAAGCCAAATATTGTTAATCACACTCCACAAAATACGGGCTATAATAAATAATGGAAGATTGTACAGTCCACCTATATTCTCGATGATTTGCCCTACCTAGTTCGTTACAAGTTCAAGAAAGTACTAATATCCCCTTCATAACATGCAGTTCAAGCTCTTCAGGATTTATACAGATCGCTGAAGAGTCCTCGGCAGCTCGAATTTTGGAAGGCAGAGGGTGGAGATCCTTGTGCAGAAGCCTGGATTGGAGTTCAATGCTCTGGATCTTCCGTAGTCCACATGTAATTCTGATATTGGAACTTCATCACATCACATGAACTAAATACAATACGGTAGGTGGAAAGAACTTATTTGTGTTTTCCTGTTTTTTCTTTTTTTTTTTTTTTTTCCAGCAAACTGCATAGGCTACGGCTCATGGGTAATCTCGGGTTTAAGCTCTCCAATCTGAGGAGTCTGAAGCATCTGTAAGAAACTTCAACCACGTTTTCTTGATCCGCTCCAACTTGTGTATTATTAACTTCAATTTCGTAAACTTCATTTCTGTCAGGGATGTGAGCTCTAATTACATTGAAGGCACAATTCCATACATTTTACCTCCCAATGTCACGTACCTGTAAGACTACTTCACTTGGGATTCTCATCCAACTTAAAATGCCTTTGCAGAAGCGCCTATTACCCTTCATGTTCAATCATTGCAGAAACTTGTCTGCAAACAAGTTCAGCGGAAGCGTCCCATACGTCATTGAGAACATGAAGCATCTCCGGCATCTGTAAGAAGATTCACACATCCATGCGATTTTGCTACTCTGTATGCCATTCTAATATAATGATCTGTACGCAGGAATCTGAGCCACAACTCGTTGTCGGGACCTCTGGGGGATGTGTTTGATGGCCTTTTGGATTTAAGAGAAATGTGCTGCTGCATTTTACTATCTTACTGAATCCCTCCCCATATTTCCATTTCTTGATGCTAAGAACTGCAATTTTCTATCACCAGGGATTTGTCATTCAACAACTTCACAGGAGATTTGCCTCCCTCATTCAGAAACTTAACCAGCCTCAAAGGATTGTGAGTTTGTTTCTTCTCATTTTTTCGACCAATCTACTAGAGTCTCAAATGCAACTGACATGAGCTCTTGCAGGTTCTTGCAGAACAATCAATTTACTGGATCAGTGATTTTCTTGGCCAATCTCACTCTATCAGACTTGTATGTGGTCTCTCTGGTCTACTCCAAGTAGACTTGTTGCATTTTGTCCCCCGACTGTTTATGCACTGACAGGCTCTGTTATTCAGGAACATCGAGGATAACCATTTCAGTGGTGTGCTTCCAGAAAAATTTCAAAATATACCCAATTTGAGGTAACCACCCAATTTTACTCCACAGGCTAGGCTTCTTTCTACATTCACATGCTGGTTGCTGATACCTCATTCCCCCTTTGTATTCAGGATATGGGGCAATCACTTTGACAGAGCAACAAACTCTCGACCATGGCGCTTTCCTGCTGGAACTCCGCCTAGAGTGCAAAGTACCCGCAGCCCACCAGCAGCAAATTTAAGTGCCTTTGAGAGCCATCCAGCTCAAATAATACTTCACAAAGATAAGAAGAAGTCACATGCCACAGGAATATTTCTAATGGTTGGCGGGCTAGCCGTGCTTGCAGCTTGTGCAGCTCTTTTTATTGTGATCCACAGAAGCCGCTCGCAGGGTGTAACACTTGGAAATTTGGGTAACAGTGGAGATTCAATGCCTTCTCTACACATGAGCACAGCCCAAGGTGAGATGCAATTACTGATCCTTTGAGCTGAAACTTTTGTTTGCTAGCCATTTTTCCTTCAGCTCTCTTTGCTTGTCCCCTCTCGAATTTTTGGTGCAGATTATACATCCATGCCAGCAATGCACAGCGCCCAGTCTTCACCATACAGTTCCTCTCCCATGATCACCCCCTCTCGACTGCCTCCAATTCAGACTAAAACAATACGGATGTCCCAGAAAAAAAGTTTTACCAAGAATAGAATGCCAATAGATGCCAAAATATATACCGTGGCAGAGCTTCAAATTGCTACAAATAGTTTTAGCGAAGAACATCTTATCGGTGAGGGATCCCTTGGTTCTGTTTACAGAGCAGAGTTTCCTGATGGCACGGTATTATCATATCATGACATGACACAAAATAAAAAGTTTTGTAATTCAAATACTGAAATAGCAAGGAGAGGAAGTCCTTGATAATATAATTTACTTTTGACAGGTCTTAGCCGTGAAGAACATTAGAACAGTACCGCTGTCCATCATTGAAGAGCAACAGTTTTTGGATGTGATCCGAAATGCATCGCGCTTGAGGCACCCTAACATCGTGACACTCCTTGGATACTGTACAGAGTACGGCCAGCACCTCATTGTGTACGAATTTATCAGGAAGTTGTCCCTCCATGAAGCTCTGCATTGCGTTACCTACAAGCCACTATCCTGGGGCTTACGCCTTCGGATTGCTCTTGGGGTGGCACGCGCATTGAAGTAAGTAGCATCCCATCCCATGTGTCTCAACTCAAGCTATCCATGTCTTCTTACAGAACAAAGCATACGGCGCCACATTAACTAGTTTCTGTCCATCCGGACCGTAGTATTCATTCCACTCATGCTCGCTTGTTATCTGCAAATTCAACAGTTACACGCACTCATCCGTGCCCCCCATTGCTCATAGCAACTTAAAGGCTTCCAATGTCTTGCTCGATGAAGAGCTCATGCCCCGTCTCTCTGATTGCGGCCTCGCTGTCTTGAGACCCCTTACTTCCAACAAGATCAAGCTCAAGGTACCCCTTTTTCAATGTCATTGTCATTGTAAATGGATTCCAATTCACCACTTATTACAATATCCCACTAGCAAGTAATCTCTTCTCCTCCGAGTTTACCTTACCAGGCTTCAGAAATGGCTATTGCTGATAGCGGATATATTGCGCCTGAACATGTTCAACCGGGGACTGAGAGCACCAAAGCAGATATCTATGCCTTTGGCGTGTTGCTTCTGGAGCTATTGACAGGGAGGATGCCCTTCGACAAGTATAGTCTCTACTACAACACAAACCCTCCTTTCTTTAATTTGCAATAGTACTCACACAGTGTTCCCAACCGTGCAGCTCAAGACCAAAACAAGAGCAATCCCTGGCAAGTTGGGCGTCAAGCAGGCTTCACGACACCACATCCTTACGGCAGATGGTTGATCCATCGCTTTCAAAAGCAATCTCCTCCAAGTCCCTTTCGCGCTATGCAGACATCGTGTCTCTCTGCATTCAGGTACTTAGGAAAACATCACCTGGCTGGCTAGGTTACACGTTCATCTCCTGGCCAATGTATAACTTTTTTATGTCATGCATCAGTCTGAGCAGGAATTTAGGCCACCCATGTCCAGTATTGTGGAATCCCTCATGAGTCTGCTGCAGAAACCAAATGCCCCCACTGGTGGCAAAGAAGCAGAACCTTTTGACAAATCTAACCAGTCGACCAGCAGCAGATTATTTGGCTCGCCAACTCTCAGCTACTACTCAGTTTAATCTTGCAGAGGGTAACTCTTCACTTGTACATACCATAGTGCTACTAGTACTCCTGTTACAGTATGAAACTTGCATACAGAGGAGTGGCAATTGTAACGGTATGATTTCAAATTTTCCCACAGATTAGAGACATTTTAATCTTTGAAACACAATCACTGAATTTTACATATGCAGTACTGTGCAGTTATTGTTCAACACTGCAAGAACTGTCCAATGGCAATGGTAGCAGGAACAAGTTTTATGCAGTGTAAACCATTTTTGTTGTTGTCACCTATGATGACCAGTGCAATAACTTATGCACCTAAGCCACTACTCAACAATGAATTAATCTCTCCAATAATATGGACAGGCCGACCATCAAACAATTTAGAAAGTGTTTCCTCACAAAGTTTCTTCAACTCCCTGGTTTTCACAAGGGCTGCTTCCTGCAAAAAATGAAATAATGCAGCGTTAAATATGAGAAACTATCCATCCACCCATCTTCCAAGACAAGTTGCACCACAACTTGGAGAGTTTCTTATAAAATGACTTACTTGTTTTGGCCAGGAGGATGACAGTGAATTTTGCAACTCCAGTCGTTTGTTATAAAGGTCCTTTAACCCTTCCTTCAGCTTGGTCTCATGATGTTTCTTTTCTTCCAAAGTACTCACCAAACGATCCAAAAATCTGAAATTCAGAAAAGTTAAAGAAAAGATTTTCTTAGAGACGGCATTTAGTATCCTCCACAGAAGAAAAGAATGGGACATCATAAAGAAACTGAAAAGGTCTGTGCTAAAAAATATCAATATGAGGGCATGGCATGAGTGCACAAAGAATAAAAAACAGCACATCGGAGATTATACTCTAGCATTAAAAAGACATAAGTTAAAAAAGAAATTCGGAAAAATATGGTTATCGATGGAATTTCTATTTACAAAATAACCTTGGTAAGAAGGAACACTATAATGTATCCAAACAGGTGTGATTTTAATTCAGATGAACATGAATCATACAAATTAATTTCGTATCTTGGTCAAGAATGAAGAACACTGGAGTGAGCTATATCTTTTACCTCAGATAACAAATAGACACCTTGCAACCTACTTATCTCAAACATTGTACAAAAGAGAACCAAAGCACAAGATTAATCATACCTTCTGGAGTTGAGTAGCAAAATCAAGTCTCGGGTTTTCCTATTTGTCAGTAATGAAATAGCCAGAGAGATGTCGGACAACATTGACTGAATAGAATCGGGAGTGTATTGCTGTAGCACAAATGGAGCTACTGCTTGGATTTGATGTTGCAGAGATAAGGTTTCACCATTTGTTAATTCAAGCAATCTCTGGTTCAGGAATGCTTTTGCCTGAAAGTAGTATTTTATATCAAAGAAGAATCATATGGATACAAGACAAAAAAAAAAGGTGTCACTAGGTTAAAAAGAATAAAAGGCAGCAATGTCCATGAGAAGATAGAAACTTCAAATAGATATATTTCAATGTGATAAAACAATGGAGAAAGAGAATTTGAACCTCAAATAAATCATCAAGAATCTTAGTTCGGTACTCTGTCTCCAATAGCTGACTCCTGTCATGGCCACTTCCTGTTTCTTCATTTTTATAATAATGCTGGGTTGAATCAGAATCTGTGATCGTACTAGATAACCTGGTGTCATCAGGTTCAGTAACATGTGGATTCTCAACAGTTACATCCCAAGTAATCTTATGAGTCTCAATGCCATTTTTATGTGGAGAATCTAGAGAAATATCACTAGCATTAACAATTTCAAATGGACCCCCTAATCCATTGCCATTCTCTTCTGTTTCCACAGTACCAATATCCCAATCAATCTGAGAGCTCTCCAAAGTAATATCCCAGTCAATACTGTCGGTTGTAGTTTCTCCACCCTCTGCTGTGGGCACAGGCTCAGGGCAATCTTGAGAACTAATAGCAAATACTTCAGGACTAGCAGAAACAGTAATAGATGGGGGATTTTGGCGAACATAAATCAAGTTTGGCAACACAGGACCATGAATTTTCTGAGAAAAAAAGAAAAGAAAAGAAAATCATAGGAAAAGACAGACATGAGACTATTAGTAATTCATCCAGTTCTTGCCAGATTCCAGTGATGGTAAATCAACTTAAAAGAATACTTACATCTTTCTCTGTATGAACGTCTTTCACGAACATTGAATAGAAACCAATGGTCATTGAAACTGAGTCACTATTCAATACTTCTAAAATCCTACTAAAAGTGACTGGAAGTAATGTCGTGGCTGTTTCTAACAACTCTGACCTGACATTGACACCCTGCCGCAACCAGAGAGTCGAATTATAAATCTCTAGGACAATGATTAGTGCAAATAATATCAGCCCAAAAAATATTATTAATAGGAATAAGGGAAAACCTGCAACCCTAGCTCCTGGCATGCCTCTGCATACTTTGCAGCTGAAAGTGCAGCATTTCGTTTTGTATCAGCTTCTTTCCGATCTAATTCAGCAAGCTGCTGTTGACACTTTTGAACTTGCTTCTTCAGATAAGGGCTGTAGAATGAATAAAAAAAAGGATCAGTAGTACGAAAAGATGAATAATATGTTCCTCAGGCTTTTGAGGCATTTTATTTTTTTATGTAATTTTCTTACATTTCATAGATCACATTTTGGGTCATTATTTGAGCAGCCTCACCAAGAAAAATATGATCTTTCTCATATGCCCGCACTATTGTCTCCCAATCACCCTGCCAAGATTTAGAATATTGGTTACAGCACATGAAAAGGATATTAAGGACAAAGAAAATCAGCAAAGCAATCATTCTTGAAGGTTAAAAAGCTACACGAATTTGGATATCTTACAGCAGCACCTGAAAGCCGACCAAAAATGTTTCGGCTTTCCGGAGTTGATTTTAAGAGAATTTCCAGTATCTTTTTGGCTTCCAAGTAGCCAATCCCTGATAAATTACAACAGCAAGAACTACAGTAAGAGATTGGAACAGAAGTAATTCCTCATTTAAACAACAATGTTAAAAAATATCAAAACCTACGCATTTCTTGCTGACTCCCATATTTGCTAAAGAATATCCTAGCTCTCCAATGCTAAGTTTCAACCCATAGGAATAACACGTAGTAATCTCAGATAAAGTTTAGAGCAGTCCAAAATATATTATACTCATGACTACCAAAATATTGTATTAATAAAATTTCGTACTAAACAATCACGATCTTGTATAACGCATTTGTTAAAATTTTACATCACAGCCCTAAATAATCAACGCTCCCTACAATCAACAAGAATATCGCTGATACGCAATAAAAGGTGGGTGAAGAAAGAATATACGGATATCAACTAAACCATATGAAAAATGATTACTTTCTATCAAAACTGATGAGTTTAGATTGAATGCACAGTATGAGATAAAAAAAACCTTCAGGGTCGAGGGTTTGGAAAAACGGATCAATGTCTTTTGGCAGCGAAGTAAATGACGACGAAATCTTCGACCTCACAGCCACCATTCGCTTCCTCCAATCCATAGGAATCCTCCTTCGATCAACAAGCCATTCTTCAATTAACCAAGGCATCAGTAGAAAAAAGAAAAGGTCCAAATTTCAACCATAAAACGCAAGTTGAAATTAGTTGCACCCAAACAGAAGAGCTTACCTCCGAGACGACCGGATGCGATGTCGATCGGCAGGTTCCGAACATCATCTTGATTCTGCATCTTCTTTCCACCGAGAAATTGGATTTCAGCAGCAGTCATTGAAGAAGATCAACCTCTGCAATTTATGTCGCGCAATATGTCTCAATTTTTCGAGCCCCTTTTAAAATATGGGCTGAAAATTCCCATAGACGGATCAAATTGGGCTTTAGAAATAGTGCCCGATTGAACATGGCCGATGTAAATGATTTGGGCTTAATATATTATTGTATAATAGGTTCACACTTCTAAGCCCAACGTAGCCCAAATATTTATCGGTGTTCCGACTTCCTGACTTCTGACCATCTCCATCGCCTTTTCATCTGTAGCTCACTCACGCGAACGAGATCAAGCAAAGATCGGTGGATTCCTGCATCGGGTGAGCCGCGTCTCTCTATCCGATGTCTCAGATCCATATGATAAATTATATACACTGTTATGGATAAATAAGCTTGAGGATTTTAGCTTTTCAATATAGATCGTTTAATTCTAGGGTTTTAAGAGAAAGTACTGCGGGTTGTGTGAAGAAAGGCTTGTTGTTGGAAATTTTGACTTGACTTGCTATGAAGATGGTTTAGTTGGTACTGTATATCATTCATGTAGTCTACGCCTTTCATTTTTGCGGCGTTCGATCGAGTGTCGTGCCCTTTTTGGTTGGACATAGGAGGAGGTCAAGTGATCCTTTTATGCTTTTGAATGATCTATCCCGACACTTTTGTTACTTGTTTTTGCTAAAACTGTAGATGTAAATCAACGGACTATTGCCCAATTGTCTAAACTGCACTGAAATTGTTAATTATCACTGTTAGGCTTATGCTGTCTTTGAAATTTCTCTGTGCCCTCCATTTTATTTGAGCTTCTTTCAGTTTTCTCGGTATAGTAAGTTTTTGCTTTTTGTTGTTTTTTAGGGTATGTTTGGTTCAATTGAGGGTTGGAAAAATTAAAATTTTAGTGTGTTTGGTTCAAATGTAGGGGAAGGGAGGAATTTTAATGGAAGGGAGTGAAAATTAAATTGTAATGATAATAGGTATTGAATAATTCTTTATTTTCTCCTTGTAAAGTTTTCTCACTTGAGGTTGTGGGGAAATCATGTGGTAATTACTGAGACAATCTCATAATCATCACTCCTGCATACTTGTCCGTGCGTTAATTTTTTTAAAGTTGCTTTGCATCTTGGCTCATGGTGTCTTTTGAAACACAATGCCTGAAGTTCTAAATCTGTTTCTTATATGAAATTTAGATATTTTCCTTGCTTTAGTTTGTAGAATCAAGTTAGTGGGAAGATCACACGAGTAGCTAATTCACTAAATGACATAGCTCCAAACTCCTGCTCTTTCAAACCAGTGTCTAAGAATATTTTGTGGTTGACTAAAAATTCTTGGCACTGTCAATGACAGTAACTTAATTATAATTGATCCGTATTTTCTTATTATTGATGCTTCATCTGAACCAGCATTTCTGTATTTATTGAAAGGAAGTTAGAATGAATCCTGAGGAACTTAGGCACTTTGAAGATGAAGAGAGTGGTACAATGAAAACTATAAAAGGGGCAACCACAGGACTTGCTGCTGGTACTATTTGGGGCACGATTGTTGCTACCTGGAATGATGTACCGCGTGTTGAGAGGAGAGTGGCACTTCCTGGTTTGATCCGAACGCTGAAGATGATGGGTAGCTATGGAGTGACATTTGCTGCAATAGGTGGAGTCTACATTGGCGTAGAGCAGGTGGTGCAGAAGTATAGGATGAAAAGAGACTTTGTTAATGGAGCTGTTGGCGGATTTGTTGCTGGTGCTTCTGTTTTAGGATTCAAAGGTGAACTTATCTCCTTTCTTGTTTTAATTTCACTAAGAATAATTCATGATGTGAATGTTCAATATGGAATGTCAATGGGCACTTTGGTTTTGTGGCTTGTGCACGTAATTCATATGAATTGCTGTCATTAATTCATTCATATTTGAGACAGTTGAGGCGTATTCTTCTTCTTCTTCTTCTTCTTATTCTTCATTCATATTTGGTATCGAGTATGATCATATTGTGGAATTGACCTAAGAACATGTAACTTGTGCAGGGAGGAGCATTCCAACTGCACTCTCTGCCGGGGCCGCACTCGCCTTCACATCTTCAGTCATTGATATTGGAGGCCAGACCACAAGAGTGGACAATGGCAAGGAATACTACGCATACACGGTCAAGAAAAGGCCCAGCAGCGTGAATTGAGCTGAGCTATCCTAAGCCTCACATCTTGTGCCATTCTATTCCGAAACATGTAATGTGCTGCTTGCGGGATCCGTCGCGACTTTGCTTGCTGTGCCATTGTCAAAGCTGAACAAATGGTTTAATAAATTTTTGTGGGATTCCCGGCGGATGGATGTTACCTGATAATCATGTTTGATTTGTCGTTGGTTTTCTGTTTTAATGTAATGGGAATGGCAGTGAGAGACATCCTTTGTTGTTAACTTGTAAAGTTGAAAGAATGAGCTGGAATTATGAGGAATTCTTGGGAAATTTTAATATACTAGTAGCAGATAAGATGCACGCACACTCGCCCATCAATATCCAGCCTTACTCATGGTGCTCTGCCCAATCTCCAAATCAATATCGAAGCCACGTGGCGGAAGCCCATTGGGCCAAGTAAATTTCATAGGTGCCAGGCGAGCTCAGCACAGCACAGCACAACATGTTGATTGATTAACGTAAAAGTTCCATTCCATAATCTTCTGCTGGAGCGGCGTGAGAGATCAGGTGGTGGTGGTGTATGGCGGGGATGGCTTGCTGTTGCGCTTGCCCCTCTTCTGCTTCTGCTTCTGCCCTGCCCTCTCGGACTCGGAGGTACGTACGTTTACAAAAACAAAATGCAACGCAACTTCAGCTTCACTCTATCCACCGAAGTTCTACTACTGTCGATGTCGCTGTGAATAAAATTGTAATTTGTTCTTTTCTTTTCCTCTTTGATTTCGAAAATCTGCTTAGGGTTTTGGTTTATCCAGGAGCATAGCGTATTGATTGATGTGATTCAAAATTTTCGCGTACATACCATTTATTATAGTCGACAACAAGATTCGTAGTAGTTATTTTCTTCAGCTGGTTCGGAATTGGTTGTTCTAGGCAGGAGGAGTGTTCAGAAATTGGCTGTTTCTTTTGTCTCGTAGTTAACAGAATTGCATCGCATACACCTATCCCTATGCTCAAGTCATTGATAAAAGTAACTGCTTTGTGGTTTTTTACTTCCGTGGGATTGCAGCTGTTTCATTCATTAGTTGATGAAACCTAATTAAACAACACACACTGACCTGTAGTTGCACTCACTCGCTCGCTCGCTCACATTCATGTCATTAAGATATTAGAGGTATGTGATTTCAGCAATCTGGCAGCACCTTGGTTGGTAGTGGGGACTTACCAAGGAAGAACCCTGACACTGGCAGGTAGACAGCAATCAAACAGGAGAAGGGGGAGGAGTTGTCTTGTGGTAAAAGCAGAGGTGAGTTTCGTGAACTCTGAAGACGCGAAGAAACTCGTTGCTGCCGAGGGATACTCAATCTTGGATGTTCGTGACAGAACTCAGTTCGAGAGAGCTCATATAAAGGACTGCTATCATGTCCCATTATTTATCGAAAACAAAGACAATGATTTGGGTATGTTTTTGTTCATTGCTTTTCATTGCAATGCATTTGGAATTGGTTTCTCAACTGACCATTAGCAGTTTATATACAATATGCACACACCAAACAGGGACCATTGTAAAGAGAACCCTCCACAACAACTTTTCGGGTTTATTCTTTGGCTTGCCTTTCACTAAACCCAACCCGGATTTCGTTCAAAGTGTTAAGAGCCAGTTTTCACCTGGAAGCAAGCTGCTACTTGTTTGCCAGGAGGGACTCAGGTAGCCACTAGCTACCTTTCCATTTACTTGTTCTTAGCTTCTCTCATTCATGCAGCCAATGCATCTAAAATATAATATGTGATTCTTGGTATCCGACTTCAGGTCAGTTGCTGCGGCAGATAAATTAGATTCAGCTGGTTTTCAGAAGATAGTGTGCATTACATCGGGGCTCCAAAGCGTACCGCCTGGTCATCATCTGTCTCTAAGAATTCCCAATCCTAGTGTTGTTTCTGAAATGCTTTAGGCATATTAAGAACATGCTTTTAACTGCAGGTACTTTCAATTCTGTTGGATCGACTGAGCTCAAGGATGCTGGAAAAGCAGGCTTAATTACAGTGCAAGGAAAAATTTCTGCTGTGTTAGGGACTGTCCTCATCTGTAAGTCATACAAAGGCAGTAGTAATACATTTATTTCCACACCCCCCCCCCCCCTGCATCTACTACACTCTTAGCTTCTAATCGAAGGAATGATGATTTTCCAGGTGCACTTCTGTTCGTCACATTCTTCCCCGATCAAGCAGAAAAGCTCCTTGAGCTCGCCCCTACACGCTAGCTTTCCACAGAGTTAAACATTCAGATGAGAAGAGGGAGAGGGAGAGACAGAGACAGACACAGACACAGAGAATTATTATCTCCTTCAAAACAGTAGAGTATTATTTGGAACTAAATCATCAATTTGCTAAGGGAGTGGAAATATCACAGCTTGGTAAAGTGCAATTTACTTCTTCTTTAATTCTTCTAATAAATCGCATATGTGAAGCCCACTCCAGGATCAAACATCCAGCAGACAAAAATGGCAAGGAACTTGAAAATCAGCAAGGCACATTTATTCGCCCTGGAGGCAGTAAAGCTGTCGGATGGCTCCTGATGCTGCCCATTCATGAAAACAACAGTTTTACTAACTAGCTAATACTAATGGATAATTATCAACACCAAATATGATGATGATGATGAGGTAGGTAGCATTGAGGGTGAGGGCATCACCGTATAACCAGTCTTTAAAGCATGCATGCAGAGAAGCTGAGAGTTCGCGTTTCCGGGGCTCTTCCAGTGACACCTCCCTCATAATCTGCTTAACTCCGTTCAACCGCGTGCTCTGAAAAATGAAGAATAAAATGTATTGTCAGTCCCACCCCACCCCCACCACCTGAGTTCAGGAATAACCCAACCCAACCCAACTGAACATACATTTTCCTCCAGCGCCGCGCGGTAGGCATCGGGTAGAGAGAAAGGATTATCTTTGGTAGAACCAGCTTCCTCACTTCCAGACCAGTTTGGAATCTGATGAGAGATTTGTATGTTAGCTTGTGCCAGAAATTTTAAACATCAATTAATGTGTCGACCGCTCTGATCTCAACAAGATTTGAAGAAGGTAAATACATTATACGAACAGCCAGCCCAAATAGAGTTCTCACCACAAAATTGGTGAACTGATCTGGATGCAGGCGTGCAGCAGTTTCGGCTTGAACATCGGACATACCAGCGGGATGAGACAGTGAGTCGTGGTGGTCGACTACTCCAAGCGCCACCGGTTCATCCCACCTATTGATGTGAGGGTCAACCCCAGCTTGACTCATGTGCTCCTCAAGTTGGGAGTAGAATGTATTATATGGAGCCACCTGCATGCCAAGGCGAGGTATCATCGTTCGAAAAAGAGACACCAAGTTGCAATGACAACCTAGCTTAGAAGTGTAGTGTATACACAAACTACAATGGGACTAATTAACCTGCAACTTATGGTTATCGCCAACAATAAGAGGTCGGTGATTAACTCCCAAGAAGAATAAACACTCGCGGCAATTTGCTATGCAGATTCGCTTGGCTGCCGTAATCAGATGAACGCGTTCGCAATGTTCGAATCTAACAGCCTGTGCAACAAAAAAAAACATCAGCAATATGTGACTCTAGTTTTTAACTTAAAGGCGGGAACATCTGAAGTGCAAAATAGGAGTTTTGCTTGCATGCATGCTTTAACAACCAACGTAGCTAGCTAGCTACCTTTCCAACGGCCCCAAGCACAATAGTTGCATCAGAGCATCCGTAGACCGTTGCATATTTCAGCGGCGCCAAAATGTAGATCACGGATTCATGACAGTTTACAACCTGAAAGGTGGTGTCATTTTCACACAATACAAGTGGACCACAGCTGAGAATATAATGTTGTTCACCTTTACAGATGTGCCCTTAAGATCAGAGGCTTGCTTTACACAATATGATTTGGAGATCCCCTCGATAAAACTCGGACCTCTGAGAGAGCTCGGTGGCTCCGTCGCAACATCCTGGTCAGGAGAAGCAGCCGCGGCATTTTCTTTAGATGAAACTCTATCGGAAATATGTTCCAGGGCGGAGGATATATTTTGGGTGAGCCATTCGAGAACTTGTGATGCAGGAACCCAAACCGCAGGCTTATCAGGATCTGTATTTGTGGAAAATGGGGTGTTCTGGCTCAATGGGATTCTCTCGGATCCCTTTTCCCCACAATACATCAAAAAACCAAGATGTTCGAATGCATCCATGGACACAACCTGGAAGAAATTAAGATACGCCATATTTAATTGACCTTACTGATGAATTAAATTAAATATGTAAGAAAACAGAACCACATACCAGAGATTGATCATCATCACCTTCTGCATCAGTGGAGTCAGACAAGAGGGAAACCATAGTACTCAGTTGTTTCTGCAAATAGGATAGCTGATGAGCCTCTTCATCAGCTTGAGATGGCATAAACCGACGGCTGTTTGCCAACTGCAAATTCATCGGATCGTGCTTCTATTAATTACTTATATACTGGGACTCATAAAATCAATTAATTGTATAAAGATGTATTACTAATTGGCAACACTCACTAGAGAAGTCTAGTTTTGGTTTTGCTAGATAAATCTGCAGCTGATTTGCATTCTGTATATCTCTTCAGCATGTTTATCTTAAGCAATACAGTAAAAATTAGAGATTATCGAACACATACGATCCCTCCTCTCCCATAACCAGTTCAATCTTGGTCCAGATCATCATGCATATACTATTAACAACAGCAAATATTTTGAAGAATCAACGAATATATTTGAATTACGTGAAACAGCCACACTTTATTAGGGCTATAATGATTCATACATTCACAACACAAGCAGTTAAATAGAAAGAATTAATTAATCAAAGGAATATTGTAATTTAGAATTGGAATGATGGATCACCTGTGATGGCGGAAGCGAAGATAAAAGACCATCGAAAGCGGAGGTAGATGGCCAGACATCACCAATGGCGGCAGAATCCTTGTGCCCTCTGGGGAGCAATCTCTTGTAACTCTGTATACACAAGAAAAGGAGCAAATCAAACACATTAACCCCAATTTCGTCCATCTCTTTGTCCTTGTCATTCACCAAAGGATCGGAATCATCATGGAGGACAGAGGATATGGTCTCGATCACAAGACGCGAGTGCTCGATCGGTATTTGAAGGACGCCGGAGAGAGCGTCCGCGTTCACTCGACGGTCGCAGGTGGACGACGAGAGGAGAGCCGGTTTCAGATTGGACAGTGTCTGCGTCCCGTCGTTGAATATGAGCTTCGAGATTGGGAGAAGGCCGTGCTCGAAGGCCTCCCGGCGGGGGTGCAGATAGAAAGTGCCGCCGGGAGTGGACGGGGGGGAGTCTGACGACATTATTATTACGTCAAGATCATGGAACAAGAAACAATAGATCAAAAGAAATGATCAATTCATTAAGGTTGTTGCGATTCTATTTTTTGTTTGCTAGAACTGAACTCTCTCTACCAATTCAATATTCATGATCAGATCTACGTCGTTTTGGCAGTTAATAAATCTGTCAACATGCAATGCAATGCAAGCAAACCAAATATAGTAGAGAAGAAATGCAATAATAATAATAATAATAATGATAATGCATGGCATGGCAGGCATGAGTATGAAATGATCATCCAAAAATTATTACAATGAGTTTTCCTGAGATAAGAAACCTGGACTGGCCCAAATTAAATTGATCTGGATTGGATGCAGCCCAGCCCAGCCCACAATTCCATCATGATTTACATCACAGTACAATAAATTAAGGGGGTGGTGGTCTTTTTATCTCATGTTAATCAGAAATTTGTTCTGTTTTATGCAGATATCAAGTCTGAATTACCCAAAATCAGATCACAAAAGTTGAGAATCTAAGGATGAAATTGACGGGGAAGATGGCAAGAATTGTCATGTCATGTCAAAGATAACGTTACACAGAGAGTGAATGAAGGTGAAAGCAGAGCCAGAGGGAGGAGAGGGCATTCCTTGGGGACAAAAGGCTCGCAATAATTCCAACACTTTTTCCATAAATAGGAACAAGAATGAGATGGGTGAATTGGGCCCACTTGATGTACACACCCCATTCCCTTGTACTTTTGAAATTTCTATCTCACAAACCACTTATTTCCATTTCCATTTGGTGGTATGTTATTTGATCGAAAACAAGCTCATCTAAGTTTGGTGTATTTTCTTCCCTCTTTTAGCCTAAAACATTAATCCCCACATAAAAGTGTAGACCCACCCCACCTATCAATTAATACAACATGCTTGTGGAATTCAACCTCACCCCTCCCCCCCATCATTTAATAATGGACTATGCTCTTGCAAAATTCTTTCTTCCTCTTTTTTTTTTACTATTTCATCAAAGAAATAATCACCCATATTACAAGTAGAACCCACATTTTAATTTGATGAGATTGTTAATACAAAAGATTGAGGTGAATTTTGTATCCGTACTTGAAATTTTAAAGAAGCTAGGTGATTATTATTATGATTATTATGATTATGATTCCACTATAAAAGGCAAATGTGAGGTCACTGAAATCAAATCACGTATTGCTCCCTTTTGCCCTAAACTCCACTTCTCCTTTTCCTTCATTTCATTTGACACTCCAATTAGTCCAACAAGTGTAGCACATCAAAAATTGTCCCTTATATGGAAACTTTGATCAGCCCAAACAACTTGTGGTTTTTGGCAACTTGCTTTATCGATTATTATTTTGATACTCTTCCATTCTTAATTTCATCTCAAGTCTTTATTTTTATCACAATCACTACCACTTCCATGCCTATCTCCCCTACATACATACATACATACATTTATCATAGAAAATTGCCCATGCAGCAAAAATTAAATTAACTTATTCCCTATCATTTCATTTGTTACAATTTATGACACTTGTTAACATTCCATTGATTTAAGAGGCAATGTGTGTGTATTCACATATGTATCGACAACAAATTAACACAAGTTGCACTAATGGTTGACCATAATTAGGCCAATCAAAAGCTGTGCGGTTATGAAAAGTAATTTTCATTTTTTCACTAAGATGTCTTGTTCATTGAACCTGTCACACTTGTGTGTGTGTGTGTGTTATGTTGGTAATTTAATTATTTTACTAATAAATTCATTTGATGTTAGTTAAGTATTGAATTAATTTATCAAGTGTGCGTAATTATTAATTGTCTTTCCGTAACCGTCCTTCAAACCAAGAAAAGGCATGCGCAATATTCCTGCTGTTATTATTTTAATTCAATCAAAGATATATATATATATATATATATACCTAATTAGTTTCGTCCATAAATAAATAATTACATAACTTATTACCCAATTATATACATACATAAAAGCTTGACTTATAATGATACCATTAGCAAATAATAATAATAATAATAATAAATAAAACAGTTGAACATGAATTGAGTGATCACCTATCAATCACAGAATCTGATTTAATTTGGAAGTATAATTTAAGCTTCAGTGTATGCTATATATAAATTAAACCCATCATAAAATAGATATGTGCATGTACACATACACACACAACATTCCATCTGTTGCGTTAATTGTGTTGAAAATAATATGGTAATGGATGGATCGACTTGGCCCATCATCGGAGTAGGTGAAACTTAATAATTGGCTACTTGAGAGATTTTAATTATTTTCTAATAATGTGGAATAAACATATACTTGAGAATAAAAAGGGTGAAGAAGATGTGTGATGCTTTACCTAATCCAATATTATTCCAACTTTTAATTTGGTCCATGTTTATATGTGGGAAAAATAAATAAAAAACGAAGATATCAGGTCCCAAGCAACTCAATTGACTTTACAACTGCAGGCAGCCTGGCTAGCTACTTATTAAGGAAATGAGAATAACTAAATTTGATTCAAACTTTGCCACAGTTACATATCATTAGTAAATTATTGCTGAGTATTTGTGTGAATGTTGTTTGTATACTTTCTTTTCTAGTTTGAGTCGTTCGCTAACTTATAATAACCCACATATATTATTATAAGTTGGCCTCCATTTCTATGTAGACAAATAGGCTCAAATCTCAATTAATACCAAACATTGGTAATATATTCATATTGAAAAACATTAAATTTCTTTTATTTAAGAGTATTATTGAATAATAATAATAACCAACTTTTACCAAAAGAATCTATATATATATATATATATATATATATGTGGGTAGCTAAAGGCCTTAACCACCCATGTTGGTGTAACACAAATTTATACTTTAAGAAGGATTTTCGGTTCTTTTGTATTTTTATTTTTGTTTTGTGTTTATTTTAGAGGTAAAGCAATAATTTGAATAAAAATATTTTATGTATATTTGATATTTTTAAAAGAAAAATAAGGATACACGAGAACACGTTCCATATTTTTAATATAAGCTCAAATTTTCTTGAAGAGAAATTGCTTATTTATTCAGACTATTTTACATAATTGAAGTTGAGTCCAATAATTGAAATGTCAGATGTAATTTGAGTGGATGTTCAACTTTAGGTTAAAAGTAATTAAACCATGCATGCTTAATTAAAACAGGAAACATGTACACTAGTTGAAAAATTAAGGTTGAATGCCATTAATAAAACTCACTCATATATCACTTTTGGTAGACTGCAGGCAATCAATCAGTTGATGTAATTGTGTGCATTTGAATTTAATTTAATTTGCTAGCAAGTAGTCTAAATTTGTCATTTGATTTCACACACCACACTGCTGCTGCAGGTAATGAATTCATTAGCATCCATCCATTTTATGGAATCGAGAGAGAGAGATATATCAATGATTATTGCACATGAATAAATTAATCTGCCGTTGGTTATTGAATTGGATTATCTAATAATTAAATTGGTCGAATATCGATTTTGATTTTGATTTTGATTTTGATTTTGTGCAGGAGGGTTGAACGACATATATGAGATTAGATTGGAAACTAACCATTGTATTGTATTGTATTGTATTTGATTCCACAAGAAATAATGACCAGCACAAATACCAAATCTTCGATCAAACCAACACTCGCAGAGCAGTATCAGTATCATCACTTCCACTATATAAAGCTGCTTAATTAATTGAATTGGATGGACGTTTCCTTTTGTGAAAAAGTCGCATTTGTCCTATAACAAAAATCGCGTTTGATGGTACAACGGCGTCAGTGTGATCACACTAACGCCAGAAGAAGCATGCAGCAGAAACCAAATATAAATAATCAATCCAGAACTACTTGGATTTGATGACACCGCTTTATCTACAACTGCCACCTAAATCAACAACAAAATTATTAAAATTAAAATTTTTTTTAAAAGAAAAAGGTTTTGGTGAATATACATACATACGTATTTTTAAAATAAATAAATAAAGCCAAATTGATTTTTATTTGTTTATTTTTCTCAAGAGAGAAAGTCGTCTTGTATTTGCAGAGAAAGATGGGAAGCTTAATGTTGTCTTTGTCTTTAGCCTCTTTTGCATTGAATTCGTTTCGTTGCTATCCTCGATTATCTCCTCTCTCTCTCTCTCTCTCTCTCTCTCTCTCTCTCTCTCTCTCTCTCTCTCTCTCCTCCAATAACATATGCTAGTAGTATTTTGGAACCGACTGGATCGATCTTCCTCCTCCTCCTCTTTACTGCAGCAGCTTACTAGCTAGCTAGCTCATATTTAATCAAATCCCTACTTTCCAACTCCTCTTTGTTTGTATGCCAATCAATTCTATTGATTATGGTGCCCTACTTCATGAATCTCTATAAAGAGGTGCCAAAGTACTTTAATGGAGGACGATTATTCTGCAACTTCTCTCACCTTTGATCGGCAGCAGCAGCACCTCCTCTTTGCAGCTGATCATCATCCTCTCCTCCTCGCTATGGCTTCCAACAAAGAGGTTCTGCTGCAAGAGGGCAATCAGGCTACTGACCACCACCATCAGATTAATCAGATTTCCTTCGAGATGATGCAGCAGCCATCTTCGTCGTCCTCGGGGCCCATTAATGGAGGAGGCTTTAATATGTAATTATTTGATTAAGGCTTTCATTTCATTTCGTTTTAATTTTCCACATATTTTCGAGAGAGAGAAAGAGAGAGATTGTTGAAACTTGTGATGACGGCTGGTTAAATGTGTTTATGGATCGACGGATCTACATGTGCAGTGGCAAGGATGCTGTGCCCTACGATTTGGGGGAATTGGATCAAGCACTTTTTTTGTATCTGGACGGACAAGATCAATCGATCGATCAAGAACAAAGCAGTACGTATACTACTTCGTTACGTTCATCAACACCTCCTCCTCCACCTCTTCCATCTTCATATTAATTTTTGGGGTTTAATTTCTTTCCAATTCTCCTCTACATACACATAAACTACTGTTGAATTCAATCCCACATATATATATATATACACGTGTATATATAACGATAATGTAAGTAAGGTCAGGCCTCCCTTCAATATAATTCCTCCTCCTCCACGATTAATTAGGATAAAATCCAAATATGGGTTTGTAAAGTTTATCTGACCTCTGTTCAGAATTCGGATTCTGCCTGTCTGATCTCCTGTTTGTGGTCATGAAGAAAGTATGTTGGCAGCACTAATCAAATCAAATCGCTGATTGTACTTCTTTTACTTTGACCAGAATATTTTCTCTGCTGCAGCAGGAGCAGGAGCAGGACCCAAACAAATCATTAAATTGAATTTTTCTTTCAAAATCTGATCCTATATAGACTAGGGACCAGCCTCGAGAGATAGCTATGACTCGTCTGGTCTGATCAAACAATCTTCTTCTTCTGATCACACACACACGATCCAATATTATTATTATTATTATTATTATTATTCCAGAGAAATACGACCCTACTTTATAAGATAGCGGCAAGAAACAAAGGAGCGGTTCTTGTTTCATCAGCAGCTTTTACCCCTCTGGTTTTATATTTGTTTATTAATTAAATAATTATTCCACATATTAAGAAGGCTTCGTTAATTCATGATTTTTTTATTTTCTGTTTCTACTAATTTGATTACTCTCAAGGAACGATTTATTAAATTTTGTTTAGGATGAATTATTAAATTTTGTTTAGGATGAATCATGGATCTTGGTTTTGTTATTTTGTGTGCAGAGAATTCAGGAATGAGGCCACACACTCTAAATATTTTCCCTTCACAGCCAATGCATGTAGAGCCATCAGCAGCAACATCAAAGGTACCAAAGTCGTTAAAAGATATATATATATATACATATGTCTCCATCACCAATTTTCTTGATTTCAGCGACTCATATGCAGATTGATTGTTATCTTTTTCTTTTCTTGTATGTTTTGATTTTGAAGGGGCTTGAGTTTTTAACCATATGCATGCTTAAGTAATTAGTCTAACTTTGATGAGATGTGTTAAATTTTGTGTGTTTGGTAGCCAAGTGATGGATTAGTTTCTATCTCAATGAGTGGCTCCAAGAGATCATCTGAGCCGTCCATTGAGCTATCTAACCCTAGAAAGGATGTTGCTTCTTCATCTGGACTGCCCAAAGCAGTTAAGGTTAGGACATAAAATAACACATTGTATTAGTTAGAGATTCAATTAATCTATATATATATATGTATGTATATGTATGTCTCTCTCTCTCTCTCTCTCTTTGGACAATCTGATCAAAGATTATATATATATATATATATATAATCTTGGAAACTGGGGTTTTCTGCTTTGTTGTTTATGTATTGAATTATTCAAAAATCTTACCTTTTCTCTTTATATACTATTTATTTTCTGTTGGTGGTGCTGGCTGCTGTTGTTGTTATTGTTGCTTTGTTTGCTGCGGCAGCGTGAGGGAAACCGCAAAGGGCCTACCTCAAGCTCAGAGCAAGAAAGACCAAAAACACCCGATCCCAAGGTTTTCTCCTTTCTGCCCTTTTAATGGAAATTCGACAAGTTAAATAAATCCCCATACCCCCATGTCTCCCACGCACGCACACACACACACCCACGCGGGTGTCTGTGTGCTTTTGGGGCTTCTATCTCTTACACATTAATTAAAAGTTTCCCTTTAAATATATATATACATATATGCAGACTCTGAGAAGGCTTGCACAGAATAGAGAAGCAGCTAGAAAGAGCAGGCTTAGGAAAAAGGCAAGTCCCCTCCCCCCCCAGATATATATATATGTAACATACAAATTAATTGAAATTTACATCGAGAGTGGCTAATTGATTAAATTTAATTTGATTTAATTGATTATCTCTAGCTCGATCACTAAATTAAAGTTCCATTCAAATTAACTAAGTAATAGATGGCCGGGGGTATTAATTTGTCAACTAAAAATGGTACGGTGCAGGCTTATGTCCAGCAGCTAGAATCAAGCAGGGTGAGACTTGCCCAATTGGAGCAAGAAATACAAAGGGCAAAATCTCAAGTGAGATCAAATATTTTTAATCAATTGATCATATGCATGCATATATGTGCTACTTTTTTTTGCTTAAGTTGTTGGGTTTAGGGCTTCCACCAATGATTAATTCATTAATTGTAGTTTATGAATTAAAGAAGTGATCATGATCATGATCGTATATATATATATATATATATGTGTGTGTCTTGTCTTGTCTTGTTGGTAGGGGTTGTTTGTAGGAGGAAATGCTGGTTTAGCAGGAGACCAACCCACCCTTCCTGTCGCCAACATCATGAATTCAGGTGCATTGCATGAATGCATTCTCGATCCATCAAGTCAACTCCATCCTATTAAATTAACTAGCTAAATTATACTATTAACAAGCTAAGTACACGAATATTCCTCCAAACAAATGCATACATACATACCTACCTACATGCATATATATGTGTGCATGTCCCTTAAAATTTCCATGATTATTATTATATTTGATTCGCAATTAGTAAATTATAGGTTAGTTCATTTTGGTGGAGATTAGTTATATGATTAAATGAAAGCATATGCTATGCATATGCAGATGCGGCGGCGTTTGACATGGAGTACGGGCGGTGGCTGGAGGAGCACCACCGGCTGATGGTACAGCTGAGAAATGCGGTGCAGGAGCACATGGCGGAGAACGAGCTCCGCATGGCGGTGGAGAACTGCTTGGCACACTTCGATCAGGTCATCCACCTCAAGAGCATCATCGCCAGATCTGATGTTTTCCACCTCTTCTCCGGCATGTGGAAGACTCCCGCCGAGCGCTGCTTCATGTGGATCGGCGGTTTCCGCCCCTCCGAACTCATCAAGGTACTCCTACATCATCTCTCTCTCTCTATATATATATATATATATATGCAGTATGCTATCTCAAATCATTAAACCCTAATTTATTAATTAATATACCAACATCACAATTCACACACTAGACTGACATTAACAATTTAGTTACGCAGAAATTAATTTAGGAACAAATTATAGTAAAACCCTAGCTAGTAGCTAGTAGTTGGTGAGTAAGTTAGAAGAAATGAAGTACACATAAGCATAGCAAATGAATCACACTGTTTTGTATCTTTCCTAAATATTGATCCTACGTAACGAACAAGACTTGGCATAGCCTTCTTTAAATACATTAGCCCTAATTCTAGAATGGGAAATGTGTAAACCACCAACAATCTCTAGCTACGCGCAATAAATTAAATGTGCCTATTATCTATGAACAATATATATAATGGCACAATACAATGACAAGTTAAGACAAACACGTACGTACGTATAAATAGAATTTGTGGATATATGCATGCTTCGACATTAATTAATTAATTTATTTAAATGAATGATTAGTTAGAGCATTAGTGAACATATATATGCATTATGAGCAGGTGATCCTGAACCAAATGGAGCCAGTGACGGAGCAGCAGCTGGTGGGCATCTGCAGCCTGCAGCAGTCGGCGCACGAGGCCGAAGAGGCCCTCTCGCGAGGCCTCGACGCCCTCAACGCCTCGCTGTCGGAGACCATAGCCTCCGACTCGCTCACCATCCCCCCCAACATGAATTCTTACATGTCCCAGATGGCTCTTGCTGTCAACAAGCTCAACACTCTCGAGGGCTTCCTCAGACAGGTACCTTGTAACTTTGCTAACCATTTAATTAATTAAATTCATCATCAATTTCCTACTCTTTCATTAATAAATTACCCTTTTAAACATACAAACACATATATATATATATATATAAAGAGAGAGAGAGAGAGAGAGAGAGAGAGATGACATATATATCTAATGATTTCGCAGATCGAAAGTAGGGTTTGAACAAAGATATGCCCCCCTGTCATCGATATCTCTTGCCCATCATCTCCATAAATGTTTTGACTCCACCCCTATCTAAATACTGCAATTTTGATTTGACATGTATCCTCCCTCATTATTTTTATCCTACAATTTTGCACAAACGCCGTAGCTTAGTTAATATAGGCTAATTACTGCATGTCTTTCACATTTTTATCCTATGTGGTGATTTTCACTTAGCTTGTCATAATTGTATTGATTTGTGCAGGCTGATAATCTCCGGCAACAAAGCCTCCACCGGCTGCACCAAATCCTGACCAGCCGGCAGGCTGCCCGGTGCTTCCTAGCCATCGCCGAGTACTTCCACCGCCTTCGTGCCCTCAGCTCGCTTTGGCTATCTCGCCCCCGCCAACAATAAATTAATTAATTACACAACCAAACCCCAAATTATATACTTATATAAATACTCCATCATATACATCGATTCCTCTATAATTTTATCCATCCCCATCACATACTTAATTATACATATGTCCTTCCAAAATTATATATTAATTAATTAGTTTTTCTTTTCAATGCCTGCTAACAATGTGTGTATATATGTGTGTGTGAACATATCATGTATGTAAATATACTTATTATTAGAGCCAGAGAGAAAAGAAAGAGTAGATTATGACTTTAGTTGGTGTGTGTTTGTGTGTACAAGGAAAATTAATTCAACTAAACTTAATTAGTCCTTTTCTTTTAAACATGCTATTGGTGGTTTAGTCAAAGTTATTGTTAATGTGCTATTAAATATGAACAGTGCTAACAACACTGTTGGGACTCTAGTGTATTAGAAAAATAATTAATGATATGTATCACTATTAATTTAAATTTTTAAGTGAAACGGTCATTTTGATCATTCATCTAACATGGTATTATAGCCCTAAATCTCATGTTAGAAAAATGCATCAATGAATTATCTAAATATATATATATTTTTTTGTATGAATTGTTAACATTTGGGTAACAAAAGGAATATAATATAAGCAATTAATTAACAATTGCATTTCAATTCAAATAATAACATCTAGTGAATTCTAAGATTTTAGGGAAACAACTAAATGATCATGAACCAAAAAAAAGGCATAATTCAAATCTAATCTAATCGATATTTCTGGATAAATAATTTTTTGAATAAAAACATGAAAATTAAAATTAAAGAGGAAAAATTATAGGTTGAATAATAAATGTATTTTTGGAATCTAATGGATATTTTAGTTTCAAAATTAATTTTTAAGGTTTTTTAAAAATATATATATATATATATAATAATGACAAGACAGAGGCTAAAAAGTGTGGTATCTCAAAAAACAAATGTATCTCTTCAAGTAATATGCAATAGAGTTATAAACTACAAAGACAAAAGTATAATTATTGTCACGAAGTAAGTATGTGATAATAACGATCATATGTTAATATAATAAATGCAAACAACAACAAAGAAATAAATTGTACAATATATCTTTAATTTTATCCAATTTGGTATGAAATCTACATTAGTAGATTCTAATAAAAGAGAGATTACTGAATACCTCTCACTAGATACTACGTATGCATGAACACAACACAACACCAACAAACTTAACTTGCAACATTAACAATTTTTTCCTCTAGCCTCCTTTACATTGCAATGGACGAAGAAATTCTTGTTACACCTAAATGGTAATAACAATAGAGTATCTGTCTAGCCGATCGGAGTAAGTATACTCACAAGTTATTCAGTTCTTCCGGTTGAACCACTTCAATTCCTATCTTCATATATACTTCCAATCACCTAAAAAGTTTGAAATTATCTTTGTTGATGTGTTTTTTCAAAAATAAAAAAGTAAAATCCGAAAATAGGAAATTATCTTCGAATTTGATATATTTAGCGTCTGAGATTAGGAATCTCTAAACACTGTACTGTACTGTACAGAAAATAAATTGGAAAATAAAACTACAGACTGGAAAATAAAGTGGTGATCCCCAAAAACAATTCTATTGAATTTGATGTCGATGGAAGATGATTGAAGATCAAAAATCCAAATCCTTAAATAGTCCTTCAAGAAAACGTATCAAAACCGTCGCCTGGTTGGTTACAGCAACCGCCCACTAATTCCTCATTTATTGACACGTGTCTTACACCGTCTCGCCAAACGCTTCCACCAGTTCCAGAACTCAACTGGCCCGACCGACCATTCCAGAAACCAACTGGTCGCTAAACCAAACGACTCCTTGGTCGCCCCATCAAGCGACTGAACTACTCAATTAGGAACCTAATTAACATACCTTCGCTTGGTCCAAACTCCGTATTGACCGACTCAACTGATGGCGGACCAACCGACTGTGAACCAACCGACTGCAAACCATCCCATCTGACTGCAGACCTTCCGACTTGTTGGTGTCCAGCCGCAAACCTCCCGACTTGCAGACCATCCGACTTGTTGGTCTGACCACAAACCTTCCGACTTACTGGTCCGACCGCAAACCTCCCAACTTGCAGACCATCCGACTTATTGATCCGACCTGCTGATTATCCGACCTGCGGACCTTCCGACCTGTGGACCGTCCACTTGTATACCGTCCGACTCGCAGACTATCCGACCTGCGGACCTTCCGACCTGCGTACCGTCCGACTCGCAGACCTGCGGACCTTCCAACCTGCGGACCTTCCGACTCGCAGACTATCCGACCTGCGGACCTTCCGACCTGCGAACCAACCGACCGTGGACCAACCAACCTGACCAACCGACCTGAGCGCATAATTTCTCATTCCGCCCGACTTCGTGTCCTAACTTCCTTTAAGATCCTGCTACCATTATTATTATTATTATTATTATTATTATTATTATTATTATTATTATTATTATTATTATTATTATTATTATTTTTTGTGCGTAACAACTTGTCTCCTCCTCAAGACTCCTAACCGTCATTTCTTATGATGTTTAGGTGTTAGCAAACCGTCATCCGAGGCCACATCAGACTCAGATCCGACCTCCATCTTTCGAGGCTACGTTGGACCCAACCTCCATTTATTGCAGACTGGTGTTGGCCTCCACGTTGGTCGATCTTGCACTACCATTTCTTCAGCGCCTCCCCCTTGACAGAAGTCGTGATCGTTTTCTCTGAAAAAATATTCTAACCTCCCTGCCTTGGATGCTAAACTAGCCAGATCTTGAACGTCGTGAGCCGTTAAAGCCTCCCGTAGTTGTGTATGCATATTTCGGACCACCAAATTGGTCATCTCACTTTCTTCAATGATTATCGGGCAACGTCCCTTTATTAATCGCATCCGCTCTATGAATTGGTAGGCGGTCTCCTCCGACATTTGCCTGATCTCCAGAAGGTCTGTGAGTGAGAATGTTGGAAGTGGATTAAAGAACCTTGCATGAAAGGCCGCTTCCAAACCTTCCCAGGTTTGTATTTGTCCAGGTGGTAGATCGACAAACCACGAAAAAACTGTTCTGGTAAGAAACAAACCAAATAGTTGCAGTTTATAAAAAGGGTTGTTACCGACCTCTCCTAACTGTGTTGTGAACCGACCCACATGCTCTATGGTGGAGGATCCTTCTTCTCCTGAGAAAATATGAAAGTCTGGCGTTCGATAATTTCTCATGAGAGGATGCTCATCGATAATCCTTTCTGGAAAAGGTCTTTGATACGCCGGTCGGTTCACCGTTTGCGGGTTCATTCCGAAATGCACCCGCAAAACTTGAGCGATATCCTCTGGATCTATCCTGGGTGGAACAGAATCTTCCCTAAAGAAGGCTAGCTCGGCTGGGATTGGATTATGAATCGGATCTCCCAATCTTTCTTCTCTGGGGACGGTTGGCTCGTCTAGGATGGGATTATGAGTATGTTCTCCCAATCTCTCTTCCCTTACGATTTTTGGCTGAGTATTATCAACTCTTGGTCCCAAAGGAATATTATCTGGGAAAGTTAAAGGAGTCTTCCCCATATCTGTTCGGTTGAAAGTTGTGACGCTTGGAAACGTACTATCAACGTACGATGGCCCTGCAAACATTGATCCTGGAAAAGTCGCCTGAAAACGAGAATGTGACAAGGCTGGAGGCATGTTTGAATGTAGGGTGAATCTGGAGAACGCTTGATCCAACATGTTCTGCATTAGATTTTGTTGTTCACGCAACATGATGTTCTGTTGCTCTCGCAACATATTCCGCATCACCGAAGTTTGCTGATTGTTCAATTGTTGAACATAAGACAACCAATCGGTAGGTGGTTGGGGAATCTCCCCTGGATTTGGCATGATTGAGGTTGTGAGCATGCCATATTGATTTTTCTGATGATTCGGCCGGACCTCAGTCGTATGAAATACTCTGTTGATGTAGAATCAGCAATCTTGCCTTTCTCCCACTATGGTCGTCAATTTGTTGATGTGTTTTTTCAACAATAAAAAAGTAAAATCCGAAAATAGGAAATTATCTTCGAATTTGATATATTTAGGGCCTGAGATTAGGAATCTCTAAATACTGTACGGTACAGAAAATAAACTGGAAAATAAAACTACAGACTGGAAAATAAAGTAGTGATCCCCAAAAGCAATTCTCTTGAATTTGATGTCGATTGAAGATGATTGAAGATCAAAAATCCAAATCCTTAAATAGTCCTTCAAGAAAACGTTTCAGAACCGTCGCCTGGTTGGTTAGAGCAACCGTCCATTAATTCCTCCTTTATTGACACGTGTCTTACACCGTCTCGCCAAACGCTTCCACCAGTTCCAGAACCCAACTGGCCCGACCGACCATTCCAGAGACCAACTGGTCGCTAGACCAAACGACTCCTTGGTTGCCCCATCAAGCGACTGAACTACTCAATTAGGCAACTAATTAACAGACCTTCGCTTGGTCCAAACTCCGTATTGACCGACTCAATCGATGGCAGACCAACCGACTGCAAACCAACCGATTGCAAACCATCCCATCCGACTGCAGACCTTCCGACTTATTGGTCCAGCCGCAAACCTCCCGACTTGCAGACCATCCGACTTGTTGGTCTGACCACAAACCTTCCGACTTACTGGTCCGACCGCAAACCTCTCAACTTGCAGACCATCCGACTTATTGATCTGACCTGCTGATTATCCGACCTGCGGATCTTCCGACCTGTGGACCGTCCACTTGTATACCGTCCGACTCGCAGACTATCCGACCTGCGGACCTTCCGACCTGCGTACCGTCCGACTCGCAGACTATCCGACCTGCGGACCTTCCGACCTGCGAACCATCCGACTCGCAGATTATCCGACCTGCGGACCTTCCGACCTGCGGACTTTCCGACCTGCGAACCAACCGACCGGACCAACCGACCGTGGACCAACCGACCTAAGCGCATAATTTTTCCTTTTTCGCCCGACTTCGTGTCCTAACTTTCTTTAAGATCCTGCTACCATTATTATTATTATTTTTTTTTTTGTGCGAAACAATCTTCAAAACATAAAAAATGAAACCATAAAGAGAGAACAAAAAATCTTTCCTCTCGCTAGAATTTACAAGCTATGGAGAACATTAAAAAAATTTTGCATAAAAATATATCTTCTAACTTCTTTCGCACATGTCAAACATAGTTGATCACACCGTAAACCCTTTTAGCCATCATTTCTGTTGGAATGAGACAAAACGAGCTCTAAGCCGGCTATACCATGCACATATATACATTACATACTTTCCTCCTAATATAATACATTTTTATATTTTTAGATTATAATTTAATAATAATATACTTCTTTCGTCCACTCACAAAATATATATATATATTTCTATATTGTATTTATCTAATCATTTATTTCATTTAGTAACCATAGAAGTCACTAATTTTACAAATATTTTTAAATTTACTAGCACATTGTTATTTTTATAATGTATACAGAGGCTCATTTTTATATTTAAGTATTTAATTAAAAGTAATTATAATTGTAATTAATTTAATTATTGAGATGGCCCACCCTCCGTAACGGAATATAATGGTCTTGCGCTTAGTTAAAGCAAAGTAGAGTTTGGCATGGCTTGGTGAATAGATCGATAGATACCCACCCTACATCTACTATATGGCACCAATGCAAATTGAATTTCCGCCAATTAATATTATTAGATTAGTGCTACAAAGAGATTAATACTATCTATCAATTCATTTCCCCGAACAAATAATAACGGTTGGACTAGGTCAACTTAACACTAGTATGATATTATCCGTTTTAGACTGAATTTGCACGATTTTGTTTTTCGATTTCCTCCAAAAGACCTCATACTAGTAGAGTTTATGCAGAACTTATAAAGTGTGGATTTTTCTTCACATTTTTCAACGTGGAACTTGGATTTGCACTCCAACAAATCTCCCCTCAAACCATGGACCAACTTATGTTTTTCTCTGCCACCTTACACCGCTTAATACAAAGAGATCCGTTGCCCGACTAATTACAATTGTAGGGATCGACCCAACGTCGCCAAGAGACTTTCGACACAAGGCACCTCTGCATGTCAACTCTAATACTAATGTAATATTGTCCCCTTTGAACTAAGCCCGCCCATATTCTTCTTATTTCCTGAACACAACACAAAAAAACACCACCACTGCAGAGCAGAGCAATTAATTATAGTGCCGGGCATGGCATGGATACTAATTGTTGGCATATCATCATCATCTGATAGATAGATAGATAGACAGACAGATGAGGATTAATACAGTAAAACATCTATTGGGAATTTGCAGGGCGGCAATGGCGCGCCGCACAAGCACTTGTTGTGTATATAGGCGGTGTAATCCAGCTCCTGCAGTCTCCCTGTGCCCCCCACCGGGATCTTCCCGCACAGCCGGTTGTAGCTCACGTTGAAGCTGATCAGATCCAGCTTCGTCAGCGACTCCGGCAGCCCTCCGCCCAGCCTGTTGTGGTCCAGCGCCAGGTTCACCAGCTTCTCCGGAAACGCCCTGATTTTCGACATGTCGAACGAAAACCGGTTCCTGGAGAAGTCCGCCGTGTTGAGGATCTTTCCCTCCTGGAAGAAGAAGGATATGTCGCCTTCCAGCATGTTCCTCGACACGTCCATAATGTAGAAGCTGGCCTTCCCGAGCGCGCTCGGAATCGGGCCCGAAAGCTCGTTGTGCGACAAGTAGAGCGCGAAATCCTCCACCTGGAACCCCCCGAACGACGCCGGGATGCTGCCGGTGAGCCTGTTCCGGTCGATCAGGAGCCCCCCGAGCTTGGGCAGGCGGCCGAGCGAGGCTGGAATGGAGCCTGTGAAGCTGTTGAAGGAGAGGCCGATGTAGGTGAGCTCCTTGAGCTGGCCCAGGAAGGGGGGAACCGGGCCCGTCAGATGGTTCCGCCTGAGATCGAGAAAGCTGAGCTTGGAGAGCTTGGTGATGGCTTCCGGGATCCGGCCGGTGAGATTGGTGTGGTGGAAGGCGAGGTTTCGGAGGTAGGGGAGATCGCCGACGGCGGCGGGGAGGGGGAGGTTGAGGTCGGCCTGTGAGAGGACGAGCTTGTCGATGCGGTTGGTGGCTTCGTCGCAGCCGACGACGAGCCAGTCGCAGCAGTCGGTTTGGGGGTCCCACGAGATGAGGTCGTAGGGGTTGTTGAGGTCTTTCTTGATTTGTAGGAGGGCTTTTTTGTCATTTGGGTTGCACCTCTCTCTGTCTCTGTCTCTGTCTCTGCCTCTGCCTCTGCCTACCACCGTAGTAACAGAGGAGGAGAGGAAGAAGAAGAAGAAAATGAACCTAAAAGACTTGCTGTTAGCCTCCATGTATGATGATGATGATGATGATGATGATGATGAATTGGGTATTTTGTAACTTGTAAACTTATATGTAAGTATATATGTATATATACTAGTGAATCACGATGTAAGAAAGGAGACACGTGGCGTTTTTGCAAAAATGGACGAGACGAGGCCCATATACTCATGATACACACACGGTAACGGTATACAATTAATTTTTAGTCTAAACTTTATTCTCTCAATTCAATTGCCACGTTTTAATTTAAGTCGGATGGACCTTGCTGAAATAACTTATCATTACATACATAGGATAGGATAGGATAGGATAGGAGTAATATACTGTGGAATATTTATTATATGATAGTATTATTATTATTATTATTATTATTATTTCAGTCCCCACCACACCGCGCACGACATTATTCTTCAGCCAAGTCAAGTGGTGTGGATATATCATCTCATCTCATCTCATCGATGGAAAGAGACCATTCGTGTATTCAACACACAACGTCGTCAAAAGATGAATTATGATAGATACCTAGATATTCATTCATTCATTCCAACTGGGACGGATTGTGCTTCAAATCAAACCATTCACATCTTCATCAAAACAAATTGTGTTGTGTGAACTAATCCTCCTACCTATTATTTCATTAATTACTACACACATACATCTGAAACGAATTAATGCAAACCATATTTTAATTAAACTGGAATTGAATTGAATTGAATTATTGATCATAAACACACCTAGATCCATGGAAATTGAAGATATTCAAATTAAGCTCTTTCAACACGGATACTTTTACGCACACTCAGGCAACGGCTCGCCGCACAAGCACTTATTGTGAAAGTACGCAGTATAGTCCAGCGACTGCAAATGCCGATTCTCGCCCACCGGAATCCGGCCACACAGCCTGTTGTAGCTCACGTTCAGATCTATGTTCTCCAGTTCAACCAATCCCTCCGGCAGCCTCCCCGTGATCCTGTTATGGTTCACGTTCAGCGTTCCCAGCCGCTTTCCCAACTCCATTTTCGACATGTCGAATTGCAGCATGTTCCTCGAGAAATCCGCGAAATTCAGGCTCTTGTTCTTCCCGAACAAGAACGATATATCACCTTCGATCCTGTTTCTCGACATGTCGATGTACGTGAAGAAATTGGCTTCTCCCCACCTCCTCGGGATCGTGCCGCTCAGCTGATTGTGCGACAGGTAGAGGTAGAAGCTCTCCGCCTGGAAATCTGCCAAGGATTTCGGGACGCCCCCTGTCAGCCCGTTACGGTCTAGGAGAAGGCCGGTGAGCTTGGGGAGCTGGGAAAGCGACGCCGGGATCGAGCCTGTCAGGTTGTTGAACGACAGGCCTATGTAATCCAGGTTCTTCAGATCCCCGAGGAAGGATGGGACGGGGCCGGTGAGATGATTCCAGGTGAGATCGAGAAATCTGAGTTTGGAAAGCCTGGAAAGGGTCTGTGGGATTGGGCCCGTGAGGTTAGTCTTGTGAAAGATGAGCTGTTCGAGGTGGGACAGGTCGCCGACAGAGAGGGGCATGGGGAGGTTCAGGTCGGCGAGGAGGACGGACAGAATGACGACGCGGTTGGTCTGCGGGTCGCATTCGATGATGTTCCATTGGCAGCAGTCGACGCTGGGGTCCCATGAGATGAAGTTTCTGGGACTGTTGAGGTCTTTCTTGATTCGCAGGAGGGCTTTTTTGTCGTCCGGGTGGCATCTTTCGGACAGCCCCTCTGAGGAAGAAAAGAGGAGGAGGAGGAGGAGGAGCTTCAAGAAATGGCCGGCGGTGGCTGTAGTTGAATCCATGGTCGTCAATTCATCAAATGGGTGGGAATGGGGAATGGAATGGGTGTAAGCTATCTATTTATATACGACTATTAGATACTTTGTACCATCCCATGATTCCCATGGCCGTGGTGGCTACAAGCCTACTACAACTTGACGGAATCCTGTGGGCAAGTAAAGTATACCGCCATTGAATTACAGGCAAATTCAGAATTACAGTACAGTGCGAATTCATGTTGACCAGATCGGACCTATTCTATTCTCTAGTATTTTTATTACTTATTCTTGTCGTCGATCGAAAAATGGAAACGAATTGATTCTGGCGACAGGGACACAGACAAGGGGGTGTGCCCTGGGCAGGGTCAAACCAGGCCCTTCTTCCATGTCCACACTCTCAATCTTCCACTCAAAGCACTGAATCAGGGCCGCCAGCGCCGCCTGCACAACCTGCAATGCCAATGAAGTTCCAGGGCAGCCTCTTCTCCCACTCCCAAATGGCAACATATGGAAGTACTGTCCCCTTACATCTATCTCATTCTCCACAAACCTCTCCGGTCTGAATTCCAGGGCATTCTCCCAGTGCCTGGAATCCCTGCCGATGGCCCATATATTCACAAACAGCCGTGTCCTTGCCGGGATTTTGTATCCTCCCACACTGCACTCTTTGCTCGATTCCCTCACGATCATCGGCCCTGTCGGGTGAAGCCTCAGTGTTTCTTTCACAATAGCCTGAAGGTATGGCAGATTCGGGATGTCCGATTCTTCCACCAGCCTATCGCCCCCCACGACAGATTCGATCTCCTCAACTGCCTTCTGCAAGATGTGGGGATGGTTTATCAGCTCTGCTAGTGCCCACTCGATTGTCAGGGCCGATGTGTCGCTCCCAGCAGCAAATAAGTCCTGAATCACTCAGACATGTTTAATCTTATTGCATCACACAATTGCCTCAAAAATTGTACACATGAAATTTACCAGGATGAATGCTTTGATGTTCTCTCTTGTCAGGCTCATCTCTGAGGTTCCATCTTCAGCAATCTCGAGCAAAATGTCAAGCAAATCCTTCACACCCGACCCCTGCTTCCGGTCATTCAAGTGTTCATCAATGATCTTCTCCATCATTCTGTCGAACCTGTCTCGAACCTCCTTCAGCCGTTTCGCAAACCCCTGCAAGTCCAAATTCTTGCAGAACCATATGTAGTCAGATAAGTTAAACTTCCCCGTCAACTCCGCGACATCGTGCACCAGTTTCCTAACCTCGCCAGCCTCGTTTTCATCCTCGGAGCACCTCTGACTCATGATCATTCTCGATATCATGTTGTTCGCCATTCTCATCAGCTCACAACTGATATCAACTGACTTTCCAGCACTCGCGCTTTTCGCCAACATCTCAATCAGATGCCTAATTTCATGCCGCCTGACTGGCTGCAGTAGGTCCAGAGTCTGACCGCCGAGAAGCTGAGATACACATAGTTTCTTCATGAACTTCCAGTAAGGTCCGTACGGCGCGAACGAGAAGTCCTGAGAGCCGTAAGTAAGGTAGTCAGTGGCGAATGTCTGAGGTCGATCTGAGAAGGTACCCTCATGTGTTCTAAGAAATTCTTTGGCAATCTCCGGTGATGAGGCGACAAGGCAAGGTACGTTGCCGAGGTATATATGCATTAACGGGCCGTGTCGCAATGACAGCTTTGCTAGAGCTTGGTGGGGTATTGGAGCAAGAAGATGGAGATGTCCGATGACAGGCAAGGGAAGAGGGCTTGGAGGCCGGCGTGCAGAAGGTCGCAGCAGCTTAAGGCAAGCTCTGGTTAGAATCATGGAAATTAACCACAAGACAGCATAAGCCGAGTACTCCCGAAATTCAGCCATGGATGATCAGATTGCAAATAATGAGGGGAAGAAGAAGAAGCAAGAGTGTCGTATGAATTTATAGAACCTTTGGGAGATGAAGAAATTACAGAGGTGTGACTTGTTCCAAACAATGTAATGAATGAAGAAAAACATGACCAAGTCTTGATCGACACACAAGAATAAATTAATAGAGTAGTACTTATACAAAACGGTGTATATGCACGAGGTTGTGATTGGTTTTTAGGGAAGATAGAAATCTGCATCCTGCCATGCCAATTGAAAATGTATATTTGTATCATAGAGGAATGGAATGGATGAATGAATTGTTCAAGATTTCTTTCTTTCTTTCTTTCTTTCTTTCTCTGTGTCTGTATTTATGTTGGAGCTTTTGATGAAATGCCGGCCTGCCTGCCGGGGTGACCTTTCCAAGAATACGACAGGAAACATCCATACATCCATCCATCATAGTATTTTGTAGTTTTAGCATTTGTTTTTCTCATATTGTCCTTACAGTAGTGGTTAAATAAAGTAGTAAATGGCTCAACTATATATATATATAATATTGTTTCTGTGATTCTTTATCACATCTATTTCATTTTCCTGAAATATGTTTCAAGGTCAGAAATAAGCTCTCACTTTGGCTGTAAGCTCAACTGTTTTTTATTCAAGGTCAGAAATAATGGAAGTCAATACATCAGTACTCATGACTCAGGCAGGCTCAAGCCCAACAGTTTTTTATTCAAAATCGACCACAGCCACAGCCTACTGCTCAATGTAACTTCACTGTTACTCATGCGCTCTTCCTCCACTATTGCTTGAGTGCGTTTCCTTTTGGATTTAAATGTTTAAATAATATTAGAGACAAATACGTATTTTGTAATTTGAAGTTTTTAATAGTAAAAGTTTTGGTATAAAATAAATAACACCCAAAGCTTGTTACTATTTGGAAGCTATGTACTTATGTATATTATTACTCTTGTGCTAAGGCCCCTTGTTTCAAACATAAATAAATGCATAACTTTCTTCATTTCTAAGTGGAAAAAGGATCTTTTTGACTTTATTATATCAACATCTTTTTATTAATTTTCCTTATTAAAATCTTGTTATTTTGTGCACCACTTGCGAGTATAAATATATTTTTTGTTTCATAGACAGACAAACACAAGATTATTTATAAGTTTAGGCAAAACATCATTAAGATTACAAATAATTGTTTTTATCTCAAGATACAACAACAATTACACATGACATGACATGATTAGTGAGTGAGTTAGTTAGTATAATATGAATACGGCGGATTCTGTGGTAGCATAGAAAATGACGGGTGGGTCGTCGCCTACAAGTCGGGTCCCCACCCCACCCGATCCGTTAAGCAAGCAGTACTTTCCAGTTTCCTCTCCCCACCAAAAAAGTTGCCTCATCATTAATAAATTTGTGCTGCATTTCAATCGAAAATAAAATGTTGATTTTAAACGCAATTATTGGTTAAGAGACTGTCATTCAAACACGCAATTTAAAAATAAAAATAAAAGCCCCGGTCATCCTGACAACATTATCAAAAAAAGATTAGAAACGTGTATTGAATTGGGCATCATCTCTATACCTAAAACTTGACTAAAATCCAACATTTTTGACGAGGTTAGGCTTGGTTGAGTAGAAATGGCAATGAATCAGTGGAATGGGACTAAGTATTTTTTTTTAATTCAAAACAACAAGGAATTGCATGTTGCAATATATTGGTATCAAGTCGCATCTCATCTCATCTCATCTCATCTCAATTAATAGAGAGGAGGGTTAGGGTTAGGGTTAGGGTTAGGGTATAGGGCATACGATAGATAGATAGGATGGTTTGCATGTTAATTGTTGCTATTATTATTATTATTATTATTATTATTATTATTATTATTATTCAGATAATGGAGTAGGGCTGTTGAACTCGAGCACGAAGATTAATTAAATTGCCTACAAATACCAATTTATATATATAGGCATTGTTATTATTGTTGTAACTGTACATAAAAGCAGGAATTGCACAGTAGGGGTGGAGGTGGAGGTGGAGGTGGAGGGTAGGAGAGTAGGGACCGAAGCTGCTGCTGAGGAGGCAGCTTTTGGCAGCACAGTTTGGGGTTTCTGATCTGATGATATATATAAACTCAAACTGATAAGCGGAGGCGGCCAACTCCCATTTTCATACCCGCGCACTCTCTTTCTTCTCTTCTCTTCTGTTGGCAGAGGGATACATTTTGACCACCATTAATGTTGAAGCTTGCGCGCTCGCTACGGCTCTCATATAGGAAGAAAAGGAAGGAAGGGGACGACACTCATTCTGCCCAAATTTTATTGTTTTTAAGAGATTTTCAATTCAATTACCTGTTGATGTGAGATCATGAGTTGGTCTCAGCGTCCTGCTCCGGCTTTGTTTGGAGTATTCATTCTAGAGGATTTGTGGTCGATTGGGTATTGAAATTGGCTGGAGATTGGTATTTGTCTGCGTTTTTCGTTGTGTTCTGGGTTCTGATTTCTGAATCCTGGAAGATTGCTTGTCGGATGCTGGTGAAATAGTGGGTAATTGTTCTGGACTTGGTTCTAGGTTCTCGGAGTTTGGAGTGATTCCGCAGCTTTTGTTTGGTTCGGAGTTTCGTTCTTCGCATACTTGCGAAAAGCTGCACTGACTTTGGCCAGAGAGATTCGTGGTGGCCGGACGGAGGTCTGTTCATATTAGCGATTTTCGGAATCTGGAATTCAGTGCTCGCATTTGAGCTAGAGATTGTTCGCGTTATGGAATCCAGAGCTGAAGCAACCCAACCGCAATTTAGATCCGGAGAAATGGGGTTCGAGTTCGACGAAATTAACGGTCTATTCTCTGGTCCGCCAGAAGCCGGAGGCAGCTCATTCACGGCTCTCCTCGAACTCCCGTCTCCTCAAGCGGTGGAGCTCTTAGTCAAGGAAGATTTTCCGGTGAAGCATCCTCCCCCTCCTATTTTCCCTTCGGATTTTGGTCTCATTGACCGTGCCTCCAAGTTCTCTGTCTTCGCTTCAGCTGGTAACCCCCATGAGAGCAATGCGAATTCGATTTATAGCCTGCTGAAGCTTGAATCCGTGAAACAGGAGCCGTTGGGCTCCGACTCCCATCCGAATTCTTCTTCACCGGCGGTTTCTAATCAGAGTTTAAAGTCCGGCAAACGAAAGGACAGGGAGAAAAGGGTAATTTAAAACAACTGAAAACTTGTAAAATCCAGCAATAATAATCATATTAACAGATCGTTCATTTGTTCTTGTTCAGGTCAAAGAATCGAGCAAAAAGAGCAAAAACGTGGTGGGCAATGAAGCTTTGGAAGACGATGGCGAGAAGCTCCCATACGTTCATGTCAGAGCTCGCCGCGGCCAAGCCACTGACAGCCATAGCTTAGCTGAAAGGGTGATTATTATCATATCATATTATATCATCCCATTTCGATATAGCTTCATAGCCCATATGGATCTCTCTCCAATAATCTCATTTTTAACATTCACTAACAGTAGCCTTAATTAAATTGTGACTCAATTATTATGCAGGCAAGGAGAGAGAAGATAAATGCCAGAATGAAGCTATTACAAGAGCTGGTCCCAGGATGCGACAAGGTCAGCTGTCAAACGCTGTCGTTTCTTCATTATTACTAATCTGTACGGGTTAATTATTACTATTATTATTATTAATATGGTGGCTTATTTTAAATACACCTAGTGGGTTGATTAGATTTTGGATTATGTGAGGGGGAAGATTTTTTTGGGGGGTGTTTTGATTATGACTTCTCTTTTTTCCTTGTGATGATTGATTTGATTATACTTTTTTGTTGTCGTTAGGTTTATAATCAAGTTAATAATTATGAGTTTACATGTTTAGTACAAAGGTCGCTGTTAACTTTTTTTAATTGGGAAAAGCAAGAAAAAGCTGATTAGTTTTGCACCAAGAAAAGTGGCGGGCCGCTATTGAAGTGTCACCCTCTAATTCTTGCATTGTGTTTTCAGCTTTTGGGCCTTTACCTTCGGTTCGTTATCAGTCCTTTCGATGGCCATTGCTGTCGTTTGCTTGCTGTATCACAGTATCTCCCCTTCTTTTTCCAATCACTAATTAATGATATTTTTGACATATTTTTGGCTTGCATTATGATTTTTAGCTCCCACTTAGGAAGATATGTTTTTATTATTATTTCAAAGATTCAGGGTAAACTGTTAGTTAACAAGTTTGGTTGGAGATGAGTCTTATTTTTAAACTACAATCTCTTTAGAAATTTTCTGACAGGTTATTCTTTTCTCTCAAACCTGACATCCGCACATAAAATTTCTTCCTATTTCTTTTTCAAATCCCTCTAACTTTCTGTGATGAACAACATGATTTTTTATTTCAATTTTTCAAAAATATAATATCTGCACAATGACACTAACGGATTATGTTTGCTTGTGGTATAAATTGGAATGATAAACTCTTCCATTGACCAATTACAAAGTTTTGGTAACATATTGATAGGGAATTAACAGTACAATGATAACAATGGAGACGAGAATAATAAGAGGTGAAATGGGTTCACCCCATAGATTATCAATAATGACCTAGATCAGTGGAAAAAGGTCTAGTGATGCAATTGCTGTCAGGTTTCAATTGCAGAATTATGGTGTTGGTCAGAAAATTGCATTATATGGTCCTTACTGCATTGTACATTATTTGCAAGGTACTGCTTCCACAATTATTGGTATATAATTGCTTCCAAGTCTGGTCCCTTTTTGATGCATTAAGTCTTTCGAACCCTTACCATTTTTTTTAATATATTATGCTTCAAGGTGCATGTTTTGTCTGGCTGAGTTGCTGCATATAGCGACTAGTTGGTGGAAGCAGAGGCTAATCTAATTCTTACAGTGGAAACTTATATTTCTAAGCTAGCTTCCTTGTGTGTTCTTATATTAACCATATCCAGAAGTCTCAGTTGTATTTGGATGCTCTTTCAAGGCTCCCTTCATCCTCTTTCAACTTGTTGCATTCTGGACCACAAACCATTTTCGTCTATTTTTCCGCATTAATAATTGGTTTTATATGTCATTGGTGCTGCATTTATATTGTTGTAAGGATATTGGAAACAAAAGAGATATATGGCCTGAAGTTGGCATGTATAAGATTTTTCTTAACTATTAATGCTATGCAGAGGGTCCCAACAGCACCATTCACCACTAGGACTATTTTTCTGCCTGGTGAATCAGTAAATGACTATAATTCCAAGTAAAATAACTTATTTTGTTCTCTTCAGATTTCAGGCACTGCAATGGTGTTGGATGAAATAATTAATCATGTACAAGCACTTCAGCGCCAAGTGGAGGTCAGACTCACTATACTGTTGCCTCTCAGTAATGTTGGATTGAAATTTTGGTCTTAGATATAGCTCAAACTTTGCGGAGTTTGAAATGGGAAAGAGAAAATGAAATTTACTCTTCTTGGGGAATACTTTGAAAATTTTCATTCATGATTGCCTTGGCTGATTTGAGGTGTTTCCTTGACTCCAGTTTTTATCCATGAGACTTGCTGCTGTTGACCCAAGAGTCGATTTCAACCTTGATGCCCTAATGGCGACAGAAGTAAGTATTGTTGAACTTGAAATTTCTGTATATTCCCCCTGATCAAAGTAGTTATGAGTCAAAGTAGCCTCAAATTAATCTTCAGAGTGAATGCGTGCACTGACATTCTATTTGGTCTCTCCATTTTAATGTTGCTCTAGGGTGGATCGTCATTTGACAATGGCTACACGGGCATATTCCCTCCTCCCATGTATCCTGATGGACAAGCCAGCTCTACCAGACTGCTACAGTATCCACAGCAGTGGCATTGTCACGAGCTGCATCAGCTGGGCTGGCCAACCAGAGAAGACGACAGCTCTAATTTCATTAATCCTGAGAACTCACTTTTAAGCTACGGCTCCTCTGGAAATTCAGGTGTGGACTCCAAATCAATTCAATCCACTTATCATATTGTCTTGTATTCTCCACTTTCTTGTGCTTCAGCCTGCATGCTTGTAAGAGTAAGAAATTCAACGCCCACACTTTGCTTTGGCACAGCTTCTATGCACTCAAATCAGGTGAAAATGGAGCTCTGAAAGAGTGCCCATGGCGAGACCGGGCGTAGTCAAGGTAACTAGGATTTTGTAAATATATATATTTATATATATCCGGAACAATGTTGTCATCAGTAACAAAGAATTGGCAAATAGAGCTAGCTGGATGGATGATCTCATCAATTATGCTGGACTGCAGACTGCAGTTTGCTGGCAATCCTATTTTAAATTTTAATTTACCTTACCTTACCTTACCTAGTAGGATGATGATGACGATGTCTATTTTGTTATATTATAGTTAGATAAATTGATAGCGAGAGAGAGAGAGAGAGAGAGAGGATGGTTAATTGATTTCCATACTCATTAGAGGGGGGGTGGGGCAATGGTGATTCATTGTAAACCAAGGTCATTTATAAAAAAGAAAATATCACCCCCTGATTGCTCTCTTCTCTTCTCTTCACTTCTCTAATTTATTTTAACATGGCATCCCTAAAGTCCTGAACCAAAGGTATGAATCCATCTTTATGTTTACACGTTGTATGCATCATATAATCAAATATAAAAATAAAAAACTTGCAATGTATTGTTCATCAAGAAGTGATCTCCCAATCCAATGAATAGATGATGTTTCTGAAGAGATTTTTATTACTTTTTTATTGAAATAAAAAAAAAAAGAAAAAAAGAGAAGGGGAGGATGGATCTAGCGGAATCTTTTTTCTTTCTTCCTTTCTTTTTTAAAGCAATGGAGGGGTGGGGGCACAAATGCCATTTCACCATATTCCATCTCCCTGTCTTCCTCCCTCCCGCTTGTGCAGTACAGATCGCCGCCGCCTTTTAAACCTCTGATGTCCGCCCCGAGCAATCTTGTTCGTAGTCGCCTCACCGCATCCCTTCGCGGTCGCAGAGGCGGTGGGAATCCTTGGGCCGGCAGACGTCGTCGCTCCAAAGACTTGGCCTTTAACCCTCCGCCTCCGCCGCCGCCGCCTCCTGAACGAGAGTATGAGAAGTGGGAGGACTGGGAGCTGCCGTGCTACCTAACAAGCTTCGTTGCTGTTGTAATCCTTGGGGTAGGGTTTTCTAATAAGCGACGTGAGTGAGGACGACGACGCCAGGAATCAATCACGATTGATAGACCCTTCCCTTGTTCCTTAAACAGAAATCGGCAGCGGTTCGTTTATGCGGAGATTGTTACTGTTGGGGTACGATGTCTCTGGTCTTTTGCACTGATGATTAGCAGCAGCATGACATCACGCAGGCAGGCCTTCTTTTCGAATTCGAATCACACACACACACACTGTCGTCATAACTCCTTCCTTCCAAATAAATTTAATTAATAATGATAATAATCCACTGACTTGTCTACTATAAACAATTATTGTTGTTCTTGGTTGATGATGGATGTCATTGGCTGCCATGATTATGATTGCTGTATCTATCTATCTATCTGCATATGTTTGTTGGAGTAGGAGGGGAGGGGAGGGGAGGGAAGGAAGAGGATTAGATGAAGATGCTGCTTGGCTGATTATTCTACAGGTACTTGGTATTGATACTACAATGTCACTGTAATGAGAAGTAGTTACAGACAGACAAACCCAAGCTTAAGCTTGTGATGCATTGCATTGGATTGCTGGAGAGTTCCTAGTTCCTACTCTAGTGTGCTTGGTGATTCCCAAACACCTTAGGTGCAGCCTCGGACACCTTGGAATTGGGTCGGGGACACACAACTACACTAGGATTGTTGGGTGGCTGCTACTAGGAACGTTAGGTGACTAGTCTGGTCTCGTCTAGTCTCCAAGTTAATTAGAATGCACTGCAGTTTTGAAGAGGAGGAGGATGTCATGTAACTTTATCTTGATTGTTGTTGAAATAGGAGGGAACTATCTATCTATCTATCTATCTGTGTCTGTCTGTCCCTTCGCTCCCGAAATTAATTACTATAAAGTTGTGTTAATAAGTATAATGGATGGACTCCATAAGAATCGTCTGAAATGGATGCAACTGCTTCTCCGCCACTTGCGATAATTGAGGGAGGAGCCACCGCCACGCCACATTCATCCCCCCACCACCCTTTCTCCTCCCTAAATATCTATGCATGTCTACGTATGTGATCATTATTATAGCTGTACCTTCGCATGTACGCTCGCTCACAGCAACCTACTCATTTCTGCAGCAGCCTTTAAGGTTGACGGTTTCGTTGCTTTCTCCTCTCTCCCCCTTCAAACTTCTCTGCTCCGCGCAAAAGCTTTGTTATCGCTTTCAATGCTTTTGATGCACGCTTTATGCGAGCGACTTTCGTGCTTGCATTTTGTCGTTTTGGATATGTTCGCTAGCTGTACATGAACATGGTGATTCCATCTGTGTTTTTTTAGCCGTGGCATTTATCGTTGGTGCTACTTATTAGTCTATCGTTTCTGAATTTTAAAATTGAGTGAAGAGGCATTATTATGTTGAATATTATCTTTTGTGGCGGTTAAAAGTTGAATCTGGAAATCGCGGAGTAGAAAGTGGCAGTTACGATCTCCATTTCTGTAACCGTCGTCTTTCGTCGCTCATTTTCTGCCTGAATTGACCAAGTATATTCTCTTGTTTATACTTGCAAGTTGGACTCCAGTACATTTCTGGTGAAGAAATCCAAGTTGGAAGAACATGTTTCTTATTTGTGTGTGGCACATTTGTTGAACTGAATTCCGCAAGCACAATTTCAGGCTTTAATGTTTTCATTAGATATTCTGCTTCCTTTTCCTAGTTCCTTGTGGCTAATGAGAACTACAGCTGTTGTCTTTTTCTTCCTCGTGTCGTTTTTTTAATAGCATTTAATTTGCTATATTTTTTGTCCTTTCATTTGCCTTTTTCCCATTGCTTACAATCTGGTTAGGCTGTAGATCTGATCTAGTTATTCTTCGGTAATCAACTTTACAAGATCTGACCTGGTTTTTCTTCCTTTTTGGTCACTTGAATTGAAGCGTTGTATGTAGAGAATCTGCCAAATAGTGTTCTTTTCTGCAATAGTAAAGAACCATTCTTTTATAATTAGATAAATATTCGTTTCTTGAAATAATATTGAAAATATATGGACGATGACAAATTATCTACTTCTGCTGAAGTGGATTGATTGTTCTTGCTACCTAAAATGCTTATTAATGATATTTGGTTGGTATTTGATAGTGAACGGGAAGGAAGATAACTCAGAATGAAAGAGAGTGAGAGAAGGGGTTCAACTCCAAACAGCAAAGGAAAAAGTCATTCTTCTCGGCCCGGTCGTAAGCAGCAAAAGAAGAGCGGTGCCAAAAACTTGAAAGCAAGAGAGACTGATGCCAGACCTTCTGAGAAATCGAACTCCAATACATCCCTATGTGATTTAAAAAATGGTGTGGAGCCCTTGGAAGCTCTTGAAAATGTGGTCCTAGATCATGTTGATGCACTGGCTAATAGTTCCAGTGGCATAGAGTTGGACAATGAAACGGACACGAAGATCAGTAACAATTCAGTTGCCTGTCAAGGGAACATACAAGCTGATGAAGAGAAAATGGAAAGTGTTTCCATGGGTTTCAAAAGGATAGCTGAAAATACTTCCTCAGATGGATATTCTGATACACCTAGATCAAAACCTGATAGGAAAGAAAATAAACCAGAGATCAATGCATCGAGAAATACACCAAAGAATGGGGCTAAACCTGTAAAGGGGATATCAAATTCGATTCACGGTAGTTCATCTGATAATTTGAAAAACATGAAAGTCCATCCAAAACCACTATCAGATTCCTTGGAAGGACCTGAGGACCGTTCACTTGAACTGGACAGTGGAGTAGACACCCTCAAAGCGGCTTCTAATGGCGCCAATGGAGTGAACAGTCAAGATGAAGCAGTTAGTACTCACGAATATGACAAGAGTATAGATCAGGCTGCAGTAGATGAAAAGGTGGAGGAATTGGAAAACAGGATAAAAGTTCTTGAGAGTGAATTAAGAGAAGTCGCTGCTCTTGAAATTGCACTATATTCTGTGGTACCTGACCACAGTTGCACTTCACATAAGGTGCATACACCTGCAAGGCGCCTTTCCAGACTCTATATTTATGCTTGCAAATATTGGACCCAAGATAAGCGAGCGTCTGTTGCTAGAAATACTGTATCTGGGCTTGTTTTAGTTTCTAAGTCCTGCGGTAATGATGTTTCCAGGTTTGATCTTAACCTCTTTAAGCATGTAGGTGTATCACATCATATCGTTGAAAACAACTGATGAGTATTCTTTATTTGCTTTAATCAGGTTAAGTTTTTGGTTGTCAAACACTGTTGTTCTGAGGGAAGTTATATCTCTAGCATTTGGGATATCCTCTCAGTCTAGCACTATAGAAAAAGCATTTGAATCCAATGGAGATGAAATGAAAACTTCGCTTAAATGGAAGGATAGTAATGGGAGCAGACAACTGAATAAACAGGGTTTATTAATGTTTGCTGAGGACTGGCAAGAAACAAGAACCTTCACTACTGCATTGGAGAAAATTGAGTCTTGGATATTCTCGCGGATAGTTGAATCCATATGGTGGCAGGTGATTACTTTATGACTTACATACTGTTTGGTCTATAAGATCTTCAGCTAAATGACAAACTATGCATTGTGGTTTCATTTCAATGTTGCTCGAACACTTTGAAATTATGTGCAGACACATTTAATCTAAGCCACAAGACATTATGAGTTCATATGGTTTGATGTTTCATTTAAGTTTTTATACTGAGCTAGTCCATTTTTCATTTAGACTCTAGCCCCTAATATGCAATCACATATTGGGGGTTCCACCAAAAATCAAGATTCTGAACTTAACCACCAGAACCAAGTGGTCTTTTCCATTAGGCTTTGGGAGAATGCCTTTCAAGATGCTCTCAAAAGACTTTGTCCAGTTAGAGCTCAGGGGCATGATTGTGGTTGTTTGCCTGCTTTGGCAAGGAAGGTTTGTAACCATTTTACTATTATTCTTTTCTTCAAGCTTGTCACCCATTTGTTGTGTTTTTTTGTGAAGTGTGGGGTTTTACCCCTTCACTTTGTCTGTATGGCTATGGAAGCCTTGATTTATCATTGTGATATGTATATATTAGGTGATGGAACAATGTATTAGCAGGCTGGATGTGGCCATGTTCAATGCTATTCTTCGTGAATCAGTCCATGAGATCCCTACTGATCCTGTGTCTGATCCTATTGTGAACTCCAAGGTTTTGCCAATACCTGCTGGAGATTTGAGTTTTGGATCTGGTGCTCAGCTAAAAAATTCTGTAAGCAATGTTTCCTCCAATAAACTAACACTCGTAATGCCTTTATGCGTTCAGTAGTTTAACAATATTTTACTGTATTTTAAGTATTACTAATTGGATTTCTATCATAAATTTTTCCCTCGTGAAATTCTACAAAGATCCACCTAGTCACCTTTGCTAGTTTCCATCAATTTTATCAGAGAAAGTGCTGCTGTTTCTATTTTAGAATGGCCAAAATTTCTTATGTGGATTCACACACCCCTATGATTTCTTAAGAATAGCAATGATTATTTGTTACTGTAGTGATGCTGACTGTGCTCTCAGGTTGGAAATTGGACAAGATGGCTGTCTGAATATTTTGGCATGGATGTTCACAATGAAAATAATATCCAGGATGGGGAAGACAAGAGGGACACTAAGGAACCACCAAAACGTTTCCCGCTTCTAAATGCCTTGAGTGATCTTCTGATGCTTCCAAAGGATATGCTCATGGACAGTGCGATACGAATGGAGGTCTGGCAAATGAAATTTTGTTGGTTGTTAATACTTTGTTGTTGTTGCATACAGAATATTAATCTGACGACTTCGATTGCAGGTGTGTCCAACAATTAGTCTTCCATTGGTTAGGCGAGTACTTTGCAACTTCTCTCCTGATGAGTTCTGCCCTGATTCAGTTCCAGGTGCTGTTTTAGAGGCAATAAATGCCGAGGTATGCTTGTTTCTTTGACCTGACACCAGAATTTAAAGTATTATGCGACCTATCAAAAGTTATGATCTAATAGCTTCTTGTTTTCATTGTTAAAATTTCCGCTGTGTTGATTTTTCCTTGCACACGGAAGTAATATTCATGGAGAGTCTACATTATATTTTTGTAAATATCTCAATCTGATGGCCATATTTGGACAGCTTGAGTACTGGTATAGAACTCTTGACAATGTTCAGAAGCCAATCCAGATATCAGTGTCAAGTGTATAGCCAGCAGGCTGGCACATGGTGTATTATCTGTCTGTGTCACATGTTGTGGAATGTTGCTTAAAATGTTTCAACTTTGCACTCTATGACTCGAATTTCATCCATGCTCTGATTTCACAGTGCCTCGCATCCAATAGCAGCAGCAGTTTCCCTTACTCAGCGGCTCCGATAGTGTACACAGCTCCTTCCTCGCTGGATAATTCAGAGGAAGTTGGAGAGGGTGAGGCAGTAAGGTTTGAGTCGTCGGAGGCCAGCGATGAAGAGGTGGAGTCTTGTCTGGGTGGCATTATTCTCCACAGATTGCCCTCGTCTCCTCCTACTACTGTGGCCAGGTCTGGCAAGCCACCACTGGATGAATATTAGTTATTCTGTTATATCATTGCCTGATTATTGATGATGCTATGAGATTCAAAGGAACAATGGACTGGAACGAATACAACCATCTTTTTCCTTTTATTGAATTTCTCAGTTCAGCATTTATCTTTCGTTATTGGATGGGAGGGGTGGTGGTAGTTAGTGTTGTTTGTTTGTTGTGTTGAGGACTCCAAACAAAGGAAGCAAGGCCATACATATATAGATAGATAGATAGATAGATATATAACAAACGATAAATAATAATAATAATAATAATAATAATAATAATCCACCGCAGCAGGCAGGACAAAGATAACTAACTAACCAACCAACATCCATCCATCCCCAACTCATATCTGAAAATTAGGGGATGCTATCATCCCTAATTTGGAGAGAGAGGGAGAGGGAGAGCGAGAGACTCGAGGGCCTTAACAACCTGGGGCATGGATGGCCTCTTTTCCGGCATCACCGAAGTGCAGTGCAGCCCGATTTGTAGAGCTTCCAGGATCTGCTGCTGCTGCGTGGACGAGGACCCCAAGATCTTGGGATCAACCACCTTCATGGGCCCGTCAGTGATGTTGACCTTCCTTCTCACCCACTTGACCACATCGACCCCGCAAGGCTCCCACGGTTTCTGTGCCTCTGCCTGCCTCCCCGTCAGCAGCTCCAGCAGCACCACGCCGAAGCTGTACGTGTCCATCTGCTCCGTCGCCCTCTTCGTGTGCCCGTACTCTGCACACTCCACTCCACAAACACGATCAAGAAGAAGCCCAAAAACAGACTGACACACTGCTATCTGAGTAATGTAATGCAATATTGCCATGTAATGAACATTGAACGCCTTACCGGGTGCCACATAGCAAGATGACGCTGCTGCTGGTTCTGATGCTGCTACCATCCACTGAAATGCATTCTCCCCTACGATCCGATCCAGTCCAAAATCAGCCAACTTCGGCTGGAAATCGTCATCAAGAAGCACGTTGCTCGATTTGAGGTTCCTGTTCAACACACGCGGGAGGTAATCCCTGTGGAGATACGCCAGCCCCTGAGCTATGCCAATTGCAATCCCAAGTCTCACGCTCCATGGCAGATCAAAATCCTGCTTCCCAAGCATATCTCCCAGACTTCCCTTGGGCATATATTCCGATATCAGAAATATTGTGTCAGCAGAATAACAGAACCCCAGGATCTTCACAATGTTCTTGTGCCTGATCTTTGCCAGGGTCTTCATCTCATTCTTCAGGGATTTTGAAGACTGCGAAGCAAAATTTACTATCTTCTTCACTGCAATAAGCTCCCCACTCCGCGGTAACTTAACCACATAAACTCTCCCAAAAGTCCCTCCAGGCCCCACAGAAAAAGCCTTCTCATCCATCGATATAATCAAATCATGTTCAGTGATCCTAAGAGGATAAAAGAACAGTGCTCTCCATATGCCCGTCTCAGCTTTTCGCTTATGGCATCGAATCAGGTAAAATCCATAAGCAGAAACCATGAGTGCCAAAGCTACAGCTACAAATACTAAAGCACACGTCAATATAGCAAAACCAGATGGTTTGCCTGTAGACGACTTATCATCATCATCACTCAGGCAAGGTTTTGGCAACCCTGGACCACATAATCCTGGATTACCCTGCAAGTATGAAGCCGGGAGGCCTGAAATCAGCGACATCGGAACCCTGCCAGACAGCTGGTTGAACGATACATTGAAGAGAGCAAGCTTAAGGTTTTCCAGGCCTGGTGGAATCAAACCGGTGAGATTATTCTCAGAAAGATCAAGGTATGTCAATACAGGAAGCTCAGCCAGGCATTCAGGGATTCCCCCGATAAAACTGTTGCCTGCCAGAGACAATGAAACCAGTTTTCTGCATTTTCTCACCTCAGGAATCCTGCCTGAGAAATGATTGTGCGCAAGGCTGACAATACTCATCACAGGTGAATCACAGAAGCTCGGAGGAAGCTCGCCGAACAAACCGTTCATCGAAGCCGAAAACCTGTACAAACTTCTCACTTTCCCAACTCCAGGAGGCAATCTACTGACAAAACTGTTGTTATCAATCTGAACATGCTCTAGTTGAGCAGCTTCTGATATGGAATCAGGTATTTCGCCACTAAACCTGTTGTTCTCAGCCCTGATGAGTTTGATTTTAGGCAATGACCATAGCAAAGAAGGAAAGTCCCCTCCAAACCCATTGTTCTGAACTTGAAAGCTCTCGAGATTTAGGCATTCATTTATACTGTAATTGGAGATTGACCCTGTGAAATAGTTAGTGTGCAGGCTCAAGGTTGTAATTCCTTTAGCCCCACAAAGCCTCTTAGGAAATGTCCCAGCAAGCCTGTTTTGTGAAACGTCGAAGGACACTATGTTTGGGAGAAACAGATCAATCTGAGGCAGAGTACCTGTAAGATTATTCTGGGAAAGGTCTAAAACTGTCAAACTCCTCAACCCCTTGAAGATATTAGGGATTTCTCCATAAAAGCCTGAGCCTTGCAACACCAAGTGTTTGAGTTTACTTAGCCCACCAATATCAGCAGGAATCTCACTAACCAAGAACGGATTTTGAGACACATCAAGAACCACAAGCTCAGTGAAGTTCCCAAAAGTATTCTGGGGAAGATTTCCTGTGAGCAAGTTGCTGCCGAAGTTAAGAACTTGAAGCTGCTGCAGCGAGCCTATGCTTTCGGGTACCCTCCCCTCAATACGGTTCCCGCTGAAATCAATAACTTTTACTGACTTAAACTGAGAAATTTGTTCTGGGATTGAGCCCCAAATGAGATTGTTGCTGAGATTTAAAGCCTCCAGAGAAGTACATTGAGAGAGATGAAGTGGTATGGGCTGGTTGAAGTGATTGTCAGCGAGGTTGAGGGTAGCAAGATTGGGCAGTTCACATATGGAAGCTGAGATTGCACCAGAGAGATTCAAGCTTTGAAGGGAGAGCGCAGAAACAAGAAATGGTTGTGAGCTTGTGCAAGAAACCCCAGTCCAGTTGCAGTGGTGAATGGCTGTGGTGTTCGACCAGCTAGAGAGGGCATTCATGGGGTCTTTGATGGAGGCCTTGAATTGGAGCAATATTTTTGATTCTGATTCTGAATAAGCAGTAGGGTTAAGTTGAAACAATGTAAACATCAACGAGAGTAAGAGTTTATGCTTCCAAGTTGTCGCCATTGGAGAACAGAGTGAAGCTCCGTTTGCACTCACCAGTCGCCACCGAGGAAGACGAATGTATCAATATCAGTTTTATAGCTGTGAGAAGATGGTATATAGTCATAGGAGAGAACAAATCAGAGATTTATATCATAATTGAGAACTCCATGGATCTCCACTCCCTGATCCCATCCATATGAGCTTGATCTCTGTAGGAGCTATGCTCCATGGAGCTCCCAACTCTGTACCTTTTCAGTATTTCCTGTCACCATAATCTTATTAAAATTTAATAATATTAACTTTTCAATAGCACAACCTAAGTCAATGCTGATAAAATAAGTCCTGCACAATCAAATCTTCAACAGCTGTCTTAACATGGATTTGAGAAAGAGGTTAATCTTTAGCAGCCATGTCATTACCCCAACACGTCAACAGGTCAGTTCAGAGTTCAGACAACTAGTAGCTACTGAAAGAAAACATTTTTATTACATCTAATCTTAGGGAAAGGCTATAATCGAACTTTCATTATTATGGCATGCCATGAATTTCACAACTGGCTGAGAACTGTGGTTTAATTTTGTGATATCTTTGCAGAGAATCCAATGAGGTATCAAATCAAGCTCCAGGAATTGACCATCAAACCCTGTTTTTTTTTTTTTTCATCAATTTCTTGTGTGTATTATAGTAATTATTATATATGTGTGTGTGTTTCAATCTCCATAACCAGACAAGCAAAGCAGCATCAGGATAATGATGAAATAATACTATAATTCTGACTGAGAAACATTACTGCATTGCCCGTGACCATCTTCGAGTAATGACAATGGATTTGATGCAACATCCTCACTGATCTTATGACAACTTGAATACAAAAACATTGCATGTATTGATTATTAAACAAACCCTCAAAAGTCTGTATCCATCTAACTTGTGCAGAAATGTTTTTTTATCCTCTATTGTTGGGAATGGTGTTTTCTGATATTTGGATTTTTAATATATTTCTGAATTCATGCAAATAAACCGCATTTGGAGGAGTAATTGATTAATGAACACTACTGTGGTGTCATCATTTTTTGTAGGGTAGGTACCATTACCAAACATATGTTGTAATTATTATTATACTATATATGCTGCATCAAGAATCAACTGCTGAATTATAACTAATTAAGAGGCAGTGAATTTTTCTGTTTACTTTTCGGCATTCCCTTATGATAGTTAGGTTCCACAGTGTAAGAAAAGTTCTTTTGGTGGTAATTATTTGAAAACTAGCATGGCCATGGCAAAGGAAAATTGCATTTGCATTATCCTCCCTTTTCCGATGGACTTTATTTGCATTTGCAGGGTACTGTGAGTGACTGTACAAAAAAGAAAGAAGACTATATATAAAATCGATGGAGGTAGATTACAAGTTGACTTTCAAACAAAATCAGATGTATTTGGGGTTGAAATGAAATTATACGAACCGTATTGCAGCCTTTTCCAGGATGATGAGAATCCAACAAAAGTTTTCCACTGCCCAAGAAATTCTTACCTCCATATTTGTCCTGCTTTTGGGATGCTTTTCTCGCTTGTACTAATTCACAACCCACGCTGTAAAAACTGGTGAAAATGTGAAACTAGTACTTACATATCATCCATTCATTGTGCTTGACATACAATTGACACTACTACTGTCTACCTATATGCATAGAGAGGGGTTGAAGTCAAGTCTTTCCATCAAACCAATATAAATTCCCGACACTCGATGATGGATGGTGGTCAAATGATGTCTTGAAGCAAGAGAATCAATGCAATTACGACTTCCCAACACAGTAAACGCTTTTCAACGCACACATCATACATTATAATATAGAGAGGTTGAGAATGTCAAAAACTTGTTGAGCATATCTAAACTGACTGCAGTAAGTAGTACTGGATTCTTAAAGTAGCATCGGAATGTTTTGCCCGCATCTTATGGAGTAAATAATTACTCGCAGTGAAAGATTTCAAGTGTAGTCATGAAGTCTTTTACTGCTTTGTAATAAGATGAAATCACGACATTCAGCAAACATAAACATAGTTTTGCTAAGTAAGAGTTCATAATTATCGGCATGCAAATTTCCATTTTTTTTTTTTTTTTTTTTTCTCTACAAGAGAGGATGAACGGGAAGAGAAGATGCAAGATGCAATTTGAACATGTAAACAGCAACTTACACACTGGATGGCAAACCAAACCAATCGAGAAAAGTCGAGGAACACCACAAAAGCACAATAATAGGCGACTCTCTTGCCTTTCTTGCTATGAGACAAGACGGGCTTCGCAATGTCTAAATCTTATCGAGCTTCTTAGCTTTGACAAGAGGATTGGCTTTGGCTATAGCATCCCGAGCAGCAGTCCGGTAATCAAATGGGCAGTCATGCTTGTCTGAGTAACGATGAATGGAGCAGAAGAGGTTCCCACACCTGCAGTTGAATCCAGTCAAACCCACTCGCTTTCGACAAGCATTGCACCTATTCGGGCCTTGCTTGACGTTAGTCTCTGAATTCTGGATGTGCATCGTGTCAGGAGATGGCTGGGGAGAATTCGTCTTCAACTCAACGGATACGGCTTCCTCAGCCACAGCGTCGGCAATAACAGGCCCTTTCTCCCCACTGCTTGAAGCACCATTTACAATGTTCTCAATGGAAGATTGAGCAAGTTTGGCCTGTTGTTGCTTCAAAATCATGTCTTTATGGCACTTGGAGCACATATTCATCGTGGTCGCACTCCCAAAGAAGCCGCAGTTGTTGACACACAGAACAGGACCTTCGGGAGCTTGGCAACCTGTTTCTTTTGACGATTCCATCTTTCCTGACATTCACCACAACACGCTTTTTCAATGTTAAATGTCCATGGCGTGCACCATGGAACACAGCAAGAATAGAAAACAGCACTTGTATGTAATAAGGAATGGAGGAAGAAACTAGATTAAGACAAGGAATGAAATCATATGCCGCCACTATTCAACACGATCAAGATTAGCGTAGAAACTTCATGCTAGAGGTAAGTGCGATAATATGTCAAATCCCTAAACCAAACTTCTCACTACACATTTTGACAAAACACACTGTCTCACATGGAGCATATTGCAGAGGAGATACCATTCTCTCCCAAAGGAGTGCAAGCAAAGCTGACTCTTTAGGTACAATACGAAAATTACTTGGAATCAAGCTTTCAAGTTGAATCTAAGGTATTGGACTCAAACTAGTGGATAGACAAGAAGATAAATCAAGCATTCACTTCCAAATACACACACACACACACACACACACAAAAAGGATAAAACCAATGAGCTGAACTCATTCAAACTTGCCGAACATAACTCCATAGTACAATTTCGAATAGGTTTGAAGGGATCGTGACAGAGACATGGTGGAAAAAGAAAAAAGCTCTGGTTTTTTAACCATTTTCTTGTCCATAAGAAGTGATTACAATTTTACAATTGAGTAATATCTAACAGCTGCACAAAATAATTTAATTACGGAATTTCATCAGCTTCCTTCTTGTTCTCAAAATTAATTCCATATCAAAGACTACACATATATCCAAACAAGTCATAAACCGAATAGAAACAGAGCAAAACATTGATTCGTCAAGCACAACCCACCATACAAGCTTTCTCTATTTCCCTCACAACCCAATTACAGCAGCCCCGCAGGAGACAATAAAAACCCAAGAAAATTTCCGATCTTGATTTCGCAAAACCAGACCAGAATTTTAATGGAAAACTTCCCTGACGAGCGAAAATTAGAAAAAAGTAAAAACCGGGCAAATACAAAAGATTCAATTTTTACAATACACAAAACCTGAAGCAGATCGCTCAATCGATAGCCAATTCCTAAGAGAAAATTCATAATAAAAAGGTTGAAACAACCGCAGATATACCTTGATTTTAAGAAATGAATCGGAGCTCTTTGAGATGGTAAATGATTGAAGGAAAAGATCCCTCGATTTCGCTTTTAGACAAAATAGTTTTACGAATTTTTCCTCGATATTTCTTCTCAGGCATTTATACCAGATTCTTTATTGGTCCTCACCATCAGCATCAAGGAAAAATGAATCGGTAGGCGGCAGCCATTCTTATCTGATCGCCGTGCCGTGACATGCCCTCACCAAACTCCGTTCTCACCACTTTGCCCACTTGATCGCACCATTCACCCGTCCAACCCCATGGGGCAGACTTGTCATTTTAAAGCTCTTCCTCCCCTTTCTTGGATAAAACTAGTGGAGAGGCCACATTTTCATTCAATTCAATTCTTGGACCAAGACAGTACAACCAATGCGAATAGAGATAATTGGAGCTCTCAATATTTGAACAGAAACAGTAAACGTTCAAATGCAATTGCAGAACAGAAGGGTGTAATCCATTCGTTCCATTCCACGAAAAAGAAAATGGAGCAAAGCAGAAACCAACAGAACATCCATTTTGAGGATTGGGCCGGTTGATCCACACTCGGCCCAATATGCATATCTGTTTACCGGCCCATATCTTGCCCGGTTCGACTCACAACGGTCCATCCATATTCAGTGTACAACTGAAAACGTGTCAGATGCATTGCATGCAATATTTTCCTACTAAAGTTTATTTCTAGCCAAAAAGAAAATAATCATATTGTTAGATTAATATTACTATATAGTTTTAATGGGCAGCAAATGGGATGGGATGGGAATAGTTTTAATTATTAATTCTTCACCTAGGATGCTGATGCTGAATAGAAAAGAAAATCAATTGAAGTTACTGTTTCATGTCAGGATAAGAATATGATGATGATGATGATGATGATGATATATACGCTCTTTCCTCCTGTTTTGGAACTCTTCTTGTCACGTGCCTTTTACTACTGCAACATAAAACATACACTATCCTAAATCAGACGAATAAGTAATATCAACTCTGAATTTTAATAGCATCTAGTCTTTGCACCAACTTTATACACATTACAGCATACATATACTATTAATTATACGGGTTTGGGAGTGAACATCCCATTAATTATATCCCTCAAACTGGATTCTTTCTTACTTGCTACCAAAATAATGTTAATAAACAGTACTGGTATATAATGTGATGTGATCATGATTTTTATTTACATTCTACCGACACACTCTCTCTCTCTCTCTCTCTCTCTCTCTCTCTCTCTCTCTCTCTCTCTGAGTCAACTGGACTGGAACTTGAGAGAAGATTTTTTATTGCAAATTTGGATGAAATGACTGGTTAACCAACAAGAATATTTGATTTGATCGGATTTTGAGGCCCAGTTTGGCAATCGTGTGGATGTGTGAGTCGATCACCAACTCCCAAATGGGAATACCAAAATATGCATTTCTGTCTACTTGTACAACTTTAAGCACCTACCAACAAAGAAAGAGAGAGAGAGAGAGAGAGAGAGAGAGAGAGAGAGAGAGAGAGAGAGAGAGAGAGAGAGATCAATTGCAATGGCAATTAGGCCGCCCTATCAAATAATGATTGTGTCACCTCACCACTACCGCTGCTCGTCACAATCGCTTATCATATTATTTGCATTCATTTAATTCTTCGTGTGTCTCCCTCACCCACTCGCTTTTATTTATTTACATGGAATTTGATAAATAAATAGGCAATGCTAGATGATAGATTAGTAGGCAGTAGTATCAGTATGTATGTATGTATGCATGCATTCCAATGCAATTTGATGAATCCAAACATCTCCTTCCTTCATCAGAATTCAGATCCCAAAATTTAAAATAAACATATGCTACTATATAATAACACTTTGCTTGCTGTTGCTGTTGCTGTTGCTGATATCAAAATAAAATATACGAATAATTGAATTGGAATTTAATTTATCGATCGATTCTACTAGAGTTGATTGAGACGGCAGGTAATTACATTACATTACATTACACGAATCAATCGGATCATTCATTGCCCCATATGTGTCGGCGATGATTACTCACCAAAATAAAACTATAACCTGCGTATAAATCATTTATATTCCTCAAAAGAAATCAAATACTTACTAAAAAGGAAAACCAAGTCAATAATAATAGTAATTAAAAATATTTATATATATATATATATATTGTGTGCTGTGGAAGCAGAGGCGGAGAGCCTTGGTGATAGAGACAAGTTTTTCTTCGCCACTGAAGCACGAAGAATCGGTTGGAGTCATAACTGCGCTATTGTAGCTCCATTACTGCATTTCACAAAAACGTATCAGAGCCCATTAATTGCTTCTTGTTTATCCTGCGATTTCCCCTTATTTTCGGTCTCTTGTCGAGGGACTCCCTACAATCCCTAGTGCGGCGCTGAGTTTGAGTTGGGTGACCGATTTTGCCTCAAGCATCGTTTTTTCCGCTTCAAAATTGTCCGAGATTTGCATAATGGAGACGGCCAACGCCGATTCCGAGTCGAAGATGGACGAATATGAAGCAGTGGAGCAGATTGGGAGAGGCGCCTTCGGAGCTTCGTTCCTCGTCCTCCATAAAAATGAGAATCGGAAGTAAGAACTAGTTCCTTTCAGTTGCTTTGCACACGTAGATTACTTGTAATTTTTATTTTATTTTATTTTTTTATTCAATTTTTTTGGTCGGTGTTTGTGTGAAGTGAGAGTGGACTTTGCGTTTTAGCTTCATTTATGAATAATTCCTTCAATTATTCAGAAACATTCAGGTATATCAATCAAGAAACGGCTTTTTGTGGACGAGATTTCTGGGCGTATGATAGATCAGAAACTGAAACCCGTGAACTCATTTAAGAAATCGTTCGTTTGTTTATTATCTGGTCGTTTTGAAAGACATTGTTGGAATTATTGCATGAGTTGCTAGTTGGTTCTGGATTTAAATATCTAGAATGAAAATTGATTAGTTAGCAAAGGATCATATGTGTGGTATAATTCCAAACTAGAGAGAACTAACAAGTGCATCTGTTGACCAGTATTTTGACAAAGTAGGCTTTGGTTATCAATGATTGAATGAAGTATTTTGTAACCAAGCTGCCGATCCACCGTAGACTTTTTGTAATCTGTTTGTGGTGTGAGATGTGATGTTTCCTTATTGCTTATTTGTCTCATATCTTGCAGGTGTGTTTTGAAGAAAATTCATATGTCCAAGCACACCGAAAAATTCAAGAGAACTGCTTACCAGGAGGTAGTGTTAAATAATTATGTTTACTCTGTTAAGGGGAAGCCAGGTCTGTTGCACATGCATATGTTTTTCTTCTTTAAGTTTATGGCTTATTAGTTAGGTATTTGTTATTTTGAGTAGGCAGTCGCTCCAAGTTTCTTTATGGATGCATTTATTCTTGTTTCTAACCAATCATAATATTTGGAAACAGAATTACTCGCTTTTCCTGGTGCTCAAAATTGAGTTTTTTTTGGACTGGAATGAAGTTAGAATAAAAAAATTACCATAGCATTTTAAAAAAAATCTTCAATGCTGACTAATTGTTTACCTAATTGTTGCAGATGAATATGCTTGCAAAACTACACAATCCATATATTCTCGAGTACAAAGGTGCTTGGGTTGAAAAGGTATCATAATTTTAATTGTCAATTTCCAGCATGAAAGCAATTAGGCTGAACAAATCTGTGTTATGGGAGGCCTGAAATAATTTTTGTACAAATCTTTTACATGTTCCCTTTTTCTGCAGGGAAGCTGTATATGCATTTTGACGGACTACTGTGAAAGTGGAAATATGTAAGAATTTAGTTGAATTTGATTACTCTTCTGGAATAGTACTGTTCAAGTTACATAAGAAATTTTCGTTCGACACTCTGTATACTATAGATGAAGTTTGCTTTGACATCCAGAAAGAAAAATAAAATAATCTGTTTTATTATAAATATATGAAGGTAGAAAAAAGAAAGGGTAAATGATGGGAGGTTTTAAATAGTATTCGAGTCTTATGGAATGTTGATGTTATTATTTTTTATCTGCAGAGCTCAAATTATGAAGAAGGCAAGGCGCACTTTTTTTCCGGAGGAGGTAATTTGATTAATTAATACATATTCTTGTCCCTGCTTTGCCTGCTTCTTCTGAGAGAGTGTGCATGATTTTTTTATCTATAGAAAATATGCAAATGGTTGACACAGCTATTGTTAGCTATCGACTATCTTCACTCCAATCGTGTCCTTCACAGGGATCTCAAGGTTCGCCTATCAACACCATACAATTCAGTTGCCACATGTTAATTTGATTTTTCCTTGGATAGTTTTTTAAAATATTTTTGTCTACTCCAGTTGTCAAACATATTCGTCACAAAGGAAAACAATATTCGTCTTGGTAAGCAGGCCACAGCAAGCGCATGCAACAACTACCTGTGTGTGTGTGTGTTTTACCCAAATACTCCTTCTGTGTTATAACTAACATCCAATTTACAGGTGATTTTGGATTAGCAAAACTTCTCAATGAAGAAGGCATTGCTTCATCGGTATGATTTTATGATGACCCAAACTGACACGTTACTGGTCTAACTATTTTCAGCCTCTTTGTACACGTTGGAGCACATTGTTTATAGTTGACAGTGTAATCACAATGGTTGGTAACTCACCCTTCTGTGTCTCGGACCAGGTTGCTGGGACTCCCAACTATATGTGCCCTGAGCTTCTTGGCGATATGCAATATGGCTATAAATCAGACATATGGTCACTAGGTAAATAGTTAAAAAAAGAAAATCTTGAAGCTACTACACTGATCCCACTTGTATCTAAGAATGACTGACATATGTTGTATTTCCAGGGTGCTGTATTTTTGAGATTGCTGCTCACCAACAAGCATTTAGGGCACCCGTAAGTTCAACCTTTCACTTTGCGGAATAGACTTGCACTCTTGGTTTGACATTGTTTATAAACTACAATAAGTTACAATGGTGTTTTTCCAGTATATCACTAAAATTAGAAGCATTTGATGAACAGGATATGGCTGGACTGATCAACAAGATAAACAGGTCTTTGATCTCTCCGCTTCCAATTGCCTACTCGTCCACTCTGTAAGTGTCTCTATTTTAAAACTTAGCAATAAAATTTCCATGTGTTCACTATGGAGATAAAACTATAATAAATTAAATGACTGTAATCCCAGGAAACAGATTATCAAAAGCATGCTGAGGAAGAGTCCCGAACACCGGCCAACGGTAGGTTCACCTTCTTCTCCTTCTTCCCTAATTCATGTAGCAAAGTTATGATTATCATCTGCATAATTTCCATGTCCTAGGCTGCCGATCTGTTAAGACACCCTCATTTGCAACCATTCCTCCTTCGGTGTCACAACCCATCTCCTGCATTGCTCCCTGTAAAATCTCCTTCTCCTAACACCAAGGAGAAAACGAGAAAAACAACACCTGGAAGTTCTTGCAGCGAGAAAGACAGCACAGAAAAAGAGGCGAAACTAAAACAAAAGGACCTACTTCCATTGTTTGAAGAAAGTGTGTTTGACATACACTACTTGAACTTACTGGATGATGATGCCTTGATGGAATACAAACTTGTGACCAAGAGAGTTGATCCCACAAGCTATTCTGGGAAGATTTCTCATGACAGTGAAGATTCTAAGAGTGAGAAAACAAGCGAGACAACTGCATGCAATGGAGAAGATCCAGACACTTTTGACTCATTTAAAGAGAGCATCAACACCATGGATGCGTTTAATTTAGCAGCAAATGTAGTTTCTGAAGAACAAGAGACATATCTCCACAATGATATGAAATTGGAAGTTTTGGGCCAGGATAATGAGATGAAGCTCAATGCAGAGCCTTTGTGCAGTCCCCAGATCACTGAGGAAACAGAATTGAAGGCAGATGACAGTAAAGATGAAGCAGTTTCAATTCTTAACAAAGAGTCACAAACCCCCTCCAATGTCGAGGCAGTATCAATAGTTAACAGAGAGACAGAAACCCCCTCAAGTGTTGAGGCAGTACCAATAGTTAACAAAGAGACAACAACCCCCTCAAGTGCTGAGGAAATGACCGGTGCAAGTTCTGTAGTGCTGCCTGACCACAAGCAAGCCGAAAATAATGAAGGCGTGGTGGAGAACACTACACAGAATGTCAAGGATGAAAGCTCAAGCGAGTTAACTCAGATTAAGAAAGAAGACATTCTACTAATAAATCAAGCACTGAGCCATGAACTGTCAAGAACACAAGAGGGCGATGGAACCATGGGCCTGTGGGATCATCCCCGTCTACAAAGAGCTGATGCATTAGAGTCCTTGCTTGAACTCTGTGCAAGATTGCTGAAACAGGATAAGTTTGATGAGCTATCTGGAATTCTACGGCCATTCAGTGAAGATGCTGTCTCTTCCAGAGAAACAGCAATCTGGCTTACAAAAAGCCTAATCAATGCACAAAAATTTGCCAAAGAATCCTAGCTTTTCAAGATTTGGACATGGTCAGTGTTCCCTAATTTGAATAGTTGGCCCTTTTTTTTTTTTAAATATCTTTTATACCATGGTTAGCCATGTTAATGTAGTTTCTTTGTGGAGACAGAAATTGTTGGATTGAATTTTGAGGGTCGGATGAATCATGGCATGTATTTGGATGTTTTACCTGTTGGATTTGTTGAGGATTGCTTGAGATTTGTCAATACAATTATCCACATTTGTTCATTTGCTGTATCTTGATTTTTTTATTTTATTTTATTTTTTTAAAATAAAATTCCATCATGAATGCAGATTGCATTATTGTTGAAGTAAAAATACAGAGAGATGATGATATCTGGTCTCTCTTAATTGATGCCCATTGAGATTAGGAAGTATCAACACATTCCTTACTTTGATGGCTAAGTAATTGAAGTATGAACACATTGAATGCATTTTCTGTAGATGAACCATCAACATCATCATTCTAAATCACAACATGTACTAAATGAGAGTTCTCACCACTCCACTACTCTTTACATATAAATTTTCAGGAAACCTTTGTTCTTCTCTCTATGTAGCAACAACAAATTCATTTGGTAGGTTCTTAATTAATTTGATTGAGATGCATAACCTAACCCTTTCCTTTCATGTATTTGTGGATCCCATAAAGCTTAATTCAAAAGGCAAAAATATATGGTGGGAAAGAACAATAGAAATCAAGTTCGATCATGACAAAATATGGCACCCATCCATTATATAATCAAGACACAACATTTGCAGTTTCAGACAAGATATTCCCTCAAAAGGATTACATTTCAATTAATTTCTATATTATCATTGAGCTACATTTTCTCCCATGGCACATTTAGGTAAGTTCACCACCTACACTTACATGTTTGTGATCTCGATGACTTTCTATTTCGTTGCAGCAATGTCTCAAGATGCTGGAATGGCGCCTCTGCCAGCAATGGACAAAGGAGGCGCCTTTCGACTCTCATTTTCTTACACACTTGTCTTTTCCCCTGCACTCTTTTCTCTGTTTGCAATTTTATTCGGTTGAACTGCGCTGAATCATTACTGTTTTGTCATCGTGTGGAGAGAACTACGACACTGTTTTGTATTCCTTACATATGCATCCGGTTTACCATTGATGATATTATTGTATTTGACCTGGTTTAGTACATGATAAATAAAAGTGCATATTTCTTAAATTTTCAATCTTATTATCTATAGCTTACATCATGAATCATACCAATGCATTTACAATATCCTAATGTGCTAACAGCGTACCATGTTGAGGCTGGCAATAATGTCGAAAGTTTCGATCACATATCAAGAAGCCGAGCCTTTGGATTCTTGAATATCAAGCTGATGTTCAGCCAAAAGAATGCAAGAATCTCTTTCCAAGGATGAACTTGACTTTCTCACACTGAAGGAATCCTTAGGTGAATTCAGAAAGTCAGTTGTGCACTGCACATCCGGCGCTATCCCAACCTTGTCGATGTCATGAAGCGCCGGCGATAAATATTTAGCCACTGTAATGAAAAGTGCCGATCCATCGTGTAGCTCAGTCACACTCTGCAGTAATTTGGACGAAGAATATCAGAAAATATCGAAGCCTAGGGAATGCATTTTCTTCTGGGATCGAACTGATAAAGATTACCTGGATTTTTCCTTTCCCGAATGTTCGGTGTCCAACAAGAATTGCTCGGCCATTGTCGTGCAGCGCCCCTGCAAGGATCTCACTTGCACTCGCGCTACCTTCATTCACCTGTTTCGAAAGCACAAAAAAGGTTAGCAAAGAAAAGTATTTCCAGAACCAACAATGATCATAGGAAGTCGAACATACGAGGACAACAAGAGGATCATGTGTTATAGCATGACCATCGATCATGTTGATCGGGAACATATTCCCATCCCTATCGATAGTATTCACTAGTGTCTCGGTTCCATCTAACCAAATCTGAGCAACGTCAAGTCCCGCCTTTACCAAGCCACCCTGGATATATTAGTAGCAACATAAAATGAGCATCACTAATTGCCATTCGAGTCGATAATACGATATCCATGACTCGCTCACCGGGTTGTTCCTTAGGTCCAATATGTACGACTCTACACCTTGATTCTCCATCTCATAAACCGTATTCTTCATTTCCATAGCAGCAGATTGCGAGAAGGTCGACAGCTTCACATATCCTGTCTTCGATAGCTGACCATCGGGTGCTCTGTGGATAATGATAGCACTAGATATCGGTGGAAGCTTCACAACTTCACGCGGTATTTTAACCTTCAATATTCGAGTGTTTCACAAAATTAGATGTACTTAGCGACATACTGAGAAAATGCCTACGGTGCAATAATATGTAAATACATCATACCTCTCGGACAAAAGAGCTTCCTGAGTCATCAACCTATCGAAAGATCATAGTAAAACATGAACGTTCGGTTTTGTAATGAAAATAGAAGAAGGATCAGTTCTGATCACTATGTAATAATCACAGCTGAGGCTCACAGTGTGAACTTTGACAGTAACAGTTGTTCCAGTGTGTCCCCGGAGCTTTTGCGCCGCTGCTTCACTCGCCATGCCGTCGAGCCTTTCGCCTGATGCATCACGTATCTCAAGAAAGTTCATACAATGTTTTCTTGAGACAAAACAAAGAAAAGACATGCATATAATATACCGTTGATTTCCATGATCTCGTCCCCTTCATGTATGCCGGCGCGCGCAGCCGGGCTATTCTCCAAGCACGACAAAACAATCTGAAACAAAACAAACAGAGACTAAGCAATAATGGAAAAGACTAAACTCTGAGATGCCACAAAGAATAGATTATCTGCAAGAAATGGAGTCACCAGGTGTCCGGTCTTGGGCTCGGTGTTGATGAATAAACCAACACCTTGAAGATTTCCATCACTTCCTATTCTAAAACTCTGATATTCCTGCACAAAAGTAACCAACACTTGATCATGTAATATCCCGACAATTTGGATAAACACATAGAAAACAATCGATGAAGAAGTGATTGCCTTGGGGCTGATGATGCGAGTGAAAGGATCGCCGAGGGTCGAAAGCATCCCCTTGATTTTGCCGTAGGCATCATCCTCTGATCTCAGAGGAAACATCTCCACCATTGTCTGCTGCAGTTTCATGTCCCAATCTGCAAAAGGTTCATACTTTGCAAGTGAATTCAAATCAAGACGAATTGAACGTGTGCATCGTCGAGGACAGTAATGTCGTTTCAACCTCGTTTTCTCCAATGCAATGCAAAGTAAAAACTAAACAAATGGAAATGGTTTAATGTTGCTCTACCCTGATGATTGAAAGTCGGATCGAAGAAGGTTTCTCGAATCAATCCCCATGCCTCCACTAGAGTTCTCTGGGCTGTATTAACCTGCGGGGACAGGGACAAGACAACCTCGGACACTCAGAATCCTATGAACTTGAGACATTCTTGAACATATCAAATCAAACGGTCGATCATCAGCTATACTAAACCACCTCACGAGTGTGAGAAGCAGGGAATGCCACAGTCAAAGACTGTGCGAGGGCAGACGAATCCCAAGACACGGCGGCAGCGGCGGCGGCGGCGGCCAATCCGACCAATCCTCTCCCAATCCTTTTGTCAAGACATTGTGGAGTGCTGGTGAATTCCTTGTCGGAACCACCAAAACAATTGACTCTAAGCCTGTCGGACCGCACAGCTTTCAGCCTGCTAGTGAATCGGCCAGAAAAGAACGACGGTCTTGATGAAGCAAATTCCGAAGCACAGATCAGAATAGAATCAAGATTCGAGCCGATCAAAGCTTCCATACTCTCTGCATCGAGGATTGCAAGAGTGAGTTTGTGTCCGTCGCAGGAGGAAGAAGAAGAAGAGAGCTAGTAATAATCGCGGAGTGTCGAATAGGGAGGGGCCCACATGAATCTGTGGCTTTGTGGTGGTTATGTCCTTTGCGTGTCTAAAGAGTATCTTTTTTTTGTGGAAGGAAGGAAGAGAAGGAATCCCTCCTTCCTGGGACTCTCTTCTATATGTTGTCGTCTACTTGTGCAACTTAAACGTGTAATAAAATAATAAAAAATTGCAGGAAAGAAGCCATCTTTTTCCAACTGGGCTGCAGCTCTGCTCTGTTGTCCGCCCAAATTGCCTACCACACTTTGAAAATGAATGAATGAATGGACGGTCCACGTCCGTCTTCCCAGCCCACAAAAATCAAAAATTATATATATATATATATGCAAGAAAACATTATATAAAAAGAAAAAAGAATACAGTAGTAATGTATATACTAGTACTACTACACAGTAAAATCATTGTTCATATGAAAAGACAATGGGCACAACTATACTTATCAGCCATCAGCTTTCGGAAAGCTTATTTGTACAAAAGGTAGAAAAACATGATTTGACAAGCTAAGCTAGCTAGCTACGATTTACTACTAGTACTACTCCATTTTTTATTTTGATTTTCTCATTAATTATATTCCCTGAGTTGAGATACGATACACATACAACTAATTAAGTAGTAGTATTTGATTAATGGTGATCGAGCTAGAATTGATCCAACACAACAAGTCTGTCGGAATCCTGTCATGTGTGATCATAGATCCATAGTCAGTCAGCTGAAGAAGTGTGTAGAGAGACAAAAAGACAATCAACAATACTAACAGTTATGGGCAACAGGATTCTTAATTAGTTGCAATATCTGTATAATTATTAAGAAACTGATGAAATATCTCTTTTCAAAAGGATGGGAAATAAAGGTGCTGCTGCTGCTGCTTCTGCTACTCCCTCGATCTTCTTTCTAAGCTTTTACTTATTAATTAATTGATCATCATGCATGTTTGAATATTGAATGAGAAGATTTTATCTAAAGAAATATTCCACAACGAAAGAAGAAGAAAGATTGGAGAATCTCCCACATCAAATTAATTAAAGATAATCAATGATAAGTGCAAAAGGTGATCTCAGGAGATCACACATATCTATATCTATATACCCTCCAATTCCAAAATGAATCTATGCTTCCTTTGCTCCATCGTATTTGATAGTAGCAAATATATATATATATATAAAATGATTCATTAATCTTTTTCAAAGGTGGTCAACAAATGATTTTATATTGTTTTATTATTAATCTCCTTTTAACCTTTTTTCCCCATGAGGGCCTAGCTCTGAGCAAAAGTTGTCTCATATGATAAATTATTATTATCATCTTATTAGTATGTACAGTTGACCTTTGGATTCTTAGAAAGTGCATAAGAAATCAAAAAGAAACCCTAGAAATGTTAATTACGTACATACAAACAAAATAAGAATAAGAAAACCCAAATTGCATTGTAGTAGTGAAGAGTTGAGGGTGTTTTCTCATGAGCATCCTATCCTTAATTTCTTGTCGATCGAAACCAAACCCCTATGAATAATGAACTCCATCCTAGTATTCCCAACCCTACATCAATTAAACTTATTGCCAGAAAGCTACAATATCAAAATCATCATGTCTGTGTCGATGTGGAAGTGAGAGATAGAGAGAGAGAGAGAGAGAGAGAGCATAGTCAAAAGTGTCATTGAAATGTCACTTCAATCAACAGAGTTTTCTTACATATGCACAGCACAGGGGATTATTACATATACATACAGCAGTGTTTTAAATTTGTGGGAAATAATACTGTGTGTATATATGTATATATATATTATATGCATGCAATGCATAGCCCTCTCCTCCTCTATCAATCGAAACATCAGCTCCAAAGTCATTGCAGCTTGTCTAGTGTTCTTAGTTAAGGACGATTCTTGGGAGCTCCATGGATTTCTTACCCAATTACCCCATCACAAAATGGAATCCACCACACCAATCCTCTCTGGTGTTGGGAGTCCCTGGACCTCCCTAAAATCACTCCTTGAATACAGCCATTCCATCTTTAAAATTTTTCCCCTCATCATTCCCATAGCTCCCACCAACATCCATTTAATGCCCTTGTCTTTGTCCCTCCAGTTTTTAAAATTGATGCAATCAAAGAAATGATTCCCATATACATTTTCAGCCACAATATTATCAACAGTAAATATAATATGATGCTTCATCTCTCTCTCACACACAGTCACACATGGTTTGCTTAATCATATATATCTGCTTTGCATTTATTTAAAGGTAGTGAATCTGATAAGGTATATGTTCCATCCATGACCAGACATATATATATATATATATATATACACATACAAGCTCATTCAACTAAAGGGTATCTAATGCACCCCAAATGTTGGTGTATTTGCAAGATACCATTAGGTTATGAATGTGTATTCAACATTAGTCCCCCAAATATATATTCTATTCTATGTACTTTATTTTATATCCCCCACTGATCATTGGCTGGAGCACATCTTTCACTTCACTCTTTACTACTCTTTCTAATTAATCTCTTTCTTTAATTTGATTCTTGTGGATAACTGAACACCTAAAACTGAATGCCAAAACACCTGGAAAAAAAAAAAAGGTCATGATCATATATATTATCCATATATGATCCATAGTGCATTAGATTCTGATACATACACACATACATACATACATACATAAAAATCATATAGTTATTCCCCGTGGAGAGAACAATGTAGAGCTAGTGGTTTATCTTGTTCTCATCTACTATTATTTTCTCAAGTCTGTATGTATGTATAAGAAGAATCACAATCATTTACAATTTGCTACATGTATAACTTTCACTTGAACAAACAAGAAAGAGCTTTAAAACTGATATATTAATCATAATGAAATTAATTTGAGTATGGCAAGAAATAGAATTGAAGATAATATATATAAAAAAAGGCCATAGTGAAACAAATAGTTAAGCCTAAATAACATCAAGTATCATCCACACACACATATATATTCAAGAAATTTAAAGGCCTAAGTTAGAAAGCTAAAAATGGCCCTTTTGACTAAAGCACAGCTCGAGACTATTCTCTACATAATAAAGCCAAGAAAACATAGCTTAAGAATCAACTCCATATATTGATTGTCTTACGATTTAATGGATTGAATCATCATCTTGTTCAATTTCTGATGCAGGTTCATCTTCCTCTTCAAATTCATGGATTCCCCCGTAGGCTCCATGGCCATTCCCAAATGCTTTTATATGATCTTTTAGGGATCTCTTGTGTTTGAAATCAGAACCACAAATGCAGTACCAGAGCTTTCCACAATTCTTCTCATGGGTTCTCCAATCTCCCCTCACTGCAAAGGCTTTACCACACTTTCTGCACATGAAAGGCTTGATTCCATGCTTTCTTTTGTAATGTGTTTGGAGGGTTCTGAAGTCCTTCAAGGGTTTTGCTCTTGGATGATCTATGTTGTTTCTGCAGCCAGGAGCACAGCAGTAGCAAGGAAGCCTAAGCATGCCAGTTGGCTGACTTCCTCTTAGGGATTCAGGCCCTCTTCTGTACTGTGAACCATGCCCCCACATATGCATCTGAACCATATATACTCAACTACCAATTAGGCATATAATAATATGGACAAAATTTTTTCTAAAAAATGGAAATTCTAACTGCAGACAGAATATATCAACAAAGGTGAATTTCTGCAATTCTCAGACCACAGCAAAGAGTGGAAAAAGGGAAGGTAAAAGGTGAAATTCTCAGCCTATTGTAAGAGAATCAAGTGTGTGTATACATATCTTCTTTGCTGTTTGAAGACATTGCTTTATGTAATGTATATGATGTGAAACTATACATGAACTTCACTAATTTTGCATGGAATAACTCAAAGATTCCAGTCTTTCAAAAAGGTATCCAGTCATTCATTAATAAAGGAAAATTGAAAAAAGAAAAATGCTTCTCAATAAGATTGACATGTTTCTGAAATCCAGTTTTATCAAGGATACTGCTAAAATACTGTTCTTTTGTTTCAAAGAAAAAATAGTAAGTATAAATATGAAATGGGAGTTCGAAGAAGAAGTTCAAGCTAAAGGGTGCCTACGGCTATGGCGGTACAATTTCCAAAGAAAAATTATTGATTGAGGTGTTGAAAAGTCTTGCTTTTGAGATGACACTGAGAGTCAGACAATGAAGAAGGTTTAGGTATGGGCTTTTCACTCTTTCTGCAAGCAGATGGACGACTGCACCACGCAGAGAGACAGACAGACTGATCGATCAAGTAAGAACGAATCCATGGCATGGCAACTGTTGAAGTTTCAGTTTGTTCGCAGTTACCAATTTGTAGAGCTGCACTGCCACTGCACAGCAGAGACTTCGGAAAGAGTACTTAACAAAAACATAAGGAACATTGCCCGACTTGTTCAATCACATAAATGAAGTGAAATCATCTCATCTCAGTCTCAGTCTCAGGCTAAAAGTCTGATCGATCGATCAGTAGTACCCATCACACTCAAGATCTTGGAACATCCCTCCTCAACCTTAATTAGCCACCCGGCCATGCATCCCACTATTAAATAGGAGTAATAATATATATATATATATTTTTTACTTTATTATCAACAAAACAAAATCTTCTACACACTCAAGAAACCCTTCTTTGAAAAATGGCATCTTAAAACCAGGAATGAATGAATGAATCCTTTTTTCAATAACTTAAGCACTTACTTGCATGTTATTGTATCTGTTGAAGGTCTTGAGGCAGACAGGACAAGTGAATTGTGTTGGACCTATGAGAATCTGGGAAGGTGTAGGAATCCAATACTGCCCCTTGTTGAGCCTGCTGCTGCTGCTGGTCATGTTGTTGGGGTACCCTTCTCCTGCTGCTGCTGCTGCTCGTAGATCAGACGACTCCTCTTCTTCTTCATCTTCTGATTTATGATGATGACCTAAAGAAGAAGACAGCAAAGAGGCGAGATCAGCAGGACTAGGGTTTGGCAACCCTATTTGGAGTGCAACTGTGACATCCTCCTCATTGCTGCTGCCATCCATAACCTGCATATTATTATCACCACCAGATCCTGATCCTGCGCAGGAGAGTTCAAGATCTTGCTCGCGTCTGGTCGGAATCAGTGTGAGAAGTGGGAGGGGCTCTTTCAATGGCGGTGAACAAGGTGGAGCTGCACCTAATTCATGATCATATATTTGATGATGACTGTTTCTGTAGATGTATGAATTAGGAGTAGAAAAGTGGTGGATACGATTGGAATTGAGGTGGAATTGGACATTGAGATTTCTGTGGGGATCAGACATATTGTGTTAAAAGGAGAAGAAGGCAAAAAAGAGGTGGGAGCTTCAGAATGGTGGGCTAGAGGAAATTGCCCCTTAGAGAGAGAGAGAGAGAGAGAGAGAGAATACGGCTGACAAGTTGTTATGAAAGTAAATAGTGAATATATATATATATATATGTGTGTGTGTGTGTTTGTGCGTGGGACTGTATGATGCATGTAATTAATATAAGAACAATAATTCTGATTAAATGAGGGAATAATACTATTTCTTGTCTTCCGGTTGAATTGTTTCTATTATTGCATAGGTTAAAATTTAGATAAAATATAATTAATAAAAAATTATTATTAATTAAGTGGATCAATCGAAATAAAAAAATTAAATATTTTATGTGAATTGAAAGAGTAATATTAGAGAATGGCCATTTGTGTGTATCATAGTAATATGGTATAGGGTTAAAAAAACTAGTCTAATTAATTAATACTTGTGTCAATAAAATTTGTAAATTATAATCTAATTGGCCAGAATAAAAGATATATATATATATATATCTATACATATGAAATTATTATTATTATTATTATTATTATTATTATTAAAATAATAAATAAATGGACAACTTTAGTGTAGATGTAAATATATGCAATACTACTCAATTGATTTTGAGCCTTGGATAATGAATCATGTGTGGATTTGTATATTAATTGTGCTGGACTAAGTGGGCCTCTAATCTTGCATCTAATAGTTTTAGCTAATTATTAGTAATTGTGATTAAAATTAAGGATTGTAATTAAATTGAAATTCAGCCATGCTGAATATACTTAGCCCGTTGATTTTGTACAAGTGCAATATTTATTTAATTTGTTTATGCTTAGGCAATTAATTTATAATACTATTATGCTGATGCTGATGCTGATGCTGATGAATGGCCACATTATTGACAATTTGTTGTTGTTGTGAAAAATGATAATGACGTACATAACTATTTCAATTTCAAATAAAAATCTTCATTTTCCCTGTTTATTTTGGCCGATAATATATTGTTAGGGTGGCCGCTGGCCACAATTAATTTGTATCCTATAGTACAGTCGGCAGGTATTTTTGAGATGCCTAAATTAATTAGTATATTAAATTGAATTAATAAAATAGAGAGAAATAAAGAATTTGCTCATCCAACCTAACCAAGTCGTCATAAATATTACAAAAATATTGTATACATGAAAAATATATAATAAAATTTTAGAAAGATTAAAGAAAACCGAACCAAAATCTCAAAGGACACAAAAAAGAAGCATATATATCACACACTATTCACAAGTTCTTGTGGAATTTGTCTACAAAGTATCCCTTTCTTTCTATTGTGAATATCAGGACACAAACAACGGCCTAATTAATTGATTAGCAAGGCATGTTTGTAACCTGTCTTCCCTTGGAAATGGATGGCTTCTTATTAATCAAATTCTAAGAATGGGAATGGTAATAATAATATCCAATCAAGTTACTCGATAATTAAGCTCAATAAACCAAAATCAAAGAAGAACAACGTATCAACTGAGCTCAAACATAGCATAACATTTGGGAGTATTCTCAATGAACAATGGTTCCACAAGAAAAAGACAAGAACTTGAAAGGAATATGCAATATGTCCACAGATGAAGAAACACAGCATGTGAGAAGATTAACGACAAACATCCAATGCTTCTTCTCATCTGCTATAAGTGTTTCTTCTCATCTGCTACAAGTGTTTCTTCTCATTCTTTTCCACAAGAAGCATGAATCTAGCCTAGCCACTATTTACTCAATTTGGTGCTAATCATAACAGAAGCCTCTAAACGATTTTCTAGATATATCAATTAGGCATCCTCTATGTCAAGCATATGAGGTTTAAGATCAGGAAATACAGCTGTTTAAGTAGCCACAGAATCTCAAACTATAAAAACTTTTGAGAGATTGTAAATGTGAAAGAATGGCCTTCTAAAGTTCAGTTAACCATCCATTAACAAGGAAACATATCACAAACAAAACTAATGCCGAGTATATCCGACCCCGACTCCAACTCCACTCAGCAAAAACTTAATGAAAAATGTACACAATGCAACTGGATAATTACCATGATTGGTCTTCCTAATGATCAAAAAACAGGATGCATATCCATAAACTTCCAACTTCATATGATATCCAACTCCGAGCCCTCAATTATTGTTCACATCATCAGACTATACGTATAAAATACCTCCATGATGGCATAAATATAAATATATTAATATAGAACCAGGATAAGGAAACAAGAAGCTGCAAGAGCTGGCAAATAGTAAGACTTAAAAACTCATTGGAAGATGAACTAGTGATCTGAATAACTTGTGCCAGTCAGCTCTCAGAATTTACTAGCTACACTTTTAGCCTACAAATTTATAACAAAGCCCAAGCCAGATTATCACCCAGCGTATGAGTTGAAAATCAAGAAGACATGGTTCTTACATGAAACAGAGTAAAATGATATACTTGGAACTTACTAGTATCCAACCAAAACTATAAACTTGGCGTTGCCTGTATAATATATATTAGAGTGAAATCTTCACCGTTGAATTTACAATGTATTGTAAACTTTTCCGCAGCCTTAAAATTGCATCTACAGAAGCTTCAATTTTCCAGCGGCACCCAAGCATAGGCATGTCATAAAGTGAAAAAAGAATGTATCTTGAGGAATTTCACCTAGCACTTATCATACACAATGCTAGCTAAAAGCATAATCTAGGCTTATTCCTGTTCGAAATGCTAATAACGGAAATCCCACAACAATCACTTGCCAGCATTCATCATCGAGCTGATGTTTTCCCCTTTCAGCAGTCAAACATAACAACTTTGCCCTCCCCGGAGCCGCAAAGCTGGTTCGTCACTGGCTCCCGTTGTTCGGCGCTGCGGCCGTGAACCTCTTTCCCCTGTTTTCTTCTCAAATTGTAAATTCTACTAATACAGAACAACCCCTTCTCAATAGGCGGGCGGGCCATGGCCCGATAAGGCTGACCCGAAATCGACCCTTACCCAACATTTTTTCAAACGGGTTAATAGCCCTCTACTTCTAGTGTATGAGTATGACTGTATCTGTTGTATGTCTTGTTTAACTGTACTGACTAATAGTAAGTAATATTCCGGATAATTTAGAAATTAAGTGAGAAGATGAAGAGAAAAATATATATTTTATTTTTTTATTTGAAAGATACGAGGAGATAAAGTGATAGGATAAAAATTAAGTATGATTAATTATTTTCTATTTTGAAAATATTGAATGATATTTAAAAAATATTCCAGGTGTTTGGAAAGCATAATAATATTAGTCTTTTTTTTAAAATACATACTACATTTAAAATAAAGAGTATTTTGTATGTAGAGACCAGTCCTACCAAACATAGTATATTTAAAATTAGGTTTCCATCCGAAACGTAAGTAGCTTTATAACTAACAACATCCCAAGAACCTGAGAAACATTCGACAATCAAAAATTTGAAAATACTGCAAGAAACATGTTTTGTAGATAATGGCTAAATAGACACGACACTCGCACATAAAGCTCTCTCTCTCTCTCTATCTCTCTGCCCATATCCATCACCACTCAATTCATAAACATAAAAAACACATGAGCTCCAGACCAGAGCACCCTTCGTCTACTCCTGTGGCTCTGCAGATTCTCTCTGTTTCTTCTTTTTCTTATCCTTCTTCTTCTCACTCTTGATTGCTTCCTCTTCACCAGACTCCACATTTTCAGCATCTTTCTGTTTCTTGTCTTTCTTCTTCTTCTTTTTCTCATCAGACTTCTCAGCATCTAATTGTTCCTCTTTCTTTGATCCCTCCTTCTCCCCATCAGCTTCATCTGCTTTCTCCTTCTTTTTCTTCTTCTTCTTCTCCTTCTTCTCCGACTCCCCATCCACATTTTCAGCTTCGACAACACTCTCCTTCACCTGTACAACTTCCGTAACTTTTTCGACCTTAGCTTTCTTGGCAACAGGAGTATCATCAACAGCATCTAGCTTCCGTTTTCGACTCTCTCCATCATTGTCATCGGCCTTGTGTTTCTTCTTTTTCTTCTTCTCAACCACAACATCAGCCTCCCCATTGCCTGCATCAGGAGTTGGAGTTGGAATTGGCTCTGCAACTGCAGCATGACTGGCAATCTTAAGGTCATCTCCAGCAGGCAAAGCAACATTCCTCAACCACTCAGCCGGCGTATTCTCATTTGGCTTCCCATGCTTGTCCAACTTCCCTTCAGCTATGAGTTTCTTCTTCATCGATGCTCGAGGACCCAAACCCCACTTCCTCGGATACGTATCCCTATCCATCACAACCCTCTTAATTTTGGCCACGGTTCCATGGTCACAAGTGGCCATTACAGCTGTAGTCATCTCTGCAATCCCCAACGCAATCGCCTCCCCCTTGGTAGTGATCAACACTACCTCCTCATTGACCTCAATATTATTCTCAAACCTCAATAAACCGGGAATCATCAACTTGGCACCATAACAAATTGCGTTAACAGCTGAATCCTTCACCACAAGCCTCTTATAAGTAGTCAAGATCATCTCCAATGGCATAACCACCCTCCTCAAGTAACTTTCATCCCTATAGTTATCATACATCCACTGAGCATCCATCACATCGTGCATTGTCACCATATTGTCATTCTCCCCCAAAATCCCAGACCGCACCCTTCTCAACTCCTGCATATGCCCTCCAACACCCAATATCAACCCCAAATGAACACATAATGTCCTTACATATGTCCCAGCCTCACAGGAAATCCAGAAAACAACCAAATGCCTGTCGGCATCGTATTCAAGTAGCTTACTACTGTAAATAGTCCTAATCCTAAGTTGCCTCTTAACTGCAGATATCAAAGGAGGTCTCTGAAAAACCGCACCTGATAGAGACTCCAGCGCCCTTGCAACCTTGGAAACATCAGGGACCTTTGAATGCAATCGAGCCACGCATACGTACTCTTTCCCCGCACCTTGCTGTGATTTCACCAAGCGTGTGGCGCGGTCAATGCAAACGATCAAGTTACCAGTGACCTTCGGATCGAGCGTGCCGGAATGCCCCGTTTTCTCAGAACGTAGGATGCGCTTAATCCAGGCAACAACTTCGTGAGATGATGGATTCGCCGGCTTGTCGAGATTGATGATACCGTACTTGAGGTATTCCGGTAACGGGCGTCTCAAAGGGGAACAACCGGAGGGCAAGGGAGTGAAGTGCCCAGTGCGTACATTCAGTTTGTCGTAGTTCTTCAGTAGGATAGGCCACTGGGAGGCATCCACGGACGGAGTGTAGCTCTGCGGCTTAATGAGGTAATCGACCGCGTCGCTTTCATCCTCTTCCTTCGACTTGCTTTTCTTCTTCTTTGACTTCTCCGGAATGGAATGCTGGACGTCGGCCATGTCGGCGGCGGCGGCAACTACAATCTAGGGTTAGGTTTACAGCTAAAAATTAGGGAAGAACGAAATGGGTTTATCAAGGGGCGGAAGATTGCAGAAAAATTAGGGTTCAGGGTTTTGACGGCGATGGAGAAATTATCCTGTGTGGTGAGGTGCACAGTAAGATGCTCTGCTTTGGGCCTCTGCCCAAATTTTATTAGCCATTCGGCCCATTATTTTAGGCCCAGTATGAAGTTTGCTTACTTCTCAGGCGTTTATGTATAATGGGCCGACGGTGTTTAACTAATGAGTAATGATAATTACAGACTCTGCTTCGAGTCTTCGATCTCCCTTCGTTATATGAAAAGGAAATTCCTGTTCGAGTTGATTATTGAATCGCCGAAGAACTGGAAATTCATAGCTGAAAAGAATCGGCTTTGAAACGCTTGTTGATGGATTGAAGTTTCACACAAATTTTCTTGAGTTGCCTTTTGGGAGATTCAGGAGAAAGAATATCTTGAAAGGCATCAGGTACAGAGAGAGGAAATTTTAGCAGTTATGGTATTTTAGGTTCTCCTGGATTTGGAAGCCTCGTTTCATTGAGGAAATGCTGCCTTGCCTGGTTTCTGTTGGTACGATTTCATGTCTTAGTTGTTATTTTTCGTGCAGGTAATAAAGTGAGCAAATATCATGAGCCAGCAGCCATCGGTGGTTCTCGCCACAGCGAGCTATGATCATTCGATTCGATTTTGGGAAGCAAAAAGTGGGCGCTGCTATAGGACTATTCAATATCCTGAATCTGTATGCAGCTTATATGTTTTGCAACTAAGTTTGGCTTGAAATGCTTTTGGGAGGAAATTTCACAACTATTTGAAGATAAATATTAGTAGATGTTATGAGTAGGGAATGTAAGAACAACTTGTGTATTGAAGTGTGAGATCTCTTAATGACATTTGAACCTAGTTCATGATAAAGTAATGGTTGCAGTAGCTGTATTGATTTGCTCTGATCATCGTCTTAAGGCACAATGGCAAGAACTACCTTTGTCCTCTTTCAATTTTTCATGTCTTCCAATCAATGCAGATGTTTTAGTATATTACTTATTAGATTTAACAAATGTGCTGAGTGCTTTTTTGTAAATCTAATGCATTGCTCTATCTTGACAGCAAGTTAATCGCCTTGAGATCACACCCGACAAGCGCTACTTAGCTGCGGCTGGAAATCCACATATTAGACTATTTGATGTTAATTCAAACAGCCCTCAACCGGTATGTTTATTCGTTTGTTTCATGTACTTTAAACTGCTAGTTATTATGTTTATTGTTTAGTGTTTCTCATTACTATTATCAGTGGTTCCTGCTGTATCATTAGCTGCTTACTTTTTTTATCAGGTGATGAGCTATGACTCTCATACTAATAATGTTATGGCGGTTGGATTTCAATGCGATGGGAATTGGATGTATTCTGGTTCAGAAGATGGCACCGTAAAGCTTTGGGACTTACGGTTGATGAAATTTTAAAATTCTTTATATTTTCTTTTCTTAATGATTGTTAGCTTTGGTGTTAATTTGGTCTGCTGTCTTTTAATATGATTCAGAGCTCCAGGTTGTCAGAGGGAATATGAAAGCCGGGCAGCTGTCAATACTGTTGTTTTACACCCAAATCAGGTCTAACAAATTCAGTTTATTGTAGGCATTTGAATTAGTTTTCCAACAATCTTAAACATCTTGCTAGTTGTAATGAGAGTTATGTTTTGTTGCCAATTTTATGATGGCTTTGGTTTACCATTATCTACTGAGTGGCTCCATTTGTTCTTATATTGTTCGTTTTTACAAAATGTTACACCTTTTTGTTACAATTTTTGCATCCTTGCACAAAAAAGTAGGATTTTTTATTTAATTTTACGTTAACAGAGAATCACCAACTTCTATTGGTTTTAGCATTGCTGGAGGTGAAATGCCTTTATTCCTGAGGGGCATGAGTTATCTCATAGTGTGGTTTACATTATTTCTTAAAGAACGCGCTTTATTCTACCACAAGCTATGCATGAATGAGTCTCTGCTAATCCTCCTCTGAGAGTGGCATCAATTTCTGGTTATTTTCCAGACTGAACTGATATCTGGTGACCAAAATGGCAACATCCGAGTCTGGGATTTGACTGCAAATTCATGCAGCTGTGAACTGGTAAGTACCACCAGTGTTCGTACCTTTATGCACCATATGGTGGTCATGATTTATGGCAAGCTAAGCTCCATATACACTGGGATATAGTGATGTGGTCTCTATGCACGAAAGGCATATTCTTTTTTGACTAAATAATTCTAAGAAAGTGAATTGGTTTACTGATTCAGGTCCCGGAGGTGGATACAGCAGTACGATCACTGACTGTAATGTGGGATGGAAGCTTGGTTGTTGCAGCAAACAATCACGGGACATGCTATGTGTGGCGTTTGTTACGCGGTACTCAGGTAAAATATACATTGAGTGGAGTGAATCTAACTTCAACTTAACTGGGAATTATGTTTACGGACTTGACTTCATTGTATTATCCCTATGGGCAGACTATGACCAACTTTGAGCCGCTGCATAAGCTACAGGCACATGATGGATACATCCTTAAATGTCTCCTTTCCCCGGAGCTATGTGAACCCAACCGGTAAGTAGGAGCTTATGATGATATATCCACCCCTACTCTCCAATTTCTTTAGTATATGGAAACATTTTCTTCCTATTTTCAGGTATCTGGCTACCGCGTCGTCTGACAATACCGTGAAAATATGGAATGTAGATGGTTTCACCTTAGAAAAAACACTAGTTGGTAAGAAATAGACCACATATAATTACTGATCATAGAGGTCTAAGATTGATTGACACAGGTGCATGTTGGGGTTGTGTTTTCAGGACATCAGCGATGGGTTTGGGACTGTGTTTTCTCGGTGGACGGGGCTTTTCTGATCACGGCCTCATCTGACTCTACGGCGAGGTTGTGGTCGATGGCAAATGGTGAGGAGATTAAACTCTACAGAGGGCATTCGAAAGCTACCGTTTGCTGTGCTCTTCATGATGGGACTGAACCTTCGAGTTGAAGAACCTTATGAAACAAGAGGCATTTGTTTATTTATAGGGAGTATATTTTATCTTATCTGTACTGTACAGGCCGATCTGATTCTTGTTTTATAACTTCTGAGATAGACAGACCAGACCACCTTCTTCACTTTTCCTTTGTGAATTGAAATTGACTTGAACTTTCTTACTGATTCACAGAGTCTTTAGTGAAAAATGAATTATTTATACGTACTCAGACGGGTCATGAGTTTGGAGGTTTCAAACTATTTATTATTTTCTTTAAAATCTTGGATTAAATGTTTGGTTTTATTATTTTTTTTTTATATTTAAATTACTGTACGAAATATTAAAATTCATATTGAAAAACAGAAGGTTATGTATTACTCCATTAACTAAAATAAGGTGTGCTAAAGTTTGGGTAAATTCTAAAGCGCAGTTATCTAAAGCAGTCCCCCAATACACGATTTCAAAGAGTTTTGTTTTTTTTAAGTGGGAAACAGTCAAACCAAACACGATTATGCAAAAAGCGTGGTGTTTTGAACAATCTGACAAACGCGATTTCTATCTGTTTCTATTTCCTCGGTGGTCAGTACTGTTGCCGCTCACAGAGGAGCGATTGAGGTTATGGAGAAAGAGAAGGGGAAAACCACCAAGAAGCCTCCTACGAATGGCAAAGTTACTCTCGAACAGTTCGTGTCCACGATGGCTCCTCTCATCGACATGGAAAAGGTATTGAAATCAAACATATTTTCTTCTGTTTTTCCATATTTGTATCTACGTCGTATGGATTGTAGGTACTGTAATAATGTGGTGTAGCTCTTCTGTAAGTGTTTTGATGTACATATGCTGGTTATTTTTTACCTAAATTTGGATTGAAATGATGAAATTTTATCGTAAGTGCAACTTAATACATCAGTGAGTAGTGCGCCTACATGTAGTGAAATATCTAGTAGCTTAATTTTTCACATTTCTGTTACCGTTGTATCTCCGGTTGCTTGTGAGGACGGAAAGCATGTTACTTGAATACTTGGATTTAATTTTCTTGAAAATCTACTGGAAATATTGTTTTCTTGTGGATGTCTTGGTTATCACATATCAGCACCAATGGAAATGTGAGCTATATAATGTTTTAGGAAGCTGAGATATCGGTCTCAATGAGCTCAGGGGCCACAAGAAGTTTGGATAGTGCTCAAAAGAAGGGGTCGACTATTCTGAATTTGAAGTGTGTGGATGCTCAGGTAAGAATAGCTGACAATGGCTTTTTGGAAAATGTTGTTCAGATGGCCCATTTAAATGTGCATTCTGTAGACAGGATATATGGGAAAAAGTCTTCTTGAGTTCCAGTCAAATAAAGGGGATGTCCTCCCTCCACACAAGGTAAACTCTAGATTTTTCAGTTTCCAAGGGATTATGGGTGTTTCATAGTTTTATCCGATTCTGAAATGGGAACACGTGTATGGTAGAAGTTTTTCTTTTAAGATGTGATCATTAGAGTTAGTGAGAATGGGCTTGTGAGGTAATAATTTCCAAAGTACCATATAACACACATACTAAGTGTATCTATTATGGGAGTGAAGACTGACACTTTCAATTACAATCCAGTTTGGGAATCACGACGTTGTAGTTTTGAAGCCAAACAAATCAGATTTGGCCTCTCCTCCCCTTGGACAGGGGGTTGTTTACAGAATAAAGGTATTATGTTTTATGTGAAATTAAACATTGTGTACCATATCCTTCTTTAATTTGAATGCTAATTCTTGATTGGGCAGGACTCTTCTATTACCGTTGCTTTTGATGATGTCCCAGAAGAGGGTCTAAACAGTCCTTTGCGCCTTGAAAAAGTGGCAAATGAGGTATACTTCTTGTTTCATTAGATTGTGCTACTTAGTCTGTGACACTTCCAATAAATATGAATGTGTTTTAACGTACCCTTTAAGTTCTGTGTTGGGATATGTAGTTTGTCCATTTTTCAAAGGATATCATTTGAGATGTTGTTTATGTTCGGGTATAGAGCATCCTCTGTCAAGAAGGAACTACATTTTTAAGGTTTTGAAAGTTTTTGACATTAATTTGTTGCATAATACTTGGTAACATGCATGATTCCTAGCTGCTGATCTAGTGATCAACCTAAATATTATTGTAGTATAACTTTAAATACAGTAATATGAATGATTTTTAGGTGACATATCGTCGGATGAAGGAAACATTGATCCAGCTGAGTAAAGGTGTACAAAGTGGCCCAGCTTCTGATCTAGTTCCAGTTTTATTTGGAGAAAGGCTTCCAGGAGTGTCCAACAAGGATATTAAGTTTACTCTTATAAATAAGAACCTTGATCATTCACAGGTTTCCTAAATTTTACTTTCTAGATTTGTATTTATTTACTGCACTACTTAACCTCCCCTTCACATTTTCATCTTAAGTAAGTTTCATTACTGTTCTAGAAAGACGCTATTACAAAGGCTCTATCATCCAAGGACCTTTTCTTGCTACATGGACCTCCTGGCACTGGGAAGACTACTACAGTGGTTGAGATTATCCTACAAGAAGTCAAGTGTGGATCAAAAATTCTTGCTTGTGCAGCATCCAATATTGCAGTTGACAACATTGTAGAGAGACTCGTACCGCATAGGTATGAAAACAATATCATGTTATACAAGTGGGAAAGTTGTTAGCAATCAAGTGTACTAACCTCATCAAATTTAACCTTGATATGACAAAGCAAGGTCAAGGCTTGCTTGCTCACTGGATTATCCTAATATGAAAAACTACAAACTTCTCTTTGATGCTGTTGCAGGATTAAATTAGTACGGGTGGGGCATCCTGCTCGCTTACTTCCTCAAGTATTGGAGAGTGCTTTGGATGCACAGGTAATTTAGATGCCCAAGTGCTTTAATAGTATTATATTTTGTTAAAGATGTCTTGTTAATAATGAGTCTAGTTTCCATAGGTTTTGCGAGCAGATAATAGTTCCCTTGCAAATGACATCCGTAAGGAGATGAAGGTACTGATGTGTAGTCTCACATCTATATGAAAATTTTGTAACTATTTGTATTCTCCCAACAGATGCTCAAGCAATGTTAAAGAGATATCTAACTTGGTTGGTATACCATATTATCATTCTTGAATGCTCCAGGCGTTGAACAGTAAACTTTTAAAAGCCAAAGACAGAAATACAAAGAGGGATATCCGAAGGGAACTCAGGACTTTATCAAAAGAAGAGCGCAAAAGGCAGCAGCTGGCAGTGACTGATGTAATTAAGAATGCAGATGTGGTATTAACAACCTTGACAGGTGCATTGACTAAGAAATTGGAAGGCTTTTCATTTGATTTGGTTATTATTGATGAAGCTGCCCAGGCCTTGGAAATAGCATGCTGGATTGCTCTTTTAAAGGTAACTATATATCTAAAGATGCTTAAATAACTGCACAAAGTAACGACTAACTTGTGTGGGGCATGTGCCTTTGTCTTTCCCTTTCATATAATTCTCATTTTAAAATCATATGTTATCAGATGCAGCTATAAATTTAAATGTCAAGATTTTCCTATCTATTAGACCTCCAAATCTGAGATGCCCATGAACACTATGATTTTTGCCTTACTAGGGTCGAAGGTGTATATTAGCTGGGGATCACCTTCAGCTTCCCCCAACAATTCAGAGTGTTGAAGCTGAAAAGAAAGGATTAGGAAGAACCCTCTTCGAACGCCTTGCAGACTTGTATGGGGATGATGTCATGTCTATGCTCACTGTTCAGTACCGCATGCATGAACTTATCATGAATTGGTCATCCAAAGAGCTCTATCATGGAAAGGTGATCAGATGCCATAACATGTCTTCTCCTTCTTCTGTGTATTTATTTGTTTATTCCTTCTCTGTTGATAGGCCTCTGCCCATCAATAAGATAGGATTTGTATGAATAAGTCCATAGGAGAAGAACCTCCTCAAGAGAAGTTAATAATAGACCCACTGATTTGCTGTAGTCCTTTTAAAAAATTCAATCAATCCAAAATAACATTGATGTCAAACAAGGATTTTCTGTTTTCTGTAATAACCCGGACCAAGAACTTAGTTGTGATTTTCTTTCTTCAAGTTTCCGCCCTTGTTTGTTTGTTGATTAGGCTTTATTAAACCTTGAACGACAGATTAAAGCCCATTCAAGTGTTGCTGCTCATACTCTATACGAGCTCGAGGATGTTAAGAAATCTTCTTCAACTGAGCCAACCCTTCTTCTTGTAGACACAGCTGGGTATTGTGTATAGTTTTTCTTTTTGCTTTTCCATTTCATGCCCTTGTTTTAAATTTCTTTTCTGCCAATGGATCCAAAATGGACAAGTTTAAGAAGCTGATATATGAGTACTGACTGGCTTCTCATTTGTGTGGGAACCCCACTATCAATGCTATATTTGTTCAGTTGTGATATGGAAGAAAAGAAAGACGAAGAAGAAAGTTCACTGAATGAAGGCGAAGCTTCAGTGGCTATAGCTCATGCCAAAAGGCTTGTGGAAAGTGGAGTTTTAGCTTCCAACATTGGACTTATTACACCTTATGCAGCACAGGTATAATTGCTTGGAAAATTTGTCATATTGTGGTTAAGGAAGAAAATATGTGAGTTCATGTTTATGTGCTACATCAGGTTGTGCTGCTAAAGATGTTAAAAGGCAAAGAAAACAATCTAAAAGATCTGGAAATATCCACAGTTGATGGTTTCCAGGGTCGTGAGAAAGAAGCAATTATCATTTCAATGGTCCGATCGAACACAAAGAAAGAGGTACCATCACCAATTAACACACTACAGTAGAAACAGTCAAAAACCTCCATTGGCCTAAAAAGAAAATGTTTAATGTGGAAAGCTATATGTTTCCAGGTGGGCTTTTTAAGCGACCGTCGCAGAATGAATGTTGCAGTGACAAGAGCAAGAAGACAATGTTGCATTATCTGCGACACGGAGACAGTTACTGGTGATAATTTCTTGAAGCGTTTAATTGAATATTTTGAAGAACATGGCGAATATTTGAGTGCTTCGGAATTTGGTAACTAGTAATTCAGAATTTTGCTGCAGTCTTGTGAATGGAAGCACCATAGACCCTTTGGCTAAGATGAAATTCAATCCATTCTGTGATTTTCCTACTTGTTGGTGAATATCTTACAGGGATAGCATGATTTTCCCAAATTTCTTGGCAAATGTAACAGACAATGACTCTAGAAGCACAATTCATTAAAGACTACAGGGTCTTATAAGGATATTGAATTTATACGGTTTAATGTGATTAAGCATAAATGTTTGATTTATTGATTTTGAGGTGAAAAAATTTTATGAATTGTATGAGGCTAAAACTAAACCTTATAAAAGGAACTACACACGGTATGTTACATGTCAGAAATAGTAAAACTACACTTAACTGAGGAAGAATTTCTTGTTGTCCGCAAAGGATGGCACGGTGGGGTGGGAATTGGACTTATGACCTTACCGAGCCTGATGCCTCAGGTCACTTGCGGGGTTCCCATATCATCGAATAGTTTATTTTTTATCTTTAAAAAAAAAAAAAAAAGTCTGAATTATGTGACGATTAGTAATACAGTGTGTATATATATATATATATATATATATAAGACAATAAATACAAAGACATAGCAATTACTCAGTAGTTTATGTTAAGAAAAATTCAACTTCATTAGGATTCATAATATTGTTTACCGTGATAGGAAATTATAAATCACTTGCTATTAAAGAACACAAAACTAATTAGTTCACGAAAATAAAATAAAATGTTAACTACTTAAATTAATTTCATCAAATCTATTGTTGAAATTATTAATAAATACAGAAAATTTATGCAGAATTATCATTTTAAGAGGTATGATAGCTGAATAATGAATATTTACTGGGTAACATTACTAGAACATTGTCCTATAATTTTTTATATATATTTATCACAAAAAGGAAAAAAGAAAAAAAAATGGCTTGAGTTTTTCTTCAACCATTAGGCTACGGACGCCTATATTGTTAATCGACAACTTGTATAAATTCAATGGTTGAAGTTTGGACAACTAATTTAAGTGAAATAAATAGGCTTTATTGGACAACACTTACGTTGAAAATTAGTAACTTAAAAAAAGAATTGTTACATGTTTCTCATTCTGAAAAAAACATGTTTAGGATGTGTTTGTTTTGGTTGATTTTGAGAAAAATTGGTTTGTATTTAGTATTAAAATAATATTTGATGAAATGTTTTGAGAGATAAAATAATGTATTTTTTTTCGAAAAATGCATAGTAAAAAAATAAAATTTGGGGAATTTTGCCGATACCTTTGAACTTATTTCAAATGAGAATAAATACTAGTATTTTGATTGAATCATTAGGTACTAATTTGGGCTTGTGATGTTATAAACGTTAAAATATTACTATTATTATTTTAAGATTTTTTTAACCTGTTAATAAAAATATATTATTTTATTTTATAAAATTATTCAAAACTGAAATTAAAAAAATAAGTAAATAAATAAATAAAACATTTAATAAATTTGACTAGCACCTCTTTAAGTACTTTGGCTAAAACATTTACTTCATGGAAGGACGAAATGAACCAAATATAATTAAATAAATGGCCTTTTACCCGTTTAGGAAGGCTTTAATAAATTTTATAAAATAACTACGAACATATACACACTGAACCAACAAAAATTATTATTATTATTATTATTAAAAATCATTTATCTTTTTTAAGGATGAGAAAAAACGTTAGAATCAAGTAAATTTAAAAAAGTAAAAAGAAAAGACAAAAGGGATTGAAATCAAGAACTGATAATTCCAAAAAGAAACCATCAAATTCAGAAACTACAATAACATTATTGTCAGCAAGAAAATTATTACACGGCTCTACTCTACCCCTAACTTACGCATCCAACAAATTAAATAAAATTCACACGAGCACAAGTGGGCATCAATATTAATTTCATAAAATATGAAAATGAGATAATCATCTCCAGAAGACAGTCTTGGAAGAAGAAAGATATTTCTCTGTTTCTTTAATTTTCTAATTTTTAATAGTAGTATATTACTCAACATTCCTAATAATTATTCCTTCCACACGTCAGCCAATTCCTTACTAGTTTTACTTCACTTTTAACCTGTCTCTCTTCAAACTCTGCAAAAAACTACTACTTCTTTCCATGGTGGTTTCTACAAAACCATTTCAGTGAATGTAGTTTACTTTACATCTGAGTTGGTTCACAGCTGGGGGATTATTATTCAGCTGTATATATGATCAGAGCTGGTAATGCTGTGTCTATCTGGCATGAATTGGCAACAAGGGTGAGTTTGTGGAATCTTTGAATTTTGCACCTAATTTTGCCCTACTGGATATTCTTTCTTGTATTATTGAACCCTAATCTTGATTCGATTAGGGCAATGTGGCTGAGACCCATATCTTGGTTCACTGAATTGTGCTAAAGACTTGCATAATTTAATTTTCTTAAGTTTATTATTATGTGTGATTATGCTGTCTTTGTCCAAGTTGACTTTGTGATGTGAATAATCTTCTTCTGAATACTATTACATTGGAAATTTGGAATTTATATATACATATATATATATATATATTAGTTCTTGAGACAAGTTGTAGTTGACTAAATGATGTGTATGAGGATTGTGTGATGCCTTTTAACATATTTGATGAGATTGTTGACTCTTAGATTTGTGAAACTGTGTTGGGATTTTGTAGGTGATAATTAAAGGGAGGAAGATTGAAGGGTTTTGATTTCCTTGATTGAGGTTGTGAATAACTTGAGGGTAAAATTTTTGTAGGGATCATGTCAGCTCTCCAGAAATGGAAGTTTTCATGGTCCCTTGCTGTCGCCGTTGCTTTGATTTTGTCGTTGGTTTCGGTTATTCATCTGTTTTTGTATCCCTTGGTCCCATCTTTGGACTACTTGAGCATTAGGCAAGCTGAAAGTTCTTGCCTCCGAGTTAATGGATCGGTTGGCGTAAGTGAAAGGTATGTTCCGGTGAAGGGATTAGATAAAGAAGTGAAACAGGGTTCTAAAGGGAATATTGAGCCACCTGTGGTTGATTTGGCGGCTCGATATCCAGCTGATGGACATAATGCTGTGGTTTACCGGGGTGCGCCATGGAAGGCTGAGATTGGGCGATGGCTGTCGGGATGTGCCTCAAACATCAAGAACATTGATGTTGTTGAGGTATTGTTGATTGATTTTGAGTTCACCGGGTGATTTTGATTGCTAACCTGGTTGATTCATGCTAGATGAATTCGTTATACATGAATTCGACTGAATTCAAACACGAATCAATACTGAATATTTATTCTAGAATTTACTTGTATTGGAGACTTATCTTCTCACCTTGCACAAAATCAATGACAGAAAATTGGTGGGAAGAGCTGCAAAAATGAATGCAGCGGTCAGGGGGTTTGTAATCACGACTTGGGCCAATGTCGATGCTTTCATGGTTTTGATGGTGAGTCTTCCTCAACCTCGTCCATGTTAAATCTCATGTATTCTCTCTCATGGTTTTATCCAAACTAGTTTTGGCAAGCATAGCCTTGGAGCATATTGCTTGTGTTCGATTTGGATAACTACAAAAGAGTGTCGATGTTGAATGATCACTTCACCTAAAAAACTTTAGCTTTAAAAGCATCATTCGGAGTTGTTTGTCTCATCAAGCTCTTATGTAACAAGATTTATTTCATTTGGTCCATTCTCTATTTCCTATTCTTGGAGACAGGGGAAGGATGTTCTAACAGATCAATACTAGAATGCAACCGATACCATTCAGAAACGGAGCCATACGGGAACTGGATTGTGTCGATTTGTTCTGCTACATGCGACACTACCAGAGCCATGTGCTTTTGCGGAGAAGGAACAAAGTACCCAAATCGCCCGGTTGCCGAGGCATGCGGCTTTAAAATAAAGTAAGCTCATGTAGAGTTCTCTATATTACACCATCTCCTAGTGTTTCGATATACTCACAACATTTGTGACTTATAGATGTCTTTCAAATGTTGTAGCTATCCTTCTAAAGAGGGTGATCCACCTATCACCAACTGGACAGTGGCCGATAAGGAAATCTTCACTACAAATAGTAGCAAACGAGGATGGTGTAATGTGGATCCTTCCGAAGCCTATGATAACAAGGTTCGCATCAAAGAAGAATGTGACTGCAAGTACGATGGCCTTTGGGGCCGATACTGCGAGGTGCCCGTTTCAAGTGTTTGTATCAATCAATGTTCTGGTCATGGACACTGTCGCGGTGGTTTTTGCCAGGTATAATAACTCAATTCAGTCGATCCATTCGTCACTGAATATCTTATTTTGTGCAACTCTTGATATGCACATGGATGTCTTTATAGTGTAAGAATGGCTGGTACGGAATAGATTGCAGCGTTCCTTCTGTTTCATCGCCCATTGGGGAGTGGCCAAATTGGTTGCGACCATCACATGTTAATGTTCCGGATAGCACTCAACCATCGGGAAATGGTGTCAATCTCAATGCGACAGTGAAGAAGAAAAGACCACTTATATATGTTTACGATTTGCCTCCAAAGTTTAACAGTCTCCTACTTGAGGTAAGTACTTTATAGCAGTGGTATTGTCGCCTCTATATAGTATGAAATATGAAATAGCAATAACTTTCTCTTGGTTATCATTCTAGGGACGCCATTTTAAGTTCGAGTGTGTGAACAGAGTATATGATGCAAGAAATGCTACGCTATGGACAGATCAACTATACGGTTCACAGGTACTAATAGCTGAAAACTTGGGCTCGTAGGTTAAAGAAAAAACGACTAATTCATAGTTATCCACAGATGGCAATTTATGAAAGCATATTAGCCAGCCAACACAGAACACTAAATGGAGACGAGGCAGATTATTTCTTTGTCCCAGTTCTTGATTCATGTATCATAACTCGGGCTGATGATTCGCCTCACTTATCCATGGAGGTATAATGTTCACCTATGTGCTCTTGGTTGCACGTGGAAATCGTATACATTTCCATTTCTAATATATCCATTGAAAATCAGGATCACCATGGATTGAGAAGCTCCTTTGCTCTGGATTTCTATAAGAAGGCTTACGAGCACATTATGATGCAGTATCCATATTGGAATCAATCATCAGGAAAAGATCACATATGGGTATGATTGTGTGGGTGTTATATTAAATAAAACCAGTCATAGCTTGAGGCTCAAGAAGTCTTTATCCATCTGATTGCAGACATTTTCTTGGGACGAAGGTGCTTGCTATGCCCCCAAGGAGATTTGGAACAGTATGATGTTGGTTCATTGGGGCAACACAAACACAAAGCATAACCAATCAACTACAGCATACTGGGCAGACAACTGGAATCATATTTCTGTAGAGAGAAGAGGAAATCACCCATGTTTTGACCCGGAGAAAGATTTGGTACTACCTGCATGGAAAGTTCCTGATGTACATTCTCTAAATGCCAAGCTCTGGGCTAGGTGTATATTTCTTTCCTTCTTTTCTTTTAATCATGTTGTGGATACTGTTGTCTTATATATGATTTGTGCAGGCCTCTTACAGAGAGGAAAACACTCTTCTATTTTAACGGGAATTTAGGACCAGCTTATGAACACGGAAGGCCCGAAGCCACGTAAGTTGGTCCACCTCAATTTCATGGAAAATTTGATTGTACATTGTATTCAACAAACAAGTGGAGCTTCCTGGAAAGTTTTTCGAAATTGTGCTTTGTTTGGATGATTATGTTAAAGTGGGTGAGGGCGATGTATTCAGATATAGCATGGGAATAAGACAAAAGGTAGCCGAGGAGTTTGGATCCACACCCAACAAGGAAGGGAAGCTTGGAAAGCAGCATGCAAAAGATGTGGTTGTATCATCGGTACGTGCAAATGATTATCACGAAGAATTGGCGAATTCGACCTTCTGTGGGGTTATGCCAGGAGATGGGTGGAGTGGTCGTATGGAAGATAGTATACTTCAAGGATGCATCCCTGTCGTTATTCAAGTATTAACTTCTCCACTAGATAACTGCATTGACATTCAATCGAACTATTCTGATTCTTAATTGTTGATTTCTGCTGCTTGCACTTGTAGGATGGAATCTATTTACCATATGAGAATGTTCTCAACTATGACAGCTTTGCTGTTAGAATTCGGGAAGATGATATTCCAAACTTGATACATATTTTGAGGGTATGGTCTCACTGCTGTTTATATATGCTAAGTACTATATCTAAACTTAACTGGAACTTCGTTGAAACAGAATATCAGCACGGCTGAAGTAGAATTTAAACTGGCAAATGTAAGGAAGATCTGGCGAAGATTCTTGTACCGAAACTCTATCATGCTAGAAGCCGAAAGGCAGAATGCTACAATAGGGCTTGTCGAAGACTGGGCTACGAACTTCTCAGAACTTAAAGAAGATGATGTATTTACAACACTTGTACAGGTATTTTAGATCTTTAAGAATTGTGCATTTCTAGATGTCATCTTCTGAAGCATTAATAGATCCATGATAAATCTCTGACCAGGTTTTGCATTACAAACTGCACAATGACGCTTGGAGACAACAGAATGAGCCCCAGACGAAAGACTATGGATTACCTGAAGGATGCGCGATAAGAACATATAGCCAAGAGCAAAATGCAGAGGATGACTAATTTCAATCTAAATGGGAATGCTTGAACCTGAAGGGCTTGGAGTGAACTTCCATCATCTCACATCTGTCTCTGTAAGATGATCACCTCTACATTTCTTAGAGCTTAGAAGATTTTAGTTATAGAACAGGAGGCCAAGCCATTTCCCTGTCGAAAAGTTGTGTTTGGAGAAATAGGAGAGATCTTCATGATTCATTTGTTTGTTATGTATACCAAACACTATAATAGAGAAATTTGTGCATTGATTGAAATAAAAGTTGCATTGGGATTTTGTGTTACATGTTTAGTATGTTGCCACTCAATCCATCATGTTTTTCCGTGATGGATAATTGTCTCATAGCCACTGCCCACAACTGTAATACAATTTTTGCAAATCCGGGACTCATAAATCAGCAAAGGGCAACAAGGGAAGGTAAAACTATTCCTTCTTTCCTTATTTTCAATTATTATATTCGTTTAAAAATTTACTTCTCATAAGGTTGAAATCTCGGAAATGACTTATATGATGCTGTAGTTATGCAATAGAGGCACGCTAATATGATGACTTACATTCTTTATGCATTACAGTATGCATTTGCCTCCTTGTAGTGAAGACCAGTTAAAACTTTGGTGTCCAAAATGCTTGATTCACGACATTACAGTTTTTGTTAGTATATACTGTATATTTATTTGTCTCCTCGACAGAGACGACAATTAAGGCATTCAACAGAAGTCCTAGTTGTCATTCTCATCCTTTATCTGTTCTGATTTTGCAACTCAGACCTATATTTTGTTGTAATGAACCGATGTCATACAGTAGTCTTTTAGAGTCATTCTTTGCACTAATGCACAAAACGCAGATACTACACGTGGATTTATACAAGGGTGTATATATATAGGAAAGTATGTTATTAACTCAAGAGTCTAGAAGTTCCAAATGGATGGCGGAAAGAGAAGATCTTCATTACTATCATGTGCATGGAAACTATTGTCTTCTGGTCCTATATGCATATTAGCTCCAGCTATTTCACTCAACGTATCCCAGTTAAAGCTTCTTTCAGCAATGCTGCCGAATATGTCTTCGCCGTCTTTGCATGAAGTTGAATCTATCTCTGCAGCATTTCTAGAGACATCACTAATACAAGGCTGATCTTGTTCCTCTCTTTTCAGTACCCCCAGCTGCTCCAGGAACTCGTGCAGATCAATCTGGGGCTTCTCTTCCGAGGTAATTACTTTAGCTTCTAATGATGAAGATTCATTAACTTTGTCCTCGTCAACAGATACTACTTCTACCTGTGGCTGCTGGCTCACACCATGCATCTTGGTTTCGGGATCATTGGACGATGAACTAGACCCTGACTCTTGGCCAAGAACCCCTGTTTTCTTGAGTTCTTGCAGTCTTTGATGAATCATATGAACGCTAGGCTGGGCATTCAGATTCAGCAGACCGGTGGCAGGGAACGTGGAGGTGAGGTTATGTGAAGGGAACCATTTGAACTTCTGGGACTTGTTCAGAGGATTGAAATTAGCCCTCAGATGAGGCAGGTTGAGGTATGCCTCTGGCCCATACAATCTCCGGGCAGCCTCGTCATAAGCCATGGCAGCCTCTTCGGCAGTGGTGAAAGAGCCAAGCCAAAGTCTGGTCCGCTTCTTGGGTTCTCTGATCTCTGCCACCCACTTGCCCCATGTCCTTTGGCGCACTCCACGAAACTCACATGTCGAGTTCTGTGGGCCACCCTTGCCTCTCGCCGGACCCTTCTTCCATGGCTTAAGGGGAGATTTTCTGCTGCTGCTGCTGCTGCTTGTAGGGTTGCTGTTATCCATGGGTGGCAAGTGTGGAGTAGAAGTTGAGGGCTTTGGGGCTTGGGTGCATCATGGGAGACTATGTATATAGAGCGTGTAGAGAGAGCCTATTTTGGCTTAAATGCCCTCACGTTTGGACAAAGATTTTCAAGAGCTGTGTGACCGTTGAGCTCACTATGGTTAGTAGTTACTACGCACACTAGTCTTACTATTTACCTCTTTCTAATGTTAGAAGTCAGATACTTAGAATATATATATGTATAGACAGACGTGTTAAATGTGGTCACATTTCACATATACAGAGAGAGTAGCTCCCTTGGATCCCTTACAGTAAAATCATATAACATGATGTAGAAATAAATGTAATGGAGTTTAAATATTGTGAGGATGAGAAAAATGGGATTCACCTCACAAACTCACAAGAGTTTTAATATATGCTGATCACATGTTCTACAGATGCTTCTGCCTCATTTATTACCCGTATATATATATATATATATAAATATATCACTTTTATCCCATGCATGCATATCCACGTTCCAACGTACCAGCGGAAAATTAACAAGATGCTGGCCAATCAAATTAACCCTTTATGAAAATAATAATAATAATAATAATAACCCTTTTATACTAATTAATAATATTATCGTATTAATATCAACAGAAATTTCGTATTTTTTTTTAAATTTGTGATTACTAATTTTTAAAATTTTGACTAAGCAAATATGAATCAGAGGATTCACAAATAAGTAAATCTGCTCAACGGTATATGGTTAGATCGCTGCTGTAACACATTAAACGACAACTCCAGGAAGTAATCCACACCATCCATCATCCGGTGTTGGGAGCCCGGAGCTCCCACAAATCACTCATCTATAATCAACGCCAAACTGCGATCACCAAGCCGCCATTGATCGATTGTTTACAATGTAATCTAAGCGATTCCTTCCTTCCCCAATCCCCAGTTAGTTTCTTCATTCCAGTTCAGAAATTTAAATTATTTCACTATTTCTATTGAAGGGCTTTTGTTTCCGTTGACACATCTCACCAGTCCATTACTGATTTCTCGAATTTTCATTACGGAGGAATGCATGGGGTCTTCAGGCCCATTAGGTTTCTGAATTTCAATTCTTCTACCTATTTCCCCTTTCTTCTTCTTATCCAAAAACGATAGGGTACAATATTACTGTCATTTTAAATTTAACTCTATAGGGAACATACCCATCAATATGGTAGCTTCCAAGAAAACACTAGCGAAAGACGAGGCCTTTATCCGATTGATTCTAATCACTGTCTTAGGGTTTATGTTATTGGCTTCGCTGATAGGGATCAGTGCAATGCTACGGTTGGTATTCAGTTATTCATTTGGGACTCAACTAAAACCTGCTGATAACTGCATTAGGAGTTTCAAGAATCTGGAGCTTCCCGAACAGAATGAGCTTTCAATTATATTATCCAAGCATAACCACAAGCCTCCTAGAAACTTAGATTTATATCCTAAGTTACCAAAGGATCATATAGTGATTGTGCTATATGTTCATAATAGGCCTAAATATCTTCGTATCGTAGTCGATAGTCTTTCCAGTGTGTCAGGAATTAACAAAACTCTGCTTGTAGTTAGTCATGATGGTTACTATGAAGAGATGGATAAGATTGTACAGAGCATCAAGTTCTGCCGGGTGAAACAGATTTTTGCACCGTATTCTCCCCACATCTTTCCTGATAGATTTCCCGGGCCATCGCCATTTGATTGTAAAGATAAGGAGGATCAGAACAGGACAAGATGTGAGGGTAATGCAGACCGATATGGGAACTACCGGTCACCTAAGATTGCATCGTTGAAGCATCATTGGTGGTGGATGATGAACACGGTGTGGGATGGATTAGAGGAGACAAGGGATCACTCGGGTCATATCCTCTTCATAGAGGAGGATCATTTTGTTTATCCTAATGCATATCATAACCTGCAGCTGCTTACACAGCTGAAGGCTACAAAATGTCCACAGTGCTACGCTGTGAATCTTGCGCCATCTAATGTGCAGTCGAGGGGTGAAGGATGGAAGGAGTTGATAGCAGAAAAGATTGGGAATGTCGGATTTGCATTTAATCATACTGTGTGGAGGAAGATACATAGGAAGGCCAGAGAATTCTGTATGTTTGATGACTACAACTGGGACTTGACAATGTGGTCTGCAGTTTATCCTACTTTCGGGGAGGCTGTGTACACGCTGCGAGGACCTAGAAGCAGTGCTGTTCATTTTGGGAAATGTGGTCTGCATCAAGGGCGCAGACCTCATGCAGCTTGTATTGACAATGAGGCTCGAAAGTTTGAAGTTAAAAGTGTTGACAGAGTTACTAATATCAACTCGGATTGGGGGGTGTTCGTGTACCACAACCAAGGTGGTTACCAAGACGGCTTTCAAGGCTGGGGAGGGTGGGGAGATGTAAGAGACCATCAACTATGTCTCAGTTTTTCTAACATGTATCAAGGTCCAGAGGCTGGCATGTGTGAGACTGATGTATACAGTCAGATCAGTTCAAAAGAGAAGAGCATAAATTTATCCTGAGGCATAGGTGATCTCAAGAAACTAGATTACCCAATTGAATCACACTCAGGTATTGGTAAGTAGCTCATGAGAATTCACTCTGCACTTTATGCATTAGAGAAGAATTTTTTGTTCTTTCCTGCTAAGATGTTTTTTATCTGGTGTTACTAGTTAATGTTATATAGATTGTGATTGTTCTTGACGCAGAACCCTTAGCCCCACAACAACTCTTCCTTAAGTACATATTTTGAATTTTCAAGCTCCTATGTTATTCATGTGGTATAATCTACGGCTAAGCAGCTACAACATGCTACAGATTTCTTTAATTTAACCAGAATTTTATATCTCTGAAAAAAACGAGATGATGTATAGCAATAATGCAGAACTTAGCAGCAGAAAGTATGGAACTTGTGAATGAACACATAAGTAAAACTATAGGAAACTGAGAATGGTGTACCTCTGAATGCACATTGATGGCATGCCTCAGAAACTCCTATGTCTCTTACATCCACAATCATGTCTGCCTTCTCAGTAATCAGCTAGGAAGTAATGATCTGCACAAGATTAGGAAATACATTTGCTTTTCGTCATTGTTCAGCAGTTATGGAATTTGTTTTCCAGCTTCTTGAGAACTGTCTAGCATTTCTTGATTATGAAATAAAGATCTATGTGCAAGTATATGGTGTAAATATACATTGTTCATACTTGATGCTGCACCATTATCTTGAAATATTAAGTTATAGGCTATAGCTCAGTCGCTCGCTTCAAATGAGCACTCAACGTGGCAAATATTGTATTTATGAGATCTGATTGAGTTCCACTTCATATACCATACATTTTGATCGTTCTATGATTGGAAAGCAATATGCATATGTAATCATACTTGACATAGAAAAGATATGCATATCCAATTAAGTTTACTGCCTCAAATTCATCTAACATATATTCACTTAAGATTTTGCAAACGGTTCTCTTGTCTATGAATGTTGCCTGAATTCCCATGTGTTTATCACTAATATGAAGTCTAAATCAAACACCCAATTTCCAAACTAGAGTTTCAACCTACAAGTTTTACCTGAATTATTTCTAAGCATAGAATGTATTATTGTCTTTTTTTTGAGTCATGCATATAACTAACCCCTGAGAGAGTGAGAGAGAATATTGTGTCTTGAGTGATTGAATGGTTTTGTTCCACCACAACTCATCAGACCATTTTTTACCCACTTAGTAAAACTATTGGCTCTGGCCACTGTCATTCTTCAATAATTATTTTTATTATATAATAATTATTTTTATTAATATATTTTTTAATTATATTTTATCTAAATTTTGTGTCTATAAAAGAGTATTTCTTTATTGGCTTTACGACCAGAAATTCACCCCAAACCACGACACCCTTGCGAGGCCATATTATAAATCAAAATACATTGTTTTAGCTTCTAAATCAAAATGCATACTTATAATATTTTACACATTATTTATCTATACATGAACCAAAAAATTTTGGTTCCGTATGTTTTGTAGTGTCCTAAACGGGCGGGAGCCCTTTTGCCATTGCCCGGCCCGCCTGCAAGCAATCAATCCGACATTAATGGCAGATATCCCAAACCCCTAAACGGGCCAATGGTTCACTACCACGTCGATCAGACGGCCATGAATATGTGAAACTATCACCGTCCAACTGCTTTTGTTATTAACAAACAGTGGAAGCAGCCGACTAGACTAATGCTTGAGTACGACGACGGAAAACTTACTGCCAGAATTAAATCATATTTTAACAATCTCGAATTTTCAAACCCTGCCAACGACAACAATGTGGCGCGCGTGAAACTCGTGACTCCACGTTCACTCAAAGCGACGATAGAAAAAAAAAAAATTACAATCTATCAATATCGTTCCTAGCGAATAACAAAAGCAAGAAGCAAATAAACGCAATACATAATGAAGACTAGAAGCTTTTCATATATACATTATATAGTTATCAAAATAAAAAGCATCAAAAACACTGAATATCTGACACCGTTGTCTGGGTAATCTTTCCTCTACTCATAAAGTCTCTATAAAAGGACGAGAAAAAAATAAGTATATATATATATACTAGAACTACCAAATTTATGGAAACCGCCATGGATGAGAGAAGAAGCGCTGAGTGTCGAGGCAAAGTTCAGTTAAGTAGGGAACGACACAGTTTAGAAGAGTCTCGACGAAAGGATTGAGGCGTCGGATCGGCGGAAAAAAAATAATAAGCGGTGCCGCCAGGACGGCCGCCATGGCCAGCAGCTCCGGCGCCATAACGCGATGAAAAATTACACGCGATCGAGCGCGCGCCTCTGTTCTTCACACGGCGTACTATTCAAAACAAATTATGGGCTTCCTTCTGCCAAGGGTATTTATATGTTGTTTTGACGGAGAAATTGAAATGCCGAATTTACCCTTCCCATGGATTATGTTTCAAATTTTTTCGAGGGCCGTTTTAAGGTGGGTTGTTTGAATGGCCTTTCCATCTATTGGGCTTATTGAAGAAATATACAATTTATTGGGCCTATTGGGTTAGGCCCAAATTATTCTACACGCCGTCATAACTTTTGCAATATTGGCCTACAAGTCTATTTGTAATATACATTTTGGGTTTGTTTGGTTTTAAAATTTTTATTTAAGTTTTGTTATAAATAAATAATGTGTTTATCCAACAATTGTTTTTTTAATTAATAACATCAAGATAGTGTGATGGTGCTTTGATAAATAGAGGTTAAAAACACGATAAATTCATAATGGATGTGGCCTACATAGACTATATATTAAAATGGACTAGTTATGTAAATTAAATAAAACTTATAACTATTTAGAAATTACTTTATTTCCTTGTCAAAATCATTGGACTTTACGTAAAATTGTGGTATGTGACAAAAACCTTTTTGTAAGTATATACAAATTATTTTTCCATCAATTTCACACTGAAAGATAATAAAGTGCAATTTCATAAATGATTCAGAGGATGTTAATTGAGGTATTATGTAAGAAAATATATGATTTAATATTTTCAATTCACAACTCAATACATATGTCCTAAATCTAATTCAATTCAATTCTTAGTTGTTTTTCAAACATATAATCTCAATGCAAAATCATTCATGATTTAAACAATTTCACTAAATAAATACACCCTTAATGTTTTCATTCCAAATTTAATTTATTCCAAACTTACAATTATGAATTTTTGTGCAGTCTAAATCGCTATTCCCTTTTATTCGATACTTCACTTTTATTTGGCCAATTTTTGTGTTGGGTAATTTTAGCAAATTTAATCATTTGATTGCTACACAATATATTAGTACACATACAATTTACACGATAACAAAATAAATTATTATATGCACCTAACTGACCTGTCCAGATGAACTCATCGCAAAATTTTATTTTATTTTATATTATTGTCATAAAAATAATTCTGGATGAGAATAAAAAATACAAAGCTAGAATAAAATAAATAATTGATGTCACATTATAGGAAGACTCTGCTCTCATTAGTTAATCTTCATATTTAATTTAGGTTGACTTAGCTTTAGTGCCAGGATTTGGTTAACCCTTAACAGTTAAGAAATATTTAAATATACTAATTTAATTTGTTCCTAATTATCTATCTATTGACGTTTTCTTGGTCACCTAACGAAATTATTTATAATTTCTCAACTTAAAGACCACAAATAATTTGTTATTTTAACTTTATTATAACCATCTAAGATCACAAATTATAATTCTCATGCAATATTGATACTGAAAAATAGACATTACGAGAAATTTTAATTATAGAACATAATTACCTCACCCCTTAATATATACATGTTTTATTTGAAATAAGTTAAAAATCAATTTTATAATTAATTTAGCGTTGTTGTTGTTGTTGTTAATATCTAGCATAATTTATACACACAATTTTTTTTTAAAAAAAAAAAAATCTATATCAACCTTAGTAATTTCACATCATATATAAATGTGGTGGAAGATTAAACTAATTGCAAAATTATTTTGTAATATATATTTAAATAAAGAGCATAAAGAATAAAAATAACTACTATATTATTCACAATATTATTCTTTTTAATATCATCAACTACAATCATTGAAATAAAAACAATCAAGATATCTTTTTTTTTTTTTTTTTGAAACTTATTGTAAAGGGAAAAAGTCATTTTCCCCTGCATTGTTTATTTCAACACTATTTATTGGATAAAAGAAAAACAAAAAGACACTGAGCACCAAAAAGAGCAGAGGAATAAATAATTGGGAAATTTTATTGTCCTTTGTGAATTATTTATTTTAATTAAAAAAAAAAAAAACAATTATCAACATTTGTGATAACACAATATTATTGTTATTTAAAATTCTTTGGCATGACCATATGCGACACCAAAAGAATTGCAATTTTACAATTGCGACAACAAGCATTATCTTGTAGGAATATTTTTTATTTTTTCATTTCATAAAAAAATGGGATTTTTAGTGGCCCAAAAAGCTATTGCCAATTTTCACACAAGATATTAAAATAAAATTGATTATGATGTTCCCAATTGTGATCCCTATTGCAATAAAAATTTGGGCATCAATACTTCATTTATTGCCCCACTACAAGTCCAATGATCAAGATTCAAGAATGCAACAATACATACACAAAGTTTCTTGTTTTTAGTGTTCTTGTTCAATACCAAATGTGAGTTGACAACCATGGAATAAATACCAAACCCCACTAAAAATAAATAATTTTTCAAAACAAAAAAACATTTTGTCAAAAAAGGGCTAACCCCCATCAAATCTTATCATCAACACAAACACAACACCTGTAATAATTTCTGCATTGAGATACATATGTGACAAAAGCAAGCAGCATCAAATCATTATTGATAATGTAATTTTCATGATCATCCCTTGCAAAGAAAGGCTAATAATTCCTTCCCAACAATATATTATCTCATCTCAATAAAACCTCATTTCATTTAATGGCCATGAAAATTCTAGAAAAAAAATTTACTCATAACAAATGTAACAGAACAGTAACAAAAACCATAGCAAAGGGAACTCAATACACCAAAAGCATCATCAATCAGCAAAAATTTCAAGAATTTCACCATAAAGGAAGAGAATTACCGGCATACGTCGAATTCGCAGTTATCCTTTGCAAGTGTTCCATCAAACGTCGAACAACTATCCTCACCCCTTCCTGGATCGAACATCATCGCAACACCAAACGACAACAACAAATAAAGGATCTCAATTTTGTTAGAGCTAACTAAAGCGCGCTATGCATCATCGATAAAATTACGAATAAAGATAGAAACAATAGACCAAAAAAGCTTAGACAAAATGGAAAATATATTCATCAGTAACCGAGAGAATAATAGGGTCGTTTTTTGTTTTTTAAACGCTATACCGGGCTATAGTCAATCACCCCAAAGGTCATTCTTTCCAATATTTCTAAAAGTTTTTAAAGAATGAATCAAAATAGGAAAAAGAATGAGTTTTTTCTGCATCATATATTCCAAGCCTCATCCTTTCTTGTCGCAGCTCGTATCCTGCCCTGTTTCCTTAAAGAGCTTAATACCAATGAACCAAAATTTAAAAATCTGGTGGTGATTTTACCAAAAATCGCGACCATGGACACTTTAGTAGAAGCAATGCCTGTAGTTTACTGAGCCATGAGTTGATCGAGCCGCATCTTCTCCAGCCAAGCGCCCAAAACAGATTCGTCGACTTGCTCAATTTGATTCTTATTTGCATTTCCACCTTCACTTGTAGAAGTACCCATAGCTTCTTCGGAGCTCGCAACACGAGACACCGATTTTTCCTTCAAATCCTGCGGAGATTCTTTGACGAGCGACTGAACCCAAGATAAGTCAGGCTCCTCGCCACCGTTGAGAAGCTCGAACGAGGATGATCTTTTGAGCTTGCCAAATTCATTGCCACCGACGGCCCAATCTGCGGGTCCGCTCGGGTTTCCCCACTTAGACCATGTTTCGTCAAACGACGCAACAGCAGCCGCAGCATTAGAGTTGAGATCGCGCGAGCTAAGGCTTCGGAATTGCTGCTTATCGTGCCGCGCCAAAATCGACATCCGCGCACTCATCGGAGAAACGGGATCAATGTGCTGAGGCGACATCCTACCGGACCCAAAAGGAGCCTTCATTAAAGAATGGTCGACGTTTCTTGGAGAGTGAGATGTTTTGATAGGAGACAGCATGCTCTGCTGCTGATGCTGAAATTGGTTCAAGACCGCCGTTTTATGCGTCGGTGAGAAAACAGCAGAAGCCAACGTTTGATCGGCGTATCGGGGAGACGAACCCTCCGCAGAAAACATATCCTCGAGATTCGACGGAGTCAAACTCTTCGGATGCACAGGTCGATTCAACATGCCTGTGTTGATATTCGGTTGCGACAAACGCGGGAGCTCATTCACAAGCTGTTGCTGTACGTCGATTTCTCCAAACAAATTCATGTACTCAGGCGGAATGTCTCGAGCACTAAAAGACGAGCGCAGCCGGCTCGACTGTAGGTTGCTTCCTGGAAAATGCAAAGAAGGGACATTTTGCTGCGGAGGCCAGCCGGCGGTCGATATCCCATTAGTCGACGGAGACATAGGCGGAGTGAAAGGATTCGGAGACATCATAGGCACTGAAGAAGGCGAGCCCGGCAGAAGGCTCATGGCTGCAGCAAAATCCAAGGAATTTGCATTAGAAGTCGCCGAGCGCGGTGACGGCACGGCGGAGCCCGTCGAGACGTACAAAGGTCGGAGCTCTTCTTGCGTGTGGGCAAAGAAGCAAACCCGTCGATTGCAGCTCGTACCGTCTTTGCAGAGACGAGTACGATACTGCGCCGGGTGGAGCCAGCACTCGAAAACTCCGTGAGCATATTCGCACATATCGCCTCTCCGGCAAGCCCCCTTACGGAAATCGGGACACGGCACGCAGCTGTAGTGATACTTTCTCGGATCCCTTCTCCGAGCATTTTCACCCGGGTGGACAAACGGGCACTCGGTCCAGTCGTGCGAGTAGGCTCGAGAGCACGGACGAACCTTAAACGAAAACATTCGAAACTCGTCCGTCGAATATATGCTGTTCTTGATGTCAGGCAGCGACGGATCGATAGGGTATTCTTTCTTTTCCGCTGCAGGCAACGATACGGATATATCGGTCGACTTCCCCCCCTTGGAAGGTTCCAACTCCGGCGAACTCGGAGATCCATTAAAAAACAACGATCGCGGCGGAGAACCTGAAATTGAATTCAAATTCGAATTCAACATGGCTCTCAAATCGCCTTCCTCGACCAAACTATCGGTAGCTGCAAGAAGCATACGAAGGGAATCTTTCATGCTCTCCAGATTCGGAGCGACAACGATAACATCGACAGGGCGACGTCCATTTCCATCCTCGAGATTCGGATCCGCACCTGCTGCCAAAAGCAGTTTGACGACATCGACGGCGTTTACAGATCCGCCAGACGCAGCGCAATGAAGAGCAGTGGTGTTATCACTCCCGCACAGACGGTTGACGTCAACTTCGGGAAAGGAGACGATCAATTTCAGCACATCTACGCTACCGTAAGTGGCGGCCACCATCAACGGAGTCATATGCTGCAGAACCATTTGGTTCGAGCCCTTCTTCCGACCATACCACAGGCCAACCTCGTCGACACCCGATAGATCGCCTTCGACGTATTTTTTAAATCCCTCAAAATCATTATTGGCAGCAAGCTCAAGCAAGCTTACAAAAGCATCTTCGGTCTCCACATTCAAGTTCATGGTTGCAAAACTTCGTCTACTCGTCGAAAAAGAATTGGGCATCATTATACAGCCGAATTGCGTCGATGTTCTGAACCTGATTCTTCGCACATCCTCCAATTCGGGAAATCCAACTGGACGATACGATACGGAAACAAACAAAAGGGGCATTAGAATCAGACAAAGGGAAGTGAATAATGCTTGTAAATTGGAAAGGGAATAAAGCTCATTGATTGGTAAAGAAAGTGAAGACTGAATCTGATATGACACAGATTTTAAATCTGCACAAGAAAAATAACCTCAATAATGTGGCAAATAACGAAATCAGGAAACTAAATTTGATAAGATGAAGCAATAATCTCATTTCCCAATTTCCAAACAAAGAAAATCCACAACTGATCAATACTAGCAAAAGATAATGACAGATACTCATCATCAATCAGTCATTACCCCAAAACCATCATCAAAATCTGTTCAACCTCCAAACAGATACTGCAATATTAGCCTTCTTCCTTTCCCTCAAATCCATAAATTCAATGATTCACATAACAAGAAAAAGGTAAAATTAAAATACTAATAAACAACAGCAATTACTTGAACATAGTTCAAGAAGTCCAGAAAGAAATGCTCAAATAAATGAAATCAGCCAAGAAACCCCAAAAAGGGGAAAATAAAACCAAACAAAAGTAGCTAATTAATCCCAACCCCCAAACACTGAGAATAAACACAATCAGATATAAATAAACAAACCACTGTACAAACTACAAGCCCTGTTTAATGCATGCCCCCAAAATCAAGCATACAAACAATCGAATCAAGAACCAAATCAGACTGAAATCCATACAACACATAAACCGCTAACAGCAACTGAAATAAAATAAAATTACAAGAAAGTGTATACAGCAAGCATACATATGTGTATTTTGCAAAAAGTAAAAAGAAACCCTAAATTTTTCTCACCAGGGAAGAGAGACAAGAACCATTAAACGCAAAACCCCCCCTCGGCGGAAGCAAAAATTTCATTCTTGGATGAGTATTGTGATGTATATGCAGTTGGGATTGATCTTTGTGGGTTAGAAGAAGAGGGGCTTAATTTCATCTGGGATGGAGTATTTATAGATCTAGTGAGAGAAAGTCATGAGTGAGAGAGAATCAGAAAGAAGGGAAGGGTGTGTCATCGAGAGGAGGGGAAGGGGAGGGGGTAGAACTGTTGCTGCTTCTTCTTCTCTCCTTTCTCTTCGCCATTTCCTATGTTAAATTTTTGTTCCCTCTCTCTCTCTCTTTTTCTCTTTCTCTTTCTCTATCTTCTCTCACTGTAATAAATCCATAGGTAGTGTTGCACATTTTTTTATATTTATTTATATATATATATATTTCGCGATTGAATATTGTCATAAATTTCTGACTAAATTATTGTTTTTCCGTAATCCATAATAATTTATTATATTTGGTCGGAATCGCCTGCCTCTGTATTCACCTACTTTCGGTCCACCTGCACCAGCTTCTATAGTTTTATTTTATTTATGTTTAAAGTTGAGTTTTAATTTCAATTTAGAGTGTAATTGCTTTGAGATTTTGAAGGAAATTTTTTTAAAAATAAAAATCATAATTTTTATTATTTTATTTTTATATTATAAAAAACTAATTTTATATTTAAAATATTATGATATTTATTTTGATTTAAAATTTTATTATTTAAAATATAAATTCAAAATTCACATGTCAAACAAATGCACCCTCAAATAGTAAAAAGTACTCCTTTTGTCCCACATAGACACGGTATTTAGGAGATGTGTAATTAGTAGATAATTAATAATATATTAATTAAAATAATTATTCTATAATATAAATAATTATAAATTAAGATTTCAAAAAGGGAAAGTCACATGAAATGTGAGACGGACAAAAACAGCAACATGGACATGATATGTGGGACGGATGGAGTATATATATTGGAAATTGAACCAGATATTTTCAAGTTTCATGAAATATAGAAAATTATATGTATATAATTACTATTTAATTTATCAAATTTTTGTAATAATATTACATGTAATATTGATTTTATATTAGAATACTAAAATGAAAAACACCATAATAACAAATCCTCAGATATCCACCGAGGATATGTAACATATGTTTTCTTTTTTTGTGTTTTTATTGCTATATTTACTCTTTAGTTTGTATTAAAATATTATATAGTAGATATAACAATTATTTTATTTGAAAATATAGTTAAAATTTTTATTTAACGTGTATTTTATCATAATTTAATAACCTTTTTATGCAATTTATTATATTTATATCATAATCTGATGCTCCACATCACAACATAAAAGCTTCATATAATTACAATAGGATAAATTGTTTAAATAAATATTACTAGAATATTGATAGTTTACCGTCCAACATTTGACATTTTTTATTAGTTAACTGCACTCTTTTTGTAATAATTTTATATTGATTACTAAGCCAATTAAATCCCTTTTGTAAAAATTTTATTTTTTATAATTTACAAATAAATTTGTATAAAATTGACGGACAAATAAAATAGTCCTTCTATTATTTAAGTTCTATATGTGTTTATTTCGTGATTTGTTATTATTATTTTATTTTTTGTTTAAATAATATTTTGAATGTAATATTTTTAAAATAAAATTATATATTATTATAAAAAAAACCTTTATAGTAAATAAATTGAAATATTATGTAAATATTAGTTCATTTAATTGGTGTATATTTTAATGTGACGTATATTTTTTTATTTTTTTTATAGTAAAAAGAGTAGAAAAGAATTAAAAGAGTTGAAATTTTGTATGATTTTTTACTTAAATATATATATATATATATATATATTCATAAGTAAGAAAATGGGCCTATTTTTTGTCCGATAAAGTATTTGTTAGATATTGTTCAAATTTCTGTAATATGATTAAATGATAAGAATGCATGTGATGCATTTCTTTCTATAATCATATATTCTTTTCATCTTATTTCAAATAATTATTGAATTTGAGATACATACTTTAATCTAATAATGACAGTGAACTATAATATTATCTTATTATATTTTTATATAGATAATATTATTGTTAATTTTAGAATAACAATTAATAGATATAATTTAAATAAAATTAAAAAATGTGTTTTCAATATTTTAAATGTAACATCTTAATAAAATACATGCAACATAAATACTATTTTATAGATAATAAATTTTTAAATAATACAAATAAATAATAAATAAATCTATTTAATTTATAATTAAGATAAAATAATTTCATAAAAAAAAAAAAGAATTTTAAACATAGATAAAAATATTTGTGTATTGAGAAAAAAGATAAAAATAAAATAATTTAAATTTGAGTCCTAAGATTACAAAATTAATTAAATTGATTTTTATTTATTAAATATATTTAAATGTATCGGGTAAAATGATATAGATAAAAACTATTTAGTCAATTGAAGTAGAACGAAGGAGTACAAATTTTATTATACAATTAATTGTTATATTATATAAATATCATTTTATTACAAGTTTAGGGTGTGTTTGTTACTTTGTTTGATATTTTAGTTTTAGGTAAGAAATGAAAAATTATATTGTCAATATAAAAAGTAATATTTTATATTAAGTATTGACTGTTTGTAAATAATATAATATATACTTTTTTTCGTCCATCGAATTTTTTCTTATTTTCATTTTTCTTACCAATTACTAATATTGACAAAAACAAAACATTACTTTTTTTTCTTTTTTTTTATCTATTAGCTTTTCACTTCATATTTATTTACAATAAATGTTATTATTTTTATGGTATTTTTTTTTATTAAAGAATATTTTGATACGATATTTTATCAGATAAAATAATACATTTTTATTAAAAATCGTATAGAATAAAAAATATTTATTTCAATTTTAAATTACAAAATACAAAATATCAAACAAAGTAACAAACACACCCTAAATACAATAGTTATTTTTCCATAAATAATTATATCACCATAAAATTATCCCTATTTTTTCATTATTATTACACAATTGTCACTACTTTTTTATACTAATATACTCACAAAGGCAAAAAAATCATTTATCCTTATTTTTTATCAACTACCAATATACTATCAATATTTCTTATATATCGTGTCCAACACAATTCACTTAAATTTATAAATTTGAATTTGTTTGATTTTGGTTCAAAATTATTTTTTATTTAAATATTATTTTAACATATTGTTGTTTTAAAACAATAGTAGTACTCTCTCCGTTCGCCTTAAATGGTCACATTTATCTTTTTCGTCATTGTATTTACCATTAAAAATTTTTATATTTGTATAATTTTTTTTACAAATGTCCTTCTATTAGTATTATAAGACATTAATGAAAGTATTTTTGTAATTTTTTCTTAATTTGTACTACGTTTTGATATAAGAATTAATATTAAAAAATCAACAAGATCCTGAGAGCCGGGAGTAGCATAGTTTCTTAAAAAGTATGCACGAACTAAATAAGATTAATGTCGGGTATCAAACTAAAACTAGACACACCCCTAATCTTTCTAACTCAAACTTGAGATTGGTGGTGTTCTTTTTAAAAATATAGTTTTATACTAATGTAAATGTTTGATTAATATAATATATGTAGGTGAGACAAATTATTTATTTTAATAAATAGAAGCAAATTTCAAATCTAAAATTTACAAGTTTTCTACCTTACGCATGCTTTATAGATACAAAGCGTATGCTAATATAATTATCTCATCGTTCATTATAAAATATTATCATTTTTATAAGCATACTTCAAATTCACCCCAAATGCAACGAAATTCACTAGAAATTACATTCTCGCTCGTCACCAGCACAAGCTGACATGGCGTGCATTTATTGGTTGAACTTTGTCAATATTGAGAAACCAGTAATGCAATACAAACACCGATTTAATATTTAAAATTTATTTTGTACTATTACAGTATTTATATATAAAATAAATATATCAGTTGAATTAATAGCTTATAACTGACTGTTAACAATATAATCACTTGGAAGATGTATAGTAAATTATACTTTTACTATTGCTTCAGTAAATACCTAAAATTTATAGCCATAGCAATTACATGCATAAATTTTACTAATGGCACTTTAAATTTATTTATTTATTAATTAATTGTTAGTTACATATTCTTAAATTTTACTATTATTTGACCCATAATTCTTCAAAATTGGCGTCGCGACAACAAATAGAAATCCGACGTGTGGAAAGATGATGACCCACAAAAATAAGACCGTGGGATTAAGGGTAACCGTCCGAGGAGGTGAAAAGGCAAAACAGACGCGAAGCTGGGGGAGGGAAAGGCCACCTGTTCAGCCGGTAACCGAGACGTGAAGTGGAGCATTAAACTGGAATTGAATGTTGGTTTGGAATCCGCCAATCAGAGCGACGGACTTGAGGCTGAAGTCAAATATGGTTAAACGTCGAGTCAAATCGAAAGGGAAAAAAATGAAATAAAAATAAATAAATAAGCAAAAGAAATTTGTGCCAATTGAATTTTAGGAAATTGGAATAAATACTTTATGATTATTATTGTCACTCTTAATAAAATCTATTCGATAACAAATTCGAAAAGGATAAGAATGTCTTTTCATAATTTGTATTTTTTAAATAAAAATTTGAGGATTAAAAGTACTTCACAAATCATAAACGATTCGGTTACTAGTAATTAGTGGAGTAATATTTATTACTTTCAGTACTTTTTCTAATACAAATAATATTCTTCTTCCATAGAATTTATGTTAATCTGAGTAAGTTAAATAAAGTGAGATAAATTTTTAATATGTTAGTATATTATAAGCACGGATAGCAAAATTATAAATAAATACAATATTGAATCAAATAATTAATTAAGAAGAGATTTTGAAACAAATTGAAATAAATTTGTCCATGCCTTAGGCTGATGTGTCATATCATATGTCTGAGTAATATATTATAATTTTATAGTCACGAATTTACTTCTACGTTATTAAATCATCCATTATGAAATAAATATATATTATTATTTTTTATTTTTGTTTTTTTGTCAAAACCTTAACGGGGTGTGTTTGGTAACAAGTAAAGTTGGAAAGCCGTTGATGTCCTTGTCGAGGGAGATGCCAACATTACTTCTCTCTACAAACACGGTAAAAAAATTAAGAATTTGTTTGATTATGTTTTATAATTATTTATATATAAAGATCCAATTTATTATTTTTTTTCTAAGCTTTATATCGTACATATATTTTTATTTAATGTATTAGATAAAATTTTCTTTTATCAAACTATATTAATTATTTATTTAT